ATTTGAAACATTGCTTGGCAACATCTCTCTCAAAAAGCACAAACAAAGAACATAGATAATGAAGATATTGAGATCCACTATTCTCATCGCCTTCAGTTGGTGTTAATGTCCTTGCCTTGGTCAGGACCATTGAATGAGATCCATCATTTGAAACCAGAAAAATTATATATACAGTACATACACATAGGGCTTCGCTCCAACAGATAATAAACAAGGAACAAAAATGCAGCAGCTATGTAATATGCATTGAAGTTGTGTAGGTTTGAGGTTTAGATATGGTGAGCTTATCTGTAGCTTTCCCTCATGACCATCCTGGCCTGTGTTAGCACATGTGTACTACGCATCATCTTCTTATATACCACATATGCATTATTCTTGCGCATCATGTGTACATTATCTTCTTGACTTCTTGATATGTGTGTCTCTATCTCGTACTGTACGGTCCCATTATCATATCCTCATACTGTACAGTTCCTTTATTCTTTCACCATCGTCACAAGGCTCTTGATTGTTATGTAACCTCATGATACATATTGCACGTATCTCACAGTTACACACCTCAGTGTTGGTTTCTCACTCTCACTGAGGTACATCTGGCATTACAGCTCATTTGCTCATTCATACTGATACTATACCTAGCTGATCACCTCATTCTCTAGGTACTTATAATATCAGTGTTGGTTTCTCACTCTCACTGAGCTAGTTACCTCGTTCTCTAGTCTTATTAGCCTGTTCCTGGCATTTTTATGCTTTATCATTGCCTCCTGGTCATTAGCATCAAGTGATGAAAGGTGAGTCTCTACTGCTGCCCTCTCATGATGCAAAAATTCGCTACAAGTGCAAACAAACTTGAGGTTCTATTCATGGTATATGTAAAGCCCCTGCCCTATTGTACCTGTAGTGACTGTGAAACTAAAGATGTACCAATTATTATTGTTAGTATTGCTTTCCAGTAACTTTACATTTATAAAATAAGTATGTTGCTCAGAATTGGAGCCCAAGATGTCATTATCACACTTTGGGCAACATACTTAGTGGATATTATCTTAAAGCATCTGTTTGAGTGAGACATTGAAGAACAATCAACTCAGCTTCAGGTCAAATGTCAAATCAAGGAAGGGACACAAGAAGCTGATATAGTGATCTATAGTAATGCCTAGTCTGCTATGCTTGCAGGGACAAGCATATTCGATCCAAGGGGAAGCAAAGAAAACAAATCCACAGTCATGCAGTAGCTATGCAAAGCAAGCTACATAAGCATGAAGTGCAGGTACATGAAATGTAAAATAGCAAAAATCCGAAAATCCGAAATGCAATAAGCAATAAACAAGGGCTCAATAAATGACAACAAAAAGACTGCTAATAGCTTCTAACTCTAGCTATGGACATGACAGGGGAACTCCACTAAGGTAAGGTGTGTTGTAGTGTGGTAAAGAGTGAAAAATACAGACCTATATATGTATCTTGCCAAGTGAAACTGAGCTGAGCTAAGTAGGAGATAATGTATGTAATAAGGTATGTAAGTCAGGGTCCATGCTCTAATATGCTGCCATATTGAGTAAAATACGAAAATACATACCAGAAAGACTTGCTGGATAATGGATGGATGCTCCTGGATGATAGGGCGATGAAAGCGTGGGAAAGCAAGCGATGCAAGGGTATCACAAGGTGCAGGAAGGTCGCGCAAGGGTTGTGTAATGCAGGAAAGTGTTGCCTGATATAGAAATAGCTGAGGAAAGGTCAGGGAATGATGCTGCAAGTTGGTGCTGTGAACTCAGATGATATGAACTGAAGTATAATGCATTGCAAGCCTGTAATAGTGTGGTTCATCTAGATCACCTGCTGAGGGCAAGTCCCTCATTCTTTTCAAATAATGTTTTTCTGTCTGATTCTATGGAATAGCTATTAAGGTAGCATGACCAGAAATAGAGTTCAAAACATTGTACCTCATATTCTGTGATGTTGTTGTGTGAAGCTGCCTTCTGTTGTTTCTTCTATAATATATGTGAGGCTATGGAATTTAATGATACCACATCTTCATACACCTTGAGTTCCATGATCTGAGTGGTCAATGCACTCTGAGGCGTTCATTGGTTAGCATATGACTCAGCCCTGAGTCCTATGTTCAACTTAGATGGTTGTTGCATTGAGGTAGGACCTCCAGATGGGTAGCTATTGACAGTAGTTAAAGGAGGCCCATTATTGAGTATATGATGTCTGGAAGGAAAGGGTGGCTTCTTCATCAGGAACATCTCCTTCAAATCCCAGCAGTTCCTGCCAAAGGTCGCAAAATAATATGGTTTGGTGAGCCATTAAGTTGGTAAGTTGGGGGTGATTTCAGTACACTCTGGCATATATGTGATTACCTGTTTCTTGAGTATGTCCAAGATGGGCATATAGAACATCATCAGTTCTTGGTGACAGAATGTTTAAGATCCAATAATATTCTGCAATATCAGACAGAATATATCTCAACAAGCTCTTGTTAAGGCTGATCTTTCCAGGAAGATGTTTCAAAATTAACTTCTGGAGTATGTATAAAAGCCGTTCAGATGTCTATTGTTGCTTCATACTAGATAATAAGTAGCAGTGATGATGAGGATTGTTATCCTCAGGAGCAAGGACCAAATCAATAGCCCATGTGCTAATGCTAGCAATAGATACTTGAATCTGTCTTAGGGCAGCTTCTAAAGAACAAGCAAAGAAATGCAAGATCAACTTGTCATTACCAGAGTTCTGAAAAGACTTGCTATAATCTCTGATGCACACAAGGCAATGAAAGAGATACATGACATTTTGCCTTTGAAAGCTAGTATTGACAATTTTTTCTGAGCCTCATTTTGACATTCCTAGAATTTGATGCAACAGGAAGTATAGGTACTTCTTAAACTTCTCAACCTACCATAGGTATTCCTCCCATGCCCTTTTTCATGGCACAGGATTTTCACTCAAATAAATGCTGAAGTACTTTTGCAGAGCATATTGTTGCCCATAATAAATTTTATCAGATTCCAAGTAGCCTGCATCTTTAAAACTAGAACACCATGTCCGATCATATGCTTGTGAGGTTGGTCTATGATGTCTTCTGGATTCTTGAGATACTGTAATACAGCATCACTAGCGCCCAAAGAAGGCACTCATCCAGAATATGAATCATCTCTCAATAAACACTATGATACATACTGATTATGAAGGTCATTGGATGGAGTAAAATAGTGTTCGTATTTCAGGCTCCATCCACTACTTCATAGAACTCATTAATATTCTGCATATATGAAATACTCAGTGATTGCTCATGTTAGAGAACAATGCATCTTACTGGTATGGGTCAAAGATTTTCATGACCTTGGTCAGAATGGAAAACATTGTGGAGTATATCAACTTTGCCAGATGATTAGAGATGAAATGTGGCAGAACAAAATGTCCTTGCACATTGATGCTAGTAGACATAATGAAGGAGTCTATCAGAGATTGAAGATGACCATATAAGTCATTGTTGGTATTGGTGATAAAGATGGACAGGTCAATAAAATGATAGGCCTTAATAAGCTCAGCTTCTGACAAATTTGGATCAGTACAGCACTTTTTTAGTATCTCAGCATGTTGAATCTGGATGCTGTTCAATACTATTGGATAAGCAGCATGATCTTCTGATAAATCAAAGTCTGCCAACTGGTCAGGGCCCTCTTTTTCTTTAATACCTGTATTGCCTTGTGGCCATAAGATATCTCTATCTACCTTATCAACAAAATCCAGTGTCAATGCAAATGGCTCATCAAATGGTGCTCTAGACTTCAGAAGTTCAGATCAATTGATGTACTGCTGACAAAGCTCTGCAGAAAGCATTTGTGATATTAAGGGCTTACCTCGTTTCTGGATTCTCAATATTGGGTGGTTCAGCTCATACCCAAGATATGAAGAAGGATTGAAATTGATGACCTTTGTATTGGCGGTATAAGCACAATTGCGAGAGAATGATGAACGTTGTCCGTGTCTTGTCCACGTCCAAAAGGGCCTCTGTACAGAGGTTTCATTCCAAATTCGCCTTACTGTAGTTTGCAAAGAAGCCGACTTGCATGAGGATCTCATGCCTGTAGGTGTCTGTTGGCACATGCCGACGAGACATTGGTCTGATTGAGGAATGTTATATGTGCATTTTTTTTGTTGGACAGCGCATCTACTTTCTTCTTCAGATAGAACTGTTCCAGAAACAAGGTACCATCAAGACAATATCAAACAAAATTCAGCAGGCTGCACTAGCAATGTCAAATATCATGATCAGGCATTCAATGTCTTTCCAACCGATGGGAATGCAAATATGGAAATTCGAATCTCTTGCTGCCAGTGATTGGATGCCATATGTCAGCTATGAACCGCATTCTCACTGGCTTGTGTGCTTACATATCTACTTTCATGGCGCGTAGTCAAAAGCAAGTCAAAGTCGACAATCATGCAGCATTGAGCAAGAGCATAAGCAGGCTGTTCCCCAAATTTTTTGTTTGCTCAAATATCTTCAGAGGTGTGTCGCAACTCAAGTCTCCAAGGGCCTGGAATCTCACTGTTGCTTTGTCTTGCCTCACAATCATCGACCCCTTCTGATCGAACTTTGCTAGATGTGGCGTGGCAACAAGAAAGTTTTGGCCGGTCACTATGTATAATACATTGGCGATATCCGATATCACAATTAACTGCATATTTTTTATTCCCAAGGCTATCAAACAATCCAAAAACTGAATGGTCGCACATTAAATGCATGGAGAGAAAAAAATATTGCTTCAATTGGCCTGCATCGACCAGGCGAGCTTATGTAGTGCGGACTGTAATATATAACTTTCAACAGCTTGCTCCATTGCTCACATCTACTCCCAGGCCTACAGGCGCTCATAGATTGGGCGGTGTTCTGCTTTGCAAGGGTCATAGATTGGCCTCAGGCACTCTGAGTTAATACCTTCCCATCCTGAGCTATCTTCAACTCCAATCATACCTTTACCTTCATTATCTTACTCTGCATCTGCATTGAGCAAGACCTGCAAGAAGAGCTTTTTCCTTGGCACAGCAAAAGACGTTAACTCACAGCCCTCATTCTGCAACAATTAATGGATGTCAAAGCTGCTGGCTAGGAAATGGCCTTATTTGCCAATATTGAAGTAAAGGATTACTGTGTCCTTGAAGTGAAGGATTCCTGCATCCTTAAAGTAAAGGATTCCCACATCCTTAAAGCAAAGAATTCCAGGATATCCACCAAATCCTGGAGGATATATCTCATCAGAATCATCTTTTCCATAGTCATCCACCTCTTTCTCAGCATCTTCATCCATAAGGTAAGTGCTTTAAGCATTTAAGCCATCTGTTGTTCCTTTTATTAATAATGATGAAGAGGAAATAATGTGCAAGATTATGAGGACCAGCTGATCACAATGGAGCCCATAAGTCTCAACAGAATCTTTTTCTTGTAATATTTGAAACAGGTGGATTAATATTCTGTTAGAAATTCTGGGTTCTATAGCTAGTGTTAAATCTTACTATTGAGTTCACCAGCTGGTTAGAGCATCTAAGAGAGTAGGTTTGATATCTAATGTAGATGAAATGATGGAAAAATACTCTTTGTCCAAACCATTCATGCGAGTTAGGCTATAGATGTCTGGTGTTTTTATTTTAAAGCCAGATATAGAGTATCCCTCAGTTGTCTGGGCCCATCCAGCAGCGGTCAAAAATAGTGACAATTCACTAGAATCTAATATTTTTGATATATTTCCATTTATTAAAGCTCCATCAATATACTAAGTTGGCAGTATTGAGTAGAACTTTGAAAAGAGATAGTCTAGGCTAATGTTCTATAGCATGGCATGTACCACAAAGTATATGTCTTGGAAAAGAGACACTGCAACAAAACAAAAAAGTTGATCATGCTTACTAGTGCAGTGGCCTCCTCTACTAGGATGTAATCTTTTGCTATGCATTGAAATTGTCCCCATGAATGCAGCCACATAAGGGCAATGACAGCATTGGTATCCTTGTATAGGCTCAAGCAGCCAAGGCAATGAGGATAGAAGGTGCTGTGGTAGGTCTACCTTTAATTAATATAATTTTGTAGCCTGAAGTCTGTTTCACACTCATATTATAGCAGCATCAACTAACAGTTATTTGATGGGTTGCAGTGGAAGCAATCTATGCTTATTGAAGATGTGTCTTGAAAGATGATCTGCCCAGACAGCAAACCAATATTGCTCACAGACAAATAGCCCAAGGTCTTGTTGAAAGTTTATCCTCAGAAACATCCTTCCAAGCTCCTCAACTTGAACAATGCAGCATAGGACATCATCACTATCCACCTGCAGTATTGAAATCACCTTGGATGTATCTACAGGAAGTACAGTTGAATGAAGCATAGATTCAGATCCCTTAGAGGCACTAGAAAGATCAAAATCACAAGTTTCATACAGTAGGCTACTGTTCATCTTATTATAAATCTGCTAAAGGTTCAATAATTCAGATAGTGAGTCTGTACAGTGTTGGGTCTGACTACTCTATGTCTAAAAGACAGTGTTCGACCCTAACTTCACTAGGCTCAAGGCTCAGAGAGAGAAGAAACAACTAGTAAGACTCAAACTTATGATGAAAACTGGTAAAAAGGTAACTTGCTTATGTAAGCTACAGAATAGCAAACATAAGGTAAAGACAGTGTCTACAAGCCTAGTCAGGAATGAGTCTCTATACCATGTTATGGCTGGGATGTGAAGCTAAAATTGACCCCTATGTCATTGTAAAGAGTAGATCTCTGCTGGGCTCAGCAGAAATTGTACTACCTAGTCTGCTATACTTGCAGGGCAAGTGCATTTGATCCTAAAGGGATTGCTAATTGGTATTAGTAGTAAAATGTGTCAGTAATGCAAATAATGAATGTCCGAAGCTATGAAACAGTGTCCAAAGGTAATCCAAAGATGTCTGAGGGTACTTATCCAATGTCTGAAGCCAAAGTGTGATGTCCAAGATTTTGGACTTTTGGACTTCATGAGTATAGGTTAGAAACTATGTAACAAGTGTTGGGTTGCGAGTGGTACCGCGAGTATAATGAATGGTGGATTTGTGATGGTGAAAGAACAGTAATATTTCACAAATCAATTAAGAACTACAAAAATATTCTGAAAAGTGACCCAGCTACAGGTGGATGGATAGGTAAGAGTCACTACAGAGTATTTATCTATCTACGTAGGAGACTGGAATACCATAGGTGAAGGTAGTAGCAATAATTTTTGGGTTCAATGTCCTATGTAATAAGACATGAGGTACTGCGGACTATGGGAAAACATGTAATAACACTGTCTACACTGTTAGCAATAAAGATAAGACTATGTGCGCACCTAGTAGGGGCTAGCGGAATGTGACTGGACATAGGTGTGATGATATCCGATGTCCGATGCGATGTCTGATGTGATGTCTGATGGAAAGTGCAAAAGTCCAAAGCTAAGTGTATCAGATCCAATGCAGAAAGGCTTGGACATGTGTGGAAATGTGTCAGACATGTTTAGGAATGATTCAGACATATTGTGGATGACTTAGAATAAGTAGTGTTTGATGTATGTATTAAAAACACTGGTTCCGAGCTCAGTGCAAGGACCATTGTTACACCATGCTGCAGATCATACTCCAATGCAGCCTCAAAATTGCTATGATACAGTAGGCTTGCCATAGGTATTGTTGTAAAGGTTGGTGTCTTCAACTTTGCAGTCATAGTTGTCATTGTCATCATTGTCAGTGGTGCTGGTGTTAGTATCAATGATGATGTGATAGTATGGACCTTAGACTACATCCTCTGGAGTGCATTTTCTCAGGCACTAGTGCATTCCATTTTGCCCTGAACCATATTCAGCACATCATTCCATATGCCAGCACCATATAACATAGTACTTACCATATCTTTATCACAGGTTGAGCTCAAAGCAGCAGATTGAGCACCAAGAGCATCTACTTGGGTTTGGCAGGGCAATAGTTTGGCCAAACTCACACCTACTAGCCTCATATCCTAAATGAAATACATATTTGGCAGTTGTAGCAGTATAGAGGATCAGCACATACTGGCCAAGTGCCAGCTGCTTCTCTAGCACTATGCAGGATATCTCTATATACTATCACTATGTATTGATCCAACTCAGGTTGCCTGTTACAAGAACATCTAGACACTTGGGCCCCTACCATTTTTCTCCTCATCCTTCTCGTATCAGCCCTCGCATCATACCCTTACCTCAACCTCACCCTGGTTATCCTTGTCATTCTCGCATTCCCTTTCGCCCTCTACCTGTCGCTTCAGCAAAGCCAGTACATCTGGCCCGATCCTTTCACTGACAAAGCATACCCATGCTCCGTTCCACCATCTGACTAATCCTGTGGATAGTCCCCTTGCCCTTACCGTCCGGACGGTAACCTATGATATGATGCACGACGCATCCCCTTTGCCCTCTTCCCTTTCTTGATCTCTGACTCAGTGCGCAGTCGCACATGCGACTTATAGATAGCTCTGCAGCTGCACGATCGTGCCCCTGCGCGTTTCACTTCTTATTTCAATCTTTGACTCACTTTCTTATCTAGCACGTTCTGCCTCGCCCGTGTCTCAACGCGAATGTGCTCTCCTTTTATGGTTATGCCCTTTACCGATTGCTTCTCTTGGTAGTATGAGTTATCACCCACTAATACTTCTCCTGTCCTCTATATAAACTCGCTACCATGTACTATATTCCCTAACTTGAATCTACTTGGTTCTTGACCTCCTACTCTCACCAGAGTGATCCTTTCTGCCTCACCAGCAGTCTATATTCTATCTTCTTATCTGCTCTTCGTGGATAAGCCTATAGTCTCGATCTTTACTCATCGACTTCGTCAACGAGCAAAGCCCCTGTTGACTAGTCGGACTTCTGTCCTTCTAATTAACGATGATCTTATGATTAACCTTCGGGTGTCGTAAGCTTTGGCCGATATAGCTTATCGTCTCGCACCCGCTTGACATAAGCTACCCGATTTGGACATAGGCGTCAAATCTTACTTGCCGAAGCCTCGCCAAGTAAGACCCCTAACCTTGGGCCAGCCCAAGGACGTCCTCGACCGTTGACGACACACGCTCTGTTTGAGCGTCGCCAACAGATACCATCCAAGTTGTAACACTGACTGTATAAGACTTCCCTTGCATTATTAAGGTAGTTCTTTAGGTTGTCTCTTGGGACAAAGCATACTCGCATTTCTCAGGACTAGGAACTCACATTCTGTAGAGCCCAGCACAGGATTACTGTTTACAGTGGGAAATATTGTGCTGTAGAGTGCTTTGTAACACTCTGTAGCAAATTATGTTTCCCTGATGTAGAATGGCTGATTCTAAGCCCAGTGCCGCAACCATCATTACAGCATCTAGGGTTTTTCAACAACTTAAACACAATCACATTCAAAATATGATTATCATTACATACATGCACACATAGCAAGTCACAAATATGATCCTTACAATCAACAAAAGACACATATATAGAATATGCACAAGCAATGTCAGCAAGTTGCTCTTGATTGAATGTCAGAAAATGCTCCACAATTGACTGCAGATTTGAAGCAACAACAGGCAGCAATGAACCTGCAGGATATTGATTACACAAAAAAATACACTCTTGAGAGACCTCTAAAAACCCAACATCAGGAAAATGTTGAGTCCCTTTTCAACTCTTAATTTCCTTTGGCAACTTCATAAGGTACATAAGGATGTTTAAGGACACCAAAGCCATCAGTCTGTTACTTAGCGAACTTTGAGTGAATATTTCCAAGGAAGATAAAATTTTTAAGGAAGGCCATATCTATAAGTAATTCTAAGTAAAAACTCACATACTGGGAAGGACATGACAATGTCAGCCTCATTCATTGTAAGTAGGTGTGAGAGCATGGGGGACCATAACCATAGGGAAAGACATATCGTACATACAAAACAATAAGTTGAGAAGGATATGAAGGTGGTCAATGTTGCAGGCAACTTATGAATGATGTGCAGGGCCTATTACCTGCCAAACAACATCCCTCTCCCTGTGTTCGTGCACCTGCCGAGCGTGGAAGATGATGTTCTTGTGGGAGCTGGTGTCCATAGTACTTTTCTCGCCCTCAGATGCGCCAGCATCAATCTTTGTGTGTTTGGCACCAAGGGAGTCGATTGAAGAAATGTCTTCATCAAAGTCACGAAACTTGTGCTTGAGTTTATTGGAAAAGAGCTGGTGGGGTGGACATGCCTCAGCCATTTCAAAGTCTGGATGATTGATCAGTAGTTTATATGCCTCAAGAATATTGATGGGAAGTTGATATTGGGGGTTATGGAAGGTCACTTTTTGGCCTTGGCTAACGAAGTGGTCAGTAGACAGAAAATAATGAGAACTAGGAAGACACACCAGACATAGGTTATTGTCAGCTTTTCCTCAAACTCTGGTGCCGGAGTTGGTGTGCTTTCACACCCGGGAGCTTCTCCAACAGGCCATCCATCATCACTGCTCTCACAGCCACTTGCATTGGCTTTATCCTCACCGGAAAGGAAAGGGTTGTTGGGGGAGTCTTGAGTAGGCCATATTTTCTTGGCTCTAGAATTGGAGGGAGATGGTAGTGCATGAGGGAAGAGCTTGCAGGAAGGTGTCATAGGTAGCTTTGGTAGCTTTGGTAGAGAATGTGCAGAAAAGGTAAGATGAAGTCGATTATGCAATCTCCAATGTGTGGTGATCAGTGTACTTGTTGACAAAATAAGAGTAAAAGACATCATAAGAATCGTGTGAAGTAATTGTGTGAGGTAAAATGTTTGAGCCATATACTGGAATAAGATGTGCTGCACGGAAAATGCAGTCAATATGAATGATGGAAATATCTGGTCTGCCATCCTCAAGTGTTGTGGGAGCAACAACATACATTCCAGTATCCAGATCACATGCATTGAGGACATGCAAGAACCACCAAATAACAGCACATTGAAAAAAAGAGGTGTGATTGCTGAAAGAAAAAAAACAGAGCACTTGTGCAACCGTGATGTAGAGATTCACATAATTACAGGCTTGCAACGCATAATACTTCAGTCCATACCACCCGGGTTTGCAGCACCAACTCACAGCATCATTCCCTGACCTTTCCCAAGCTATTTCCATATCAGGCAACACTTTCCTGCATTGCACAATGCCCTCGCATCACTCGCTTTCATCGCCCTATCATCCAGGAGCATCCATCCACTGTCCAGCAAGTTTCACTGGTATGTATTTTCACATTTTACTCAGAATGGCACCATATTAGAGCATGGACCCTGCCTTACATACCCTATTACATACATTATCTCCTACTTGGCTCACTTAGCGAGACACATATACCTCAAGTGCCACTAAGATCACTAGGTGCATAGAATGAGACAGCTGCAGAATTAAAAATCAAGACTTTCTCCAAGAATAATGGTGCTGATGCGGGGTCAAATACAGGAGGGTCGGGGTCAGCAGCATGAGCTTGGTCATGAATAAATTCCTGGATCAGTTGCTGAAAACTAGGGAGCTCCAGTTTGTCACCAAGTGCATGGACATCACATCTACAGCCTGAGACAGGTAGTATCAATAAGGCTTACAAAGAGCGCACACAAACTTATGAGGTGTTGCTGCAAGGTCAACATGTACCTCTACTGCAGGTCCATCAACCGTTTCACTGACTTCACCCTCAATAGACCGATGCTCAGGTTTATTAACATTCAGAAACCTAGGCCGATCTGTGAGAGCAGGCTCCATTATTAGCAAAGTTGTCATCTTCTTCATCAGAGTCAGACTCGTAGTGACCTGTGCATTGTGAGATTATTACCATAATAAATGAAATTAGAATTAAATATGCTTTCAAAGCTTATGCAAAGCTTTAGATAGACATGAGCCCTTCAACATTCTGCATACCTGAACATCTGCACGAGCAGCTGCCAGTTTATCCAGTCATTGATTGGTGAGTAACATCTGTCCAAGCACTTTGAACCAGCTTGAGCAGCACCAAGGCTCCTTGATGGCCTTGATATGCTTTGACTCCATAATGGAAGAACAAAGCCCATTGGGGGCCCCAAATTGCTGGATAAGAAGTAAATAGTGGTTTAATGAGTGCTGGCATGGCAGGGAGAAAGACAGGGTGACACCAGTTGTCTTGAAGATTTCCCGGTATGTGTGGAACCTATCAAGTGCATCCTGAAGTTGTAAGAGGTCGTCCTCAGTAAGCATGTTGCATCGAATGATGTAGCAAAAGTCCAGGAAAGCACTAAAGGTGCATACTACATCATCAGGGACATGACCCCTGATAGCAGGAAGGTAGACCTGATTACTAGCAGATCAGCTTAAGTCCTGTGACAGCAGATGAGGGGTTCAAAAACTTCAATCCTCTTGGGAGGGTTCTTGACATCTCTTCTGTCATGCTGTGAGCACATGAGAGATTCAAACCTCAATCCTCCTGCGAGGGTTCTCGACATCTCTCCCATCATGCTGTGAGCACATGAGAGATTCAATCTTCGATCCTCCTGTGAGGGTTCTTGAGAAACATTGTAACGCACCTTCATCAATGCCTTTGAATCATCACCAGTTCATTGTTTAAATCTGTGTCCTTCTGGAAATCATCGTAAACCTGTGAACGGATAAACAGCTGCAATCCTGACTATATGTTAGTGATAATCATGCAAAGCTGTGTGTCTCTTACTTATTGTCAATGTCATCCATGATCTGTGCAGCATGGGAAGTGTCATATGTAATCTTGAGGTAAAACTCAACCCAATCTACCAGATGATCTTTCAAAGTGCCTTTGATAATTTGGTGGAGAATGTCTGGTGAAATAAATTCATGAATATCAGCTCGAGGGTAGTCATTCATAAAGGGCTAAAAAATCAAAAGTAAGAGTGTATTAACACAGGAATCATCGAAACCACACTCACCACAACATCACCAACAATACCATATTCCTTCCATAGCTTTCCATACTTGAGCTCTTCGACAAGAAGCTCCCTGTGTTTCTCGCACCAGCACAAGCACAGTCCATCACTGTTGACCTGCACCAAACTGGTCCGGTGCATGACTGAGCGGTGCTCGTGAATATTTTTTGGGAATTTTGCATGGAGTGAATTTTTTGTTATTTGGCTCAAAGATGACTCAGCCAGATTCTCACACATCTGAAGTATTCATGAAAAATATTAATATTTCCTGCATATGTTTGTTTGCGGGAACTTCCAGGAAACTTTAAATACACGTGTTACCCAGTTTTTGTTCTATGTCATATGTTACATTTCTAAACAACACCAGATACAAACAAGTTTCAACACATTATGTAAACTATGTTCTCTTACCACAGTCAGCCTGATCTATGACTAAGCCTGACAAATCATGTTCACCTACGTACGATTTACATGGGTATTATGATCTATGACAAATAATGCAGTATATCTAGATACGTGAGAAAACAAAAATTGAATATACCTAGGTACACGGGAGTAAATTAGTATAGCCATATAGATTTGTCTATATAAGGACCTCCGTTTTGGCCTGAAATGAAATCAATCAGATTCCCTAGAATCACCTTAATAAAATTGCGAGTGAGGTTTGTGTGTGATCAGCATCAGCAACAACCACGAAGAGTTGTTCAACATTGTTAGGTATATTGATGAGACAGTAGGAGCCATTGAGCTCACTGTGCTCAACAACCTGCAAGGCCTGGTTATTTTTTTTGAGAAGTCTCTTGTTTTTTTTTATTCTGAGTGTTTGTGTTTGTGTGTGTCTCTGTCTCTATTTCTTTTATCTCTGTTTCTCTAGGCTTGGGATCTATTTCTTTTTAAGTCTGGGATCTATTTCTTTTAGTCTGGGATCTATTTCCTTATCTCTGTTTCACTAGTCTGGGTTCTGTTTCACTCTATCTGTTTCACTCTCACTACCCATTGAAAGCTAACAGTCTGAATGCTCATTTATTGTTGTGCAGCTGATGTATTATAGATTTGAGCAAATATATTCTGAGTGTTTGTTTCTTGCTGCTGATACTAACGTACTTTTGATTGTAGCAAATACATTCAAGCCTTATCCCTGATTCTTCGTGTTGTCTCTACATCTGCTAAAGACTCAGAGTAGCTTAGTGGGGAGACTTCAGAAGTTGATTATTGTCTGCTTGACCTCACACATCTAAGTAGTATACTGAGCTGAGATTGTCATTTGTTAGATAGGCTTTAGCTGTTGAATAGGGGACTTGGTATTGAAATTCAAGGACATCCATTTCTGATTCTATTTAATACTCATTGTGAGTTCCTTGGCAGCAGATTCAATATTAGGCTAAGAGTTCTACAGAAGCTTTTGACAAGTCTTGACCTTTGATCCTACCTGTTTGTGCTATGGGAGTGACCAATACAGCTTCGCACAACTTTTCATAGTAAGTTCAGAATATAGCACCATTGATTGTGCCTAGTTGTAGTTTCTGTTTCTGTTTAGTACCATTGATTGTGCTTAGTTTTAGTTCTTGTTTTTGTTTCTTTGTTTCTTTTAGTCAACACCATATCGCTGGGTTGACTAGTGTTTCTATACTGATTTCGTAGAGTACCTTTGTCTGACCATAGTTTGGATATACTAACAGGCCACCCACAAACAACCACATTATCAGTCATTGGTATTTGTCTGAATCACTGACCATGGAGATATTTAAACTTGTAGGTGTTCATCTATAGATCATCTATCTAAGAAGACACCATCTAAGTCTCTCCAGTCAGCAAGACACCTAAAAATAGTCAGCATCTATGTAGTCAAGTCAGTTAACATCAAAGTACGCACTTTAGACACCATCCCTGGACTACCCCAGACAGCAGTACCTGCTCTGGATAGTCGGCAATGTAGGGACCCAGTCCATATATGACCCTGCAAAAATGTTCATCAGGGAAGTGAGCGACATCAGGGGTGTCCATGTAAGGTTTGATGGCCTCAAAGATTTTGGCGAGGGAGCAATGAAACATTTGTCATGAAAAGTCATGGTAAGCTGTATCACCAGCATGTTCCTTTGTAGCTATATAAAAAGTAAGTAAGGACTGAGGCATGACATTGGGAAATGGCTTGCTTTTTGGGATGGCAAGGAAACCCACCAAAACTACACCATTACGATGTGCATGTCATGTACTATTGAAAATGTTGCCTATGGACATATAGAGCAGATGATATTCAGTATGTCCTGTGGCTACCGATGAAGGTTCAACAATTTAGATGGTTAGTCTGAACAATGTTGGGTCTTGCTGCCTAGCTACATTGTCTAGAAGACAGTGTTCGACTGTTAAGAATGTGCTCAAGGGTCAAATCCAAAGGGCTTGGCTTCAGCTCGTACGCTGCACCCCTTACCCAAGTATGTGCCCCTAACTTCCAAAAGCTTAATGGACAATGTCTGAAGGGCATCAGGCAATGTCTGGAGTCCAATGTCCAATGTGCGGAAGGTCCAGCGGACATTCAGGAACAGGTGATAAAACTAATCTGGATGATGTCCAAACTAGAAAGGAAACAGCAGAGGACTACCAGAGGTAGAGGCAGAGGTGATAAGTCTATAGGGATCAACCTGAAGACTTTTGGCAGTGGTTGACGAGAGGAGAACTCAAGACGGACGGAGGAGGGAATGAGCAGAGTCTAAGATAATATTCAAACTGAGGTAGTACAAAGATTCTACAGGGTTTATATACTACAGAGGACATAACGGAGAATCAGCCAGTGCAGTCTGAAGCTATGCGAGGCTGTGGACGAAAGTCCATGCTCTAATATGGTGCCATTTTGATAAAAATGCAGAAATACATACCAGTGAGACTTGCTGGACAGTGGATGGATGCTCCTGGATGATAGGGCCATGAAAGTGCAGGAAAGCGAGTGATGTGAGGGCATCACAAGGCGTGGGAAAGTCGTGCGATGCGGGAAAGTGTCACCTGATAAGGAAATAGCTTGGGAAAGGTCAGGGAGTGATGCTGCAAGTTGGTGCTGCAAACCTGGGTGGTATGGACTGAAGTATTATGTGTTGCAATCCTGTAATTATGTGAATCTCTACACCGGGTCGGATCCAGACTAGATAGAAGTTGGCTGGATCCAAAAACTTGGAAATAATTTGTGTGATAGGTCTGGGTCTGGAACGCGGGATATGACATTGACCCTAAAGGGTTTCTGTACTAAGCTCAAAGCTCAGAGAGAGAGGAAAACTACTAAGACTCAAACTTGTGCTGGAAACTGGTGAAGAGGTAACTTCCTTATGTAAGCTACAAAATAGCAAACATAAGGTAAAGACAGTATCTACAAGCCTAGTCAGGAATGAGTCTCTACACCAAAACTGTTGTCTTGTTGCTACTGATTATTAGAGGCATGAAAGTTGATCTGTGATTCGCTTCATTTTGAGCAATGATGTCCTACATAAATACTGTAGTACTTTGTTAGTTCTACATCAGGAATAGCTTGACATGTCAATACATACTGCTTGGCTCCATGCCCAGTCTCAAAAAAAAAAGTTCTTGAAGTATTGAGTATCTTCTGTGCTGTAATCCTGATAAGGGACATATTCCATTTCTCTGTCAAAATTGGGGTTCTCAAGCATGTTATGCAAAAGGAGGCAAGGATCTCAAAATCAAACATTGTAAGTTGCATCCATTCATGGTGGCATGTCGTGCAGCAGTTTGGCACCATTGTGGGACATGGAGAATATCTTCCATGGAACATCACCAAGTGGTGTTGCATCGATGGTGTCGTATAAGTCACGATGACCTGTGAATGGTGGAGCATCATTATGCTTGATCAATGATGCTGCCCACAAGTCGAGAAGGGTGTCAATTTGTTTTGCAGATGTCTGATTCCATGAGAATAGAAATTCAGCAGTTTTGAATGTGATACAGCTTTCATATGGGGTCCAATCATCCAGCAAAGTGTCAGTTTGGGATGGTGGAAGTGCATTCTGATCAATAGAATTACCCTCAGTGTCACATTTTAGTCCTGTGTGATGGAATTAGTTTCAAATATCTCTGCCAGTGACAACAGCGAGCTTACCAGTGAGACTGGGATGGAATACTTGAAAAAGTGGTCCTAATTCTACCCAACTTCCATCCTTAGGCACAAAGCCTTCTTGATGCTCAAATTTGGCATCAAGATTGGGCCCACCCAAGTCCAGATGGTCATATTCAGACCTTGCTTCAGGACTAGGTGAACAAACTCTACATGCTGCTTGGTGAAATATTTGGCAGTTGCAAGATGCTCTTAAATGCTGTGTGCAGGTGTGCTTCGTCAAGCCAGACTTTTTCTTGAACATACGACTGCAGCCAGTGAATGGACATGGAAGCAAAACTAACTTATAGGAGTGAGGAACTGATAAACGTGTGCAGGATGGTGCTATGCTGACCAGTTTGAATTAGCTGAAATATTGAGTTCAAAGCAATGCAAATATCACCTTCATAATGACATGAATGCGGAATAGACTGTGTGAATCATGTTTAGGGTCAAACTGAGGTAATAAAGCTCAAGAATTAACAAGACACACCAGCCAACTTTTCTTTACTACCAACCAAAACACTCTTTACTTGTCACTCATTCAAATTCTTTTAACTATGTCACGCCCTGCAACCTGTGCCAGCAATGCAAACAAACACCCTGGAGATATTGTCCACATCACAAACCAGCAGCAGCACTCAAAAAAGGAGATCACTGCTGAAAAAAAAGAAAAACAGAAACAAGATAAACAAGCAGCCAAGAGCACTGCAGCAGAACAAGCGCGCACCAAGACTGCCATGCAGGAAGATGTAATGGCCATTAAGCAACAAGCTCAGCTTACAGGCCCGCCAAAACTCATTAGACCACAACCAAGGCCTCACATTCCTGGAAAAAAAGGCACAGAACCCCAGACTGATCCAGGAGACACACAACCAAGTAAGTAAGTAGTATGGTATGTTATGTAGTATGAGAGATGTACTTACTTGACACGGACATTTGTACAGCTGCACCAACGAAGTTAGCAGCTACTCAGAATACAGAGCAGAAGAGGCATGCCCCATTACAACTCAAGTTTAAAGAGAGTGTAATGGCAAACCAGAAAGTCTCAAATTCTGGCATTTCTGTATCTGACAGTGGGAGCAAAACACGTGTTGGAAGCACTGTCAGCAAATACATCACCAAATCGCTGTAAGTTGTTATTGTTGAACCATGATGTTGCTTCTATCAGAACTTACCTTGTATTACTTCAACTTAATATGCTCACTCAATACAATCAGTCAAAGTTCTAAGCAACTGGGTGCTGAAGGTGTTGTCAAGAATTGGGCTGACAAAGTCGCCAAATCTGCAAAGAAGTCCCAGGCCAAATCGAGCAAACCATCAGCACCTACTAATGTCTGCACCACTGGTATGTGACTCACTTGTTGTCAAGACATGTTCTAATTTTGATTTGTTAGTCCCAGATGACATTGACATTGAGTTGGATGACGATGTACCTGAGGAGTATGAACCTCATAAAGGAGGGGATGGAAAAGTAAGTGTGCAACTGACCTTTGGGATGTACACTGATGCTAGTCTGAGTCAGGCTGTCATATATATACATCAGAAACCCAAGAGCACACAAAAGGGTAAAAAATGTGCGTTTTCAGCTATCAAGGACTCAGAATTCGAGGAAGCAGCTGACCCCAAGAACGAAGAGGTGCTCGAAATGCTTGATGACCCCAACACTGCTGTGAATGGTGATGATGGTGAGGACCAAATCCAAGATAGTGATGTGGACATGAAGGTTGCTGTTTGTTCGACAACATCTGTAAGTGTTATGTTCTAATAGGTGAGATACTAAGTGACACCCCATCACATGATACACAGATGTCCACAGACATCTCCAACAAACAAACAGCTATGAAGTGCATCAAGACAGAGGAGGCTACTAGCAAGGCAGCATCCATCAACTTGAAAAAGGTAAAGCCCAGGAATGCTCATATACCTGACAACATTGCCAAGAGCTGGAGAGCGACATTCCTTCCTGTGCTCATGTACTGGGTTGGAAATTCTAGCTACGGCTGGTCCATCCCAGAGGAAGATCTCTCCAATGCGCTTTATGAGATATCTAACTGTATTGGTGGTAAGAACCGGGGGGTGCGTGACTTTGAAGTTGGTAGTTACAGTTATGAACTGGTGAGCTTCCTTTGACTTTGAGATACAGTACTTAACTTGCTGGTCCTACTAGGCCATACAGAAGATTCACGAGTGGAAGGCCTCATTTGGCTTGATAGCAATCACCATTTTAATGACCTTCTTTACTGCCACGAATCCTGTTAGTTGTGTGGTGACTTCACACTAGATATGTTGAAGACTTCTAAGACTTCCAAGACTTGAAGGACACTTCAAGGACATTACTATATTAGTAGATAACTTCGAGGACTTTGAGGACACTTCAAGGACATTACTATATTAGTAAATAACTTCGAGGACTTCGAGGACTTCGAGGACACTTTGAGGACAGACCTCTAAGACACTTCGAGGACACATACCATACTAGGAATTGTTTATATTTGTTTACATAGACTCGCCCATAGTGCAGAGTTCACAAGTCTTACATGCTTCGTGCATTGACTTTGAACTCTCAGGTACAGTACTTTACTTATTTACACAATAATATCAAGTGCATTGACTTTGAACTCTCAGTTCTTCTAACAAATCCAGAGTATGAAACACAAGCTGCACACAAGTCTTTCACCAATGATTAACTCAAGGATTCACACTTCATTTACGATAACCCCGATAGTGAAGACAATCCTGGAGCATTTTTATCAGAGTTTTTCTTGTGCACCTTTGCTATGCATTTAAATGCAATTGTAGGGCATGAGAAGGTTGACACCCTGGACAGTGGAATGATTGGTTTTGAGACTGCACTTGCATTGACGGCTGCAGCTGTGAGTCAGGTTTTTGGTTCTGATCCATTTTTGACTTTGTTCTCAGGTTGAGTGCACACTTTCCTTGGTGTCTACAATTATTTGGTTCCATGTGACCCCTCTAACTCCAACAAGAAAAACCACAAGAGAAGGCCTATGTTACGACTTGGATGGTATCTGTTGGCGACGCTCAAACAGAGCTTGTGTCGTCAACGGTCGAGGACGTCCTTGGGCTAGCCCAAGGTTAGGGGTCATACTTGGCGAGTCTTTGGTAAGTATGATTTGACGCCTATGTCCAAATCTGGTAGCTTATGTCACGCGGGTGCGAGACGATAAGCTATATCGGCCTAAGCTTACGACACCCGAAGGTTAATCGTAAGGGTCGTCGTTAATTTAGAAGGACAGAAGTCCGACTAGTTAACAGGGGCTTTGCTCGTCGACGAAGTCGATGAGTAAAGATCGAGACTATGGGCTTATCCGCGAAGAGCAGATAAGAAGATAGAATATAGACTGCTGGCGAGGCAGAGGGATCACTCTGGTGAGAGTAGGAGGTCAAGAACCAAGTAGATTCAAGTTAAGGAATATAGTACATGGTAGCGAGTTTATATAGAGGACAGGAGATGTATTAGTGGGTGATAACTCGTACTACCAGGAGAGGCAATCAGTAAAGGGGATAACCATAACAGGAAGGCACGTTCGGTTGAGGCAGAACGTGCTAGATAAGAAAACGAGTCAAAAGATCGAACTAAGAAGTGAAACACGCAGGGGCACGATCGTGCAACTGCGGATCTAAGTATAAGTCGCATGTGCGACTGCGCACCGAGTCATAGATCGAAAAAGGAACAAAGGGCAAAGGGGATGCGTCGTGCATCAGATCATAGGTTACCGTCCAGATGGTAAGGGTAAGGGGACTGTCCACAGGATCAGTCAGGTGGTGAAACGGAGCATGGGTATGCTTCGTCAGTGAAAGGATCGGGCCAGATGTACTGGCTTTGCTGAAGCGACAGGTAGAGGGCGAAAGGGAATGCAAGGATGATGAGGATGACAAGGGTAAGGTCGGGGTAAGGGTATGACGCGAGGGCTGATACGAGGAGGATTAGGAGAAAAATAGTAGGGGCCCAAGCATCTAGATGTTCTTGTAACAGCCTACATGGATACGATAATGGAGCTGCCAGAAAGCCAAGTCAAGGAGATCATTAGTCAAGCAACACCTTTTATGAGGCGTGCATGTTGCAGCAGCACATCAACTGAACTTTCCATGTCAGGACTGTCAACCCATGCTCTCACATTCAAATCTGTATTTTCCTCTTTTCTTTCTGTGCAGCTGTATCACTGATCTATTACTTGCAGGATTTATAATCATTTTGTGCCCTCTTTGATATCTACCATCCACACTCTACTGCAAGTCCGTTATCTTCACACCGGCAGCAGCTTCAACTGTACAGTACTATACCCTCCCTCGAACATTTTTACACATTACTCTACCCGCTTAGCAGCGCTTATTTAGCATTTTAGTCCCTCATTCCACACTGCTTAATTTCCTTAGACTCATGCCTTGAGCTACTTATTGATTTGTTTTACACCTGCTAATAGTGACTTTTAGCTGCTTTTTGCTCACCTGAACCTGTTTGAGTAATCAATCTCCTTGTCCTAAGGACAAGGACCTACTTATTTCTCCTTATTTAAAGTAACAAAGTTTTGACTTGATTCTCCTTATTTGATGTGATAAGTCAAAAAAGTCATGTTTAAGACAAAATAAGGGACTCGATGTTTTCCTGATGAAAACACTTGTGCAAAACACACAATGACACAACAGAGACCCCATCATCCACAAGCTCGCAATCAGAGATGACTAGAGACACAGGTGGAGGTCAAGAAGATGCTTGGTTAAGTGCGGAGGACAATGTGGAAGCCATATGAAGGAACACAAGTGAAAATGAAGAGGGGGGAAAATCACAAAGAAAAAGTGGTGATGATGACAAATTCCTTGTCCAAAGAAAGTGATGATACGATGGAGAGCCAGGATGCTTGAGCTCAGGGAGAAAAATTTCTGGAAGACCTGTACCTTCTTTTAGGGTACAGGAAAATCTGCGATCAGCTGTCGTGGGAACCCAAATCTCTGTGGGGAAAGTTTGGGCTCAATAATCCGCTTTTGGATAGGGCGGGAAGGCCAAACATTTGTAAATACTCTCCTCCTCGTCTCTAGCATTGGCGCCAGTCAGTACGTTGGCAAGACTTGTACATCTTTCGATTCCTATTTCTCGGACCAATCCCTTTGGCCTCGCAACAACTAACCTACCTGGATTTCCTCTTGACATAGGTCACTCAGCGTCGTACGACAACTAACACATTTTACCAATCCTGTCGCCGACGACGTGTGTCAGCCTCGCTTTTGGCAGGAAATTTGTATACAATTTTTATGTACGTTCCCTCACGATTATACGGTTGTGTTTGCGCTAACCCGTTTCAGATCGTGAGCTCAAAGCTCCATCAACTTTCGAGCTCCGGCCCGGATACCTCGGGCTTGTCCGCACCTTTCTTCTGGGATGACTGTCTCCCATAGGAAGCGACAACACCAACCGGATGAAATCCAAAGTACGCGGTTTCTTCTATTCATTCCGATGATATCTTCTGCTCCATCGAATACCTTTCTCACGCTTCATTTACGCAACCTTTGCAGCTGTAAACGAGCCCGGCTTGCAGATTCAATGTGATTGCTGTCAGTGCGACTTGACGCATTCTGCTCGTATAAAGTGCGCCGATCCTGTCTGCGAGCCTGGAGATGGCGTGGACATCTGTCCCGCCTGCTTTTGCGCCGGCAAAGAGTTTGCCAAACACAAGGCAGCTCATGCATACCGAGTTATTGTACGACATCGCATTTGATGCACGTTCTTGTATTGATTGGTATTTCAGGAACTTCACTCGTATCCAATTTTCTCTGCTGACTGGGGAGCAGATGAGTGAGTTAAAGTTACCAATGCCTTCCTCGTCGGAGTCATCGCTTTATCTGAAATGTATTTATAGGGAGCTCTTACTTATCGAGGGAATATCTCAGGAAGGCCTTGGAAATTGGCAGATGATCGCAGAACACATTGGCACTCGTACAAAAGAAGATGTCGAAGAACACTACAACAGTGTATATGTCGATTCCCCCAATTGGCCGCTTCCTGTACGTCTATGATTCAAGTTTGTCCCTTCACTGAGTGAATTGTATTATAGCGGATGGATGTCCAATTTAATATTGATCCAGATGAATTCCAGGCTCGCAAGCGCAGACGAATGTCAGCGATGACCACTTCTCTACCTCCACCACCCAAGACAGCTCCAACCTCCGCTCCTGGGGTACACGAAATTGCCACTTTCCTCCCTGGTAGGCTCGAGTTCGAACACGAGCTCGATAATGAGGCGGAGGATCTTGTGAAGGATCTGGAATTCGGAATTTGCCATGCATTGGGCGGTGATCAGATTATAGAAGATGAAAATGACGCGGATGTCCGCGCCAGGGCACGAATGCAGGAAGAGCGCAAAACTGTTGCCGATTCTAGGAACAGCAGTCAGCCACCTGTCAATGGTATCAATGGCATCATGAATGGCAACGGACATCTTCCAATGAACGGCGACGCGCGTGTCAAATCAGAGGAACCGTCTAGTGAACAGCAGGTTTCAACGGAGGACGACGCAAATGCGGAAGAAGCAACGCTGCCTCCCCCATATGAGACGGAAGAATCACTCGCTTTCAAGCTGACTCTGATAGAGATGTACAATCAGCGTCTTGACAAGCGACGAGAGGCCAAAGCTATCATGTATGAACGAGGTCTCTTGGAATACAAGAAGGTATGTGGGTGTGTATACGCACATCATAAACTTACTTCTTTTTCAGATGCAAGCCGCCGAAAAAAAGCGTCCGAAAGAAGAAAAGGACATTGTACAGCGGCTCCGACCGTTCGCTCGACTTCAGACTGCTGAGGATTTTGAAGTTTTCGCAGCTGATATTCTATGTAAGAATTTTCCGCATTGTGGTGAAAATGTGCTGATGATACTATTGCAACAGACGAAGCCATGCTAAGGAAGAGGATACAAGAACTGCAGCATTATCGGCGAATGGGACTTACCACTCCGGCCGATATCGATAAGTTTGAACTCGATTCCATTCGCAGGGTGAGAAATTTCACATAATTGTTTTGTCAAACCATGCAGCTTATCCGTACGGTTAGACTCAAGCGAAAGCAAATTTATCTCGCGACTATTATTCTTCAGAACGTCTGGCACAGCTTCGTGCATCAGGCAGTACGAGTATAACATTTCTTCATTCCCTTTGTTTACGTTCTTCACTGACGCTGTTGCAGGAGATTCAGAAGGTCGCAAAAGTCACGAGAGAGAATCAACTCCGAAACTTGGGACTCCTGCCGGAACGGGTCCTCCAATCCGCAAACCACGTTCGTTTATTCCATCCGAAAGTATCCCACAATGGCTCACTTTACTACCTAGCTGCCCCTCTCAATCTTGCCAATAGCCCATCCTTGCATTTACTCACTCCAGCCGAGCAGACCCTCTGCTCCCAACTCCGAATCTTACCCAAACCATATCTTGTCATCAAAGAGACCCTCGTCCGGGAGTACGCTCGTCGTGGAGGCAAGCTTCGCCGCAGGGAAGCGCGAGATCTCGTCAAGATTGATGTGAATAAGACGAGTCGAGTTTGGGACTTCCTAGTGCAAGCCGGTTTTCTCAAAATCACACCGGATCCGCCACCTGCTGCTGCTGCTCAGGATACCCCGTACGTGTAACTTTTTCCCTGTAGCCGGGTATTAACGAGATTATCTAGTATGAACGGCATCTCCCATACATCACTGAGTGTGTCTCCATCCAAGGAGACCTCGCGTATTTCACCACATCCTCCCGCAACAGGGAATCTGTCCATTAGTCAAAATGGATTTGGTCACCGACCAATGCCCAATCACACACCACCTAGCATACCTGCCCCACTCTGGCCTTCAATTTGACATCCTTGCTATCTTTGCCCCGTCGTTTGCTTCGTCAAGCAGCATCTGTACCATAGCATTCGCATACATTATTTACCACATGCAACTTATGGATTCATTATTGAGATTTTAAACTCCAGAACCAGCTTGAGCGATTAGATCGTCAATTATACTGCGGTCAACCGGGATATTAGCTTTACGCAAGTAATCATCATTCCTACGCAGATGTCAACGTCTCTCCAACCAGACATGATGTTTTCTTACCAGAACTGATAACGGCCCAAGCACAAGCGCATTAGGGAATATTTTGTCTTCGCGGATACCACGCACTTACCTTGGAATAATGTCTGTTGCCAGAATCGCATCTGGGAAGACGGTGAATCACATCATTCATGCCACATATGTCCAGGGAAACCTACAAGATCGTGACGAGTGTTTGACCATCCCGCCATCCCCTTTGCTTTACGAATTTGATGCATGCCACCAGGTTGCACGCGCTGCTGGAGCCCAGAAATAGTCCATCGTTTTGAACGAGATATCGGGACATGGCAACCGCTTCCACGTCAGTTATCCTGCGTCGTTGGTGAACTTTCGTTGAGGTCGAAGATAAAGGATTTAACGTGACGTACCGGAACGCGTCATCTATGATCGGGATCCCAAGGTCGATGTTATTTGTCATCCGGTTGATCCCTCTGAGATGGCTAGGTCAGACGGAAATTTGAAGATAGCATCTGTATACACACATCCCCTCGACTACGGTGTCCACTTGATGCCTTCGTTTTGTTCCTTCAGCTTCTCTGCGATCGTACATTACGCCATGCTTGACCTGAAGATGCGTGAGGGAATGTCAGGCAGCCAACGAGGACAGGCTTCGACCTTATTATAAAGCCCGCTGCCTTCTGGGTCCGCTAGGACGACCTGCACCTCCTCGTCCATCGATTTGAGAAATCGTCCAATACCTGCGATCGTTCCGCCCGTCCCTACATCGTATAGTATTGAAAACCCGGATACTCTGAACATAACATACACGCACCTGCTCCAGATACAAATGCATCAACATGACTATTAGTTTGACGCCAAATTTCCGGACCGGTTCCGTCGTAATGGGCTTCAAAATTACTGCGATTCTATGTACACGTGAGTTTGATTACCATGGATTTGTCAAGGCAAGCACCTCGAATTGGTCGGCAAAGAAGCCCCTTGGCTTCTTTAGCAGATCTTCATCCAGTGGGTCATCAATGGTGCCTTCTGCATTAACGTGCGACGATGTACTCGTCACCACTACAGATGCAGAACCTGTATGGAGCTCATGGTTTTTATGGGCGTCCTCCAAGCCTTTCACTATATCCGAACGTCCGAATTCGATAGCTGCTCGCCTTGCGATATTCTTTTTGCAGATTTGTGAATACATATTGCATGATTTTCCTCAACAAAGAAATTGCTCACCACATACTGCGACCATCATGCCGATTCTGGTAAATAAATGAAACGGTGACCACGATATGAACTCGAACCTGTTTCTTATCGACGATGCTCGCAGGACGAACGCGCTTAACATCAGCTCCAAGAGCCTGTAATGCATTAACCTTCTCTTGGGCCACATCATCCGGCATGATAATCGCTAGAAAATGTGAGACGGGTTCAATAGGTCGAGGAATTTGCCTACTTGTATCATATCCCCTGCAACATCGTGTTATCAGATGTGAAGTTCTCGTACTAGAAGTAGGGTCACTTGCCTTGCCCTGGCTATCGTTGCTATTGAGATGCCAGTAGATCCAACAGTGCCTTCGAAGATGCGGGATTCAGTGTGAGGGTGCAGCAAACCTTGTCGTTCCGCGTCCTCGATTACTTCAGGTTCGTAGTAAGATGAGGTATTTTAGGTCGATTGCTGCGCGACAAACTCACTGCGCAGAGCAACTCGGTCCTTGACACTCCCTCCGGGATTCAGAAACTACAAATTGCCACAAAGTTGGAAACATTGAATTGGGATGTTCTAGCTTGAAACACACCTCTGCCTTTCCAAGAATCTCGACTCCCAAAGCATCACTCAATGAGTCGATCCTCACCAAAGGCGTATTTCCTGAACAGTCAAACTTGGATACCCTCGAAGAACGTTCAAACGGCCGAGAGACACACCTATCAATCCAGTGACACCATATACGACTTCATTGCTTCTCAAGTGAATTGGCTGAGACTCGTGTTGCTCCTGCAAAAGGTTTTGACGTCGTCGGGAGCGCCAGTATGATGATATGGACGTCGACGTTATAGACAAAGTAAATCCAATGAAGATGCCAAACGTGATATGGCGGACAACGGCATTGGAATACCAGGGAGGCAAAATGAAGTCGGAAAGTTTCATGGCATGAAGTGAACGAAGTTCTCGAAAAACGTGCTCGAGTTTATGATTGACTGTACTTACATACGACGCGAACTACAACACCAGCTGGTATTCGCATGGCATACTGCATGTTCGAACATTCTCAAAAAGGATGGCTCAATGTGGAATTACAAATGCTCATGAATTCAGATAAAATTACTAGTATGTATACAAATAGAAATCCATCAGACAGACGCTCGACTCGCTGGCTCCGTTTCACTAAACTGCAAGCAGTCGCGCGAAGAACAAAACCAAACGTCCTCGAAACCCCACGTAAACGCGAAGCCATGTTCTCTGTCGAACGAGAGAGCGCGGTTGTCATCGAGTGGATTTGAAGGAATGTGGCATGTGTAAACATGCAAGACTCGAGTTAGTTTCTATAAAATAGATCCTAGCTGAGTATGTTCTAAGGATTTCACTATGTCGGACACGAGGTTTATATATCTTTTAGACATGGCCCGTGCGCAACACTCCCACGGCTCGCGCGCTGCCAATTGATCTGAGTCCAGTGACTGTGAGGTTTTTTTCTCTGCTCAAGTTCAGTGACAGTTCATTTGACGCGTTGTCTGCTCATGACACACATGTAGTACGCGCACCTCTCTGCCCCGTTTCCACCTTGCTCAAGTTCCTCCTACAGCAAACATTACAAAGCGTATACCTTGCGCCAACCCTTTGTACTTCTTTGATAGTCTATAGAATGGATTGCCCCTTTGCTCGGAGTTGCCTGCCTCGTATATTGTCTGGCCTTTCCGTCCGTTTCGCATCTTTTTTCAAAGTTTCGGCAGTGGATCATTGATTCATTCCGTGGTCATGGTGGCACACTCCAACGAATTACCGCCAGCCCTGTACATGATCCACACGACCTTCGGAGTTTTCTCGCGTCACCGCTGTAACCATTTGAATGAGGTAAATAGCAGGGTAAAATGTTCATTTCTACGCACACCGTAATCCCTACCCCACTGAATTGATTCTCTTTACAGAAATCCGATCAATGCAGTTCATATTTGTGCCGCATGAGTCTATAGTCTCCCCTAGGCATCGTAAGACAACCTCTATACTGTGAACTTTCAGCTCTTACAAAAGTCTACATATGCATAAGTATGCTTGCGTCACCACGGCTATAAATGGATTGTGTATTTCCTTGTCGGGCAGTGGAGACACGTTACTCACAGGTGGTTAGATACCCTCATCTCAACTTTCTTTCCACCATGGCAAACGTCATCCAGAAGCAAAAGCTCTTTTTGTCATTTCCGCACTACGCCGTGGTCGGTGCTTCTACAGACCGGTCAAAGTTTGGCACAAAGGTACTCCTTATGTCAACATTTGTCATATACATGACAATATCGTCCAGGTTTTGCAATGGTACATCCAGCGGAACAGGCCAGTAACCCCGGTACACCCGTCAAATGATGAATTGGAGGGCATAAAGACCATACGGTCCTTAACTGATCTTCCGAACCCAACCGAAACGTCAGTGAGCATCATAACACCCGCCAAGGTCAGTAATATGTCATTACGTTCTCAGGTCCGCTACTGAATAGTGCTTGATAAGATCACTATCGATCTACTCAAACAAATTGAGGAGCTTTCGATTCCCGCTGTCTGGTGCCAGCCAGGAGCAACTGACGTTGCTTGCGTTCGGTACATCAAAGACAACGGGATGTCTGACCGTGTACTTTTCGAAGGGGAGTGTATACTGAGAGACGGTGATGGGGTCTTGCAGGCAATGTTATGAGATGATATGTCTAACATTAATTTATTGCCCTATGAAGTTGCCTTTTTCCGCATCCTGGCAGATTATTGGACCTGGCCATGGTCACTGGCCGCGGCAAGTCCGATCGAGTGATTCGGACTCCGAATCACTCATACCGCAAGATCATCCATCCGTGTAGCAGTCCGGCTGCCAGTAGCTGCCACTCCTCACTTGCAATTGCATCTACGTAGATCGCTATTTGATTTCGAACGAGCCAAGAGAAATCATGGCGGAAAAGCTATAAGAAGTTGTCTTCGCGATCACAAGCGTTCTCAGGCCCTCACCTATCGGATTCCCTCGTCATGCTATCCATCTTCCTTTTATCTCTTCTTGTGCTGATCAATATCAATATCAGCCCGCTTGCCGCTCATTCTATTTCCGCCCGTTACACTAAGCCCGTTGTAGCCACTTGGTACGCTGGATGGCATGCGACTGAAGGTTTCCCGCTTTCTTCAGTCAGCTGGAACAAGTACAACACGATGTACTACTCATTTGCGCAAGTTACCTGTATTGGCGTAAACACTAATAGCTTCAATTAACGCAATGATGTTTATTTCTCTTAGAGAGACCACTCCGAGCGTCACTAGCCTGAGCCTGGCAGGCTCTGATGGTGAGTTGCTCCCTAAATTTGTTTCTGAGGCCCATGCACATGTGAGCGAACAAGAATTTGTTGCTCCTACGATCGATATCTAACCAACGCGCAGGGTGTTGAGGCCCATATTGCTGTCGGAGGCTGGACTGGGGGTGTTTGGTTCTCTTCTAACCTCGCCACTGCCAAAAACCGGACGGCGTTTGTCAAAACTGTCGTAGATTTTGCTGTAAAGTACAAGCTTGATGGCATCCAATTCGAGTAGGTCAATTCTTGTGATTCCGAGATCACGCGCTGACTTAAGTCACCCTTGATTGCCAACAGCTGGGAGTCCCCGAACGATCAGGGAATCGGGTGCAACACCATTAGCGTGCACGATACCGCAAATTTCCTCGCATTCCTCCAGGAGCTTCGCCTAAACCCAGTAGCAGCAAAGCTCACCCTCTCGGCCGCTGTAGGACTGGCACCCTTCTTCAATGCTGCCGGAAGCCCTTTGACTGACGTCACTGGGTTTGCGAAAGTCCTCGACTACGTCGCCGTGATGAATTACGACGTCTGGGGTTCTTGGTCCTCGACTGTGGGGGCTAACGCACCGTTGAACGATTCCTGCGCCGCGACCGCCAACCAACAGGGCTCTGCTGTCTCTGCAGTCAAGGCTTGGACGGGCGCAGGGATGCCAGTCGACCAGATCGTACTCGGTGTTGCTTCCTACGGTCACTCATTCAGCGTTTCTCCCTCCAAAGCCTTCGTATCCCACAAAAAAAAGCTAGTTGCATACCCCGCCTTCGACACCAAACACCAGCCCTTGGGTGATAAATGGGATAACACCGGGGGCCTCGATGTTTGTGGCGTTTACGAGGGCTCAGGTGGCACCTTCAACTTCTGGGGTCTCATTGACAACGGTTTCCTCACCAAAAAAGGCGGGCCTGCTCATGGTATCTATTACAGATATGACACCTGCAGTCAGACGGTAAATATGATTTTCTACCATGAAGGAAGAGTGCTCATTTCATTGCTTGGACAGCCATATGTGTACAACGAGACCTCGCAAGTTATGATCTCCTTCGACAACGTCGAATCGTTTGCTGCTAAGGGCAAATATATCAAGGACACTAAGCTGCGCGGTTTTTCGATGTGGGAGGCGGGTGGTGATTACAAGGATATGCTCCTCGACTCTATCATCGAAGCTTTCGGGTATCACCATTAGATCGTCTCTGCTGTTGCAGGTTCGGGACCACGGTGCCGAATCACATTCGTTGACATAGATTACTACGTACGTTGCATATTTTATCACAGACACGCTCTTTGTCATTCTATCAGCGCTTATTAGCTGTCTGAAATGACCCTTCATTTGTTCAGTGTGGTCGCCGCTGCATCTTTCGTTACATGGTTACAGTCACCTTACAGTTTAAGTAGTTAGTTCGTAGACTTATTATTTAGCCAACAAGTTTTGAATCACTATTGTCAAATTCCTATTCGAAATTCGTGTTGCTTATCTACCACTTTCATATTTATATTGTTCAGTGTTCTACTAAGCACACTGCCACTAGCACTGGTGCACGCTCCTGTATGGGCTCTTCCAACCAATTGGAATAGATTGAATCATTTGTCATTCTTCTAGATCTATATTTCAATGTCATTCTTCTGCAGGATTTACCTGTTCACTGAATGTCTCTCGCTAGAGACCCGTTCGCATCTACATGTGATACTGGCGTTTCTCTACCCAATGCTGAATGAGAACGCCCGCCATTACAGATGGCGCGGGTACCCTGAAGGGCGGCTCGTCGTTATTAACTTCCACGAGCTGTTCTTGAGGTTTCGCCGACGCAGAACTGTCATCGGGACCATCTTGGATCTCTGCAATCTTCTTGTAGTCACTACGGGAGAATTGAGTTCCACTAGAATGTCTCAAGACAGCAAGAATTTCTTCTCTGGTATACCATCGCGCATCTATGACACATAACTGAGTTTGACTATGACATCGATGTTTCAGCATACGACTGACCTTCGAGTTCGTTATCTAAATCTGTACGGATTGGCGCAGAAGAATCTGCGGTCGCATAATAGCCGACCATCAAGTTCGCTGGATAGGGCTAATATGCCACAGTTGATAGGTTGGAATTCTGGCGCGTAGAGTCAACGTACCCAAGGCTGTCCAGAGTGATATCGGATGTTCCAGACTTTCACTCCAGCTTCCTCCCACATCTCCCGCTTGACGGCATCCTCAAAGGACTCGCCTGGCTCCACGAAGCCAGCAAGTGCGGAGTAAAATTGGCTAGGGAATTTTTTCTGTTGGGGGCCACGTCAGAAAACAACTTGTATTGAAGATAAAGATGCGAACATTTCTCCCGAGAAGGATTTTCTCTCCCGATTCATCAATGGCGAGCATGATTACAACGGGATCCGTCCGAGGATGAGAGAAATTGTGCAGCCCTCGCCTTCATATCATATGAGTGATTGTTTCCTACGCAGTATTAGAACGAACCCAGAGGGACAAGGCTTCTTGTCCGTGTTATCGGCCCAGGGAAGAAGGGATGTACAGCCCAGCTTCCATCCAGCCCACAAGGAATATGCGGGTGAACCGCAAGCAGGACAGAACTGGATCATCATGTTTCCGTATAAGGCTTCTGTGCTGCAAATACCAACACACACCTTGTTCCTTTGGTTCCAATCTACCATACTTCGAGCCTCCGCAAAGATCGCTGCAGTATACGCATCAAGGCTTGACATCGCCGCACGTGGCTCCACAAAAGTCAATGTCGATCCATCCTTTGCAAGCTGGGTATTCTCTATAGCTTCATTGACCTTATTCTCATCGAGGTCCGCGACATCCGCGGAAAAGTAAGCGGTTCCAACGAGTTTTGAAACAGCAGAATGGGGATCTTTGAATTCGGAAGATGGGAGAGCACTTCCTGAGCTTTGCGTCTCGTTCAAACCAAGGAATACTATTGGTAGACCATGGATTCGGGCAGCCTCAAGAACGGGTAAATCGGATGCGCAATGTTGCCCTTCCTGCTCGCCTTGACCAAAGAACGGCTCTGCACCGAGCAAGGGTTTAACGTCCTCGGTGGTCAACAGCGCCAGACTTCGTTTCTGTGTACCAGTATGAGAAGCAATAAGTGGCTGTCCACCATTAAATAAGATCCACCTCGTAGAGGGTGAAACGACGACTGCATTGAGGAATGAATGAGATGTCCTCAGCCACGATAGACGGTTGAGAGGCGATCCCCCAAGGAAATTTGTAAATCTGGGAAACAAGTTCGTCAGAGGGATGTGTCACGTATGTAAATCATGACACTGACGCTTCGGACATCTTGATGTGCTTGGAAGGTTATGATTGAAAGGGATACACGTACGTGAGTTCTGCTGCAGTACTATGTAGTTATTCGGAAGTGACGGCAGGCCGCAAGCGGGTCACGGCGCGACACGGTCCGTGTCTATTCCAGCGTGGCCTTGAGAGCACCAACCGTGACTGTGGTTACACCAACTTACACGGTGGACCACGATAAAATTGGTGGTCCTAACATCAATTTACCCCACATTTCGTCATTTCCATTCCCCGGAACTAACCTAGTAGTGGCGACCGCCCATCATGATGGTAGGAGTCATATCGAACCTTAACGTGACTGTACTAGGCTAGTAGGTTCTATTCGGGCTTCCACAACTGTGAGCGCGTGGACAAGTCATTTGTGTCTTCTACTGGAACAGTTGCAGGTACTTTCCAATCTTATCTTCTTTCTGCATAATCATTATTCACGCATGCTATATTCCGAAGACTCGGATGAGGTCGTACAATGTACATTGATCTTCCCATACTTGGGTTACAATGCATGTGAGTCACTTCTTACCACCACATTTGAGGGTGATTTCGAAGGAAAGTGCTTCTTCTCCGTGCTTCCTGTGCCTATGAAGTGGTCAAAGCTTGGTGACCCCAATGAGAACGAACAGTGCCTTGTTGGCTGAGCAATATGCCCCTGACACCCAGGCTATTCACCGCTGCTATGCCGCTTTGCCACACCCGTGGGTGACTCCGATTTGGTTGGTCCCCTAACTCACTCTCGACTCAAAGCTCATATTGAACACGAGGCAAGCCATTCTGTCACGGACATTGACCATGTGAACTTTTCAGACAATGCATGCCACTTCAGCTATGACATGTCTTGATACAATTTGCACGAGGCGTTCTAACACAGCGCTCATTCCATGAAAGTTACGTGCGCCGTCCGCCTTGAAACTGCCTTATGCGGAATTCCGTTTGTTCACTACCCATTTTCGGCTACTACGCGAAGTCTTGCGCTCATCGCAGAAGGCCGTCCGGTGGTCTATCCGCCCGCTTTCATCCTTCCATATAGGGCGAACAACAATGGAGAGTCTGTACTGGTCTAATACCTCGAGAATCGACGCGCTCCCGCAGACGGAAAGAAATAAGATTTGGTCCAGTAACCAAACCTTGTATAAAAGTCCAATCACCGGTTCCTGTCCATGTCCCACTTGTTTGAACCTTGAGCTGCCGTACGCCAATTTTGCTAGCGTTGGTTTCTCCTGTATTTCGGAATCCTGAACTCGTGTGTTTTCTGAATTCTAGAATGCGATGACGTCCGACCCCCGCCCAAAACAAGATGGGAATACAGGGTCGACATGTCGCGCAAACTTATCGCCCGCTCAAGTCATTGCGGAAGCGTGGCGACGCGAGTCTCCGCAAAGTCAAGAATTTTGGCGGCAAGCAGAGGCAAAACGCAAAGAACTCTACACAGTACCCAGATCACATAACCCGCGGGGAAAGATGTAGTAGGGTCCGTATTTTGATGGGATGACCGTTGACAGTAAGCGACGATCTCCATGAATCCAATTCATTACTCACGTTGCCACCCATGGCATCACTATTCAGGTTATTCGCATTCTGAGCACATATACTCATTACTTTGGACGATATCAATTGTACGATTAAATAGATGCATTACAGATGGGCCGAAGGCTACCGGACATGCCTGGGAGGTGACAGAAAGCTACAGTACTAATTGATACGTACTTAGCACACTCACAATACATAGGTCAAGATTATGGTCCCAACGTTGAAGGGATCTCGGTTTCAACAGTTGATCTTATTTCCGTTTCATTGTCACCATCGTCCTCGTCGCAATCCTCCTCATAGTCCTCTTCCTGTTCTTCCAATGCAGCCTCTGCTTCTGCCTGTGCTTGAGCTGCAGATGCAGCATTAGCAATTGCCTGCTCCAAAAGTCGCGCTTGTTCTTCCGAAAGACCATAAAGTGATAACGGCGGTGCAGAAACAATTGCACTGTCCGCGGTTGGGGCAGGATAATCATTATTTGGAGCGCAACATCCGTCGTCCACAGGGAAAGGCTGCAACTCGGCCGTGCTAGGATTAGCAGCGCTCACCGCTGAATTATCTTGTTGAGTATGCGAGGACGGCATATTTTGCAGCTGAGCTCTAGCGATGACGCTAGCCAAGGTCGCTTGACCTGCAGCGGGATCAACCTGCATTGGTGAAATATTATGATCCGCTGTTGTTCCTAGCGCGCTGGACACATGTGCTTGCAACGTCTTGTGGAGACTAAGCACAGCCTCTTGTGCATGGCCGATGACGTTGCCATCCATTTCGCCTTCTTCTGGACCCCAATCATCACCAAACGTTCCATAATTTGCTGTAGAGGCCGCAGAATGGGTCACAATATCAGCCCACATTCCGCGTTCGTCGACCTTCCCGCAGGGCATCATCCCCACCCTCCTTGTCCAGTTCAACTTCTTTGATTGCCGCATTGACGCATGCCTCCCCTTTGCCACCACGAGCTGCGCTGCTGTTTTTGTGCCTCTTTATCGCGTCACGCCGTGAGAACAACTTGTAGCAGCCAGCACACTGGTACCCCGTCTTGTCGTGTAGTTTGGCATGTCGTTTCAGGTCATGATTTCGGGCAAACGAGGCGGGACATGCAACACAACGATATGGCCTGTGCAATGCGTGCACTTGTTGGTGCGCTCGTAGGTTAAACAATCGCGCAAAAGTCTTGCGGCAACCTGGCACTAGGCAGGGGTATACTGCGGTACCAATGTCGCTGAAAGGAACAGGCTGAGGGCCAGTTCCCGGCGGTATCCATGGGCGGGGAGGATACATCGATATGTCAGGGGGTTGAATATGGGCGTTCGGTGGGACTGCGGTGGGGCCAATGGGACTACCGCTCAGGACGCCAACCACCTGAATGAGTCCGCTGATCTCCTGTAAGGCGTTTGTTTCAGGTCCCCCTCTCGCAGAAGAGGTGACTGCAAAAAGAAATATTTGGTGTAACTGTAGCTGGATTGAGGATATGATCGACGGATCTGGCGGGCCGTTGGAAGGTGGATGGGAGGCTAGAGTTTCTGAAACTACGCGAACTGCGTCTGTGATCTGGCTCTGTAAATGACCATGTGCAAAATTTTGCCGTTTGAAGACTCGGGCTTCGTTCCTCTGCTGTTCATCTTCTGTCTCGTCGCGTTTTCTCTTCCCTTTGTCCAGCTGTAGTGCGGACGCATTGGAATGACGAAGTGCGGCAAAAAGAGCGTCGGAACGAGCCAAAGATACAAGGGTCATGCTGAGTGATTTTGCAAGGTCTTTGGAGATTGTCCCCGCGACAACTGTGTGGTTGAGTATTTCCAGAACGCTGTTGCCCGCACCAGGAACAACTGCAGACGCTAGAGTTGAGTGAACCAGAGGATCCTTTCCTGCGATGTTCAGTACATTCATCATCGTCTTCAAGGCGGCTTCTTCCTTCTTGGGCGACGTAGATGATTGGGAAGGGGGTTGTGTAATCGGGACAAGAGAAGGAGCCGTAGACGGAACACCATCATGTAGTGGTGCACCAGGAGTTGGTGCAGTTGTGGGGACGTTTACGCGGTCTGCCTGTGCTTTACTGATGTCTGCCCACAGTTGCTCCTTCAACCGACGCGCAATTTCTTCCGCTTCTTCTTCTCCGTCATCGTAGTCATCATCATCATAATTTTCGTCCTCTTCAACCCATTCATCTGCTTCCTCATCTCCAATTTGGTTGGTGGTCGAGTTCGCTGTTGTGTCAGTTTCGCTGGATCCAGGTTCAGTCATGAGTACTAGGTACTGAGATGAGATGCTTAGTGGAAGGTCATAAATATGGTCTTGATTGTGATATGTTGGTCGGGTACAAACCGGAATAAGCATCTATACTGAACTTCATCGATTCATTATCAACTTAGCCAACCATTCATCTCGTTGACCTGGTGAAACTGAGTATATCCTGTGTCTCTACGTATCATATCCGTGGCAATGAGCTGGCTAGTAGCATCAGTGTTATGTCCGCGCTAGAGTCGGCAAGTACTTTTGTGTGAAACTCCGCGATTTGTATATTTGCCAGCTAGTTATCTCAAGTTCCAACCGTTCAAAGTCGCACTTTGGGTTCATTTTCCTTCAAGAGTAGCCAGTCGCAAATGTCGAACGCGATCAAGGACCTTACGGCTGGAACGGCCGGAGGAATAGCTCAGGTGTGTCACAATAAAATAGGACTCAGTGCTACGCGTTGACTCAACCCGCTTACTAGGTCCTCGTTGGACAACCCTTCGACATAGTGAAAGTGGTGAGAGTGGCTATAAAATCCGAGCAAGGATACTTGCGTACCCATTATGACTCCTCCTCAGCGCATGCAAACTTCGGCAAAGGGCACTTACAGTGGCATGCTGCATTGCGCTGGCGGTATCTTGAAAAATGAAGGGCCTCTGGCATTCTATAAGGTGATGGATGCTCTTCTCACTCTATACTGTTATTTCTCACATTCTGTCAGGGCACATTAACACCATTGCTGGGAATTGGTGTCTGCGTATCAATACAATTTGGAGTACTCGAGTATGCCAAGCGGATATTCACAGCTCGGAACCTAGCTAGAGGTGAAGGGGGAGAAGAAGGAAAGATGCTTGGCGGAGGGCAGCTGGTCATTGCTGGTGTTGCGGCAGGGCTTGCTAATGGTGTGGTTTCTGGTCCAGTGGAACACATTCGCATTCGTGAGTCCCATGTATTGCGTTCATGACTAGTATCTGGCTCTTGACCTCTTCCTCAGGTCTGCAGACGCAGTCAAATACGAACCCAATATATAAAGGACCATTTAACGCAATGAAACAAATTGTCTCACAATACGGCATTTCCGGACTATTTAAAGGACAGGCTGTCACTTTTCTACGCGAAGCGACAGGCTACGGCGTCTACTTCTTGGCATACGAAAAACTTGTACAACGCGAGATGACCCAAAAGGGCATACGGCGGGACCAGATTAACCCTATGAACTCTATTCTGTATGGCGCGGCAGCTGGATACGCCGTAAGTTCCGTGCCCTTTGCCCAGTGCATGTTCGCGTGTACATTGAGCTAATTCTGCGATAGCTTTGGGCAGTGATATACCCTATAGACATGATCAAATCCAGAATGCAGACTGACGGATTTACCCCGTCTACTGGACAAAAATATGCTTCGGCACGGGATTGTGTGAGGAAAGTTTGGAGAACCGAGGGAATTAGCGCATTTACACGTGGTCTGGGGCCCACTTTGATTCGGTATGTATCTGATTTTTTCAGAAATGTTTCACGAACTCATTGAACATTATCAGTTCGCCATTTGCGAACGGGGCGACGTTCCTTGGATTCGAGATGGCTAGCAGACTGTTGTATTCGTAATTATCGAGGATTCATCTCCTACACGTCGAAGCGAGACGTTCGGCGTAGTCACACTGTTGGATATCCGCTTATATTCTCATATTTTAGATCGCACTAGTTCAACCATGTGCAGACACAAGTTTCCCTGTGTCCATATTTCAGTTGGTACTATGGTGTAGCACAGTGATATAAATTAATCGACCATTACAATGACTATCCAGGTTGATGCAGTGAAACAGTGCACGTGGGCGTCGTGAGTAAGATTGTACCTACCATGCAGAGGAGATGCCCGTTCACAGCTCGAGGTCGGTCTAAGCTTCCCGACAACTCGGATATTGATCAGATATGATATCTAGCGAGTGCCAACTCAACAAACTGGACATGTGATACTTATGATACGCCAGGCAGACTCAAACCACTGGGGGTTAGACCACAAAGTCGCGATTGAGGTCGTTCAGTAGTCCTCACGCTCGTGTGGAACGTTGACACTACCGGTAAGCTGCCTCGACACATGTTCTCCGTGATACATAAGAGTTCAAAGAGGTTATTCATCCCAGGTTGTGACATAGGCTTTGAACCCTTGAAATGTAGTCTTCTGAACGATACCCTGTTCATGGATTTTGCACGCACGACAGCTACGGGAGAAAAATCGTTACTACTACAGGTTCGAGGAGGGTGACCTCTGTGTACTCCAGACTTGGTTGCCGCCCACAAGAACCACCAGGGCGTGCGATCTAGATCGCGGATCCCTGGGCCTCACCCTCCCCAGCATACTGCACGAAACCTACACGCCCGGATGGTGTACAAATTATACATGAACCTCACGTTGCCAACATGATCGCCTATTTTACAGCTCGAGTCACCACTTCTAGTACCGCAAGGAAGTCTGTCGCTTAACGTTATGATGAACGCAAAAATCGAATTCTTAATGCTTTATCAGCACAAGTCAAACGAATTCTCGAGCGAAGGGAATTTAAGCTGAAATCATGCGAATGTTCTCCCAATCAACAATCAGTACAACTTCCAATCCTTCCGTCAATAACTGATAAGGGCAGTCGAAACTCCTGACTAATACAGTTTGGAGGGAAATAAGGAGAGAAGTAACGCGGAAAGATCGTGTATTAATGTCGCGGGGCATAAAAAGTAGATTTGGTGGTAAAACATTATTGCTGAGACTTGAGCGCACAGCGATAAAGAGGGACCAACACAAAAATATTCGTCGACTACTATTCAACGCCATGAGAATCTTACGATCATTTTATGAATTGTGCTACGATATCTAAAACCAAAACCAAAACCACTGCAAGTCAGAGCCTATATAATGTTTTTCGCTCAATAACAACGGCGGCGTCAATAGCGAGGAGCTAATGTTGTGGTGAATAACGTTATGGCATGATAGGATTAAAAGTACGAACACGATCCTTGATTATGCGACCCGCCGTGGTTAAGAGTCTGCGATTGAATGGATGATCTCGAGGCAACGTTGCTGTTATTGAAGACGAAATAATCATTGCCAGACCACTGTCCCGAGAATGCTCCAGATGAACGAGAGCCGGCCGATGATTTGGCTTCGGTTTCGGGAGTTCCAGAATCAAAGGCTGAGACTTCCACTTCTTGATCATCTCCAAACGGATTGCCGTCAGGAAGGAGATTGACCTGAGAAGCAATGAAATCGGCTGCTTCAGTGAAGTGCGTAGCCGTGGATTCATCTAGTGGCGATTCTAATGGAATAGCAATGGCACCAATTTGAGCGTCAGGTGGTATGTCGGCATCTGTGGTCAGTTCGTGAGTCATGTACAGCGAGAAGCGACTTTGAACGGACACTCGACTGGTTGTATATCTTGTCTGTTTACAGAAAGTAGCTGCCTCCTCAATTTTTCAGATGTGCTCTAACAGATTGTATGAAGTAAGCTGCGAAAAATTGAGGTAGAGCCACCATACCCTGGCTTGCTTATACAACTTTTTACCTGCTACTGCGAGGAGTCGGGTAGAACGATATGTCGAGTACACTTTCAGAGGATTGAAGGACGTCTTTTGATTTTCTAGCCCTTCTTTCTTCAACTTTAACCTTTGAAGCTGGTTAGTAATGCATCAACGACCTAACACGTATACGGAACGTACTTATCATATTCCTTCTTGGCACTCACGAAGACTGCTTCTAATTGTTTCAAATCCCCTGCCATTTCATGTATCTTGAATAATTCATCCATCGTAGCTTCAAGAACTATATCCACTTGATCTAGGCTGCTCATTCGTTTCATTTTCATGAGAGGGAAGATCGATTGATCATATTGAGAAGGGGAGCCAAGGTTCAGAGGAATAATGATAGTTTTGCGTTCTTGCTCGGAGGACATAGTTGGGGGAACGTCTTATCAGGGACCATGGCTCTGTAGAAGGTCTTATGTATGTGCAAAGTTTAGATGTCGTGAAATGAAAATCCAACAAGGCAATAGTCGAATACTTGAGGGATATGTGAAATATCTAGTAACTGCAGGGGGTCGATTTAAATATGATTTTTATGTAATCAAGTATGAGTCCTTATGTACACCTATTTATGCTGAGGTTTCATTGCCTCATGGCGCCCTGTTTCAGCACCATGAAGACACTTTCCTTTCCGAAGGGCAAAGACACTACCAAGACAGAGGCAGAGCACAAGGCTGAAAAGGCTGCAGAAGATAAGAAACGCAGAGCTCGCAAGGAGCTCGAACTTTTTGGACCAGAACGCGAACGGCCTGGAGCTTTGAACGCGAGTGAAACTTGGTGGTGTCAACATTATTCATGGTTGAAGAGTCAAGGGTATCTACTTCGTCCTCGGTACGCACCAGGTTGGGTGCCATCCTGGGAGGGTACCGAGCGTGATCTATATACTTGTGAAGATGGTAATTGTATACGGGTAAGAGATGTTTCGGCACTTCACCGTTTGTTCGCTGATGGATGGATAGTTTGGCCAAATCATGGATGCAACACGCGTATCCGACGGTGTATATGTCTCTCTCAAAATTGTGGAGAAGTCGATACACCCTTATGAGGTAGAGATCGGGCAATGGTTCATGTCAGAGCCACTTGCGTCGCATCCCAAAAACCATTGTGTTCCTTTCTTTGAGGTGTTATCACCACCGAACAATGAAGATAGTCAGTTGATTGCTATGCCGCTGCTGCTTCCTTTCGCTGAGCCACGATTCGACACATTTGGCGAGGTGATGGAGTGTTTTCAGCAACTATTTGAAGTAAGTACAGCTGTCATGAAATGAATGTCTATACCTCATCGAAATATCATAGGGTCTGCTGTTCATGCACAACAACCATGTGGCACATCGGTGAGTAGTTTTGAGCTGTTTTACGCGTTTTCTGCTGATCAACAGCCAGCGACTGTATGTGGATGAACATAATGATGGACGCTAAAGACCTATATACCGAGCCTTATCATCCCGTTGACCGCCACATGAAACGTGACTTCAGTGGCCGTGTGAAGCATTATACTCGCACTCAGCGACCACCAAAATACTACTTCATTGACTTTGGCTTATCACGTCGATACGATTCCAGCGAGGCCAATCCCCTGGAGTACCCGATTTTTGGCGGCGACAAATCGGTACCAGAATTTCAAAACAATGCCGACGTCCCCATGAACCCATTCCCCACTGACGTCTACTACCTCGGCAATGTCATTAGAGAGGAGTTTATGGAGGTAGGTGTTTACACGATGCTCCTTCGGTTGATTGCTTATCACCATGATCAAGACACAAATAGGTTTTGACTTTCTGAAACCTCTCGTAGACGATATGATTCAGACTGATCCCAATGCAAGACCTACGATGAACGAGGTAGTCGAGCGTTTTGACTTGATTCGACAGCAGCTCAGCTCATGGAAATTACGCTCTCGTGTCATTGCAAGAGACGAAGATATCTTTGAAACTGTATATCGCAGTGCCAGCCATTGGAGGCGACGGATAGGTTTTATTGTAAAGCGTGCACCAGCCATACCTCGCTTTCAGGAATGATCATTTACTCTCTGCAGTGTTGCGATTTACATCTAGAACACTGGTACACTGAATCTATAAATCCATGATGTTGGTTGCAACATGGATGACAACTTAACATGTCCATATCTTCGATGACTGTATACTACGGTCAATCCACAAGCTGTGTTAAAACATACGTTTGTGATGTACCCTTTCGTCGTTGCTCCACCTGTAGACACTGAGGATACAGCTTCTGTTTTTTTTTACCTCCAGCGCGGAGAGAAAACTGAGATCATTTCGAGGACGATTGCCGAATACTGCTTACTCGCGGAGTTTGGAATGAAAGAGGGGGTGTCACGTTAACTGCATGTTAAATCGAACGATTCAATTCCATGGTGGGGTTAAAATGTCTAACCAAAAATCGTCTAAAAGGAACTCGATCATGAGAGGCTATGAGTTCTTGTATCGTATGAAAAGGTGTCCGAGGTGCTAGTGCTCAGTGACTCACCAACAGCTTCACGTTAATACAAGACAATACGTCCCCACGGGTTTGTGGTCAAGACCCACGTAGTCAATAATATTAACTTGAATGCATCATGATCAGCGTACAATTGACAGTATAACGTACCAGAGCCTGCACCTGTTCCCATGTCGATGGCGCTGCCTCGCGCGATGGGCAAGCACAGTAGCATCGATCGCCTGTTCCTTGTTCACTCGTAATCCACAAGCCCTATTATGTAGTGCTGTCGATAGTGACAAGTTATCTTGGTAATTACCACAGAACATAGTTGGCGAATACCAAACCAGAAACACCGATATCCGAGTCACTTCACCAGTGCAGCTAGGGATACCGCTTCGCGTAAGAACCTTCCAGATCATGAGACTATCATGGAGAACAATGAGATTGACAACACGATGTCACGGATGCGATCACATGGGAACGGGGGGGGCGAGCTTGTCCAAATTTTGTATCGCTTCGCTTGATGGGCGGATAACACTTTCCAGTTCTAGCGTATCAAAGCACGTAATTTTGACCATTGTATCGACCGCCTGTGTCGCTTTTTTTTACTCAATCGTTAGCTAAAGGTGGACTTTTGAATGTCTACGGCCGCATTCACGATAAGACTTTTTTGATGCTAACTTACATAGATTTATGGCATATACCGCGGAATGACCGAGCGATTTTACAATACTACTGAACGAGTGACTACCACTACTTGTCTAGACGGTGACAACGAAAGCCAATTAATGGGAAGATTGTCGTCAAAGAAAGCTTAAGCGTTGGGCCTCTTCGACGCTTTGACGAGCACTATTAACGAGCTTCTTCACACGGATAATAATTGGGTACGTGGCAAGTCTTAAGGTCACTATTAATTAAGCGATTAATCCTTATTTGGATAACAAGTATACATATAACGGGTTGAACATATTATGCACCCGGATCAGATCTATGCGGTTGATGATCTCTATCCTTCTTTTTTATCGAACTCTCTTTGGGTGATCACCACGATGAAACACTGCCGTTGATGCAACGTTTTTTTTTTAGCTGAGTCGATATCTGGCTAGAATGAAAACTGCTTACCAGCTCCAGAAGAGTTTGTGGCGTTGATATTCAACGTAGCGCCCATCGCATTGGAATTGCGGAGTATGATAGAACTATTGCTCGAATAGTTTACATTCATGAAAGTGATGGGATTGCTGTTGCGCACGCCTACCAACAGCTCGTCGAGGGCGAGCGGGCTGAGATACCTGCTGAGCAACCTGGGGGCCGTGCGAGATGATTTCTGTGAGTGAGGTTGTCAATGCCATCAAAATCAACGATCAAAATTCGTACTAGCACCAGTGCAATCTTGGGAGTCGATATTCAGAGTCGGGCACTTTGCGCTGGTACCCACCATGACTATCGAGTCCACTTCACGCGAGATTCCCGACGTTACTTGGGAAATCGCCTGCTTCAAGTTGGCGTGTACAGGAAGATGATGGCCTGATTGAAGATATTTCAGAATTCAACTTTTGCCCGAGATCGCAAGGTCGCTTACTTTGAGGGAGGCTAGCACGAGTGTTGACCGAAGGGACACCTGACTGAGGTTTGAAAGGAGTCTTATCAATGGCCGATGTGCCTGTTGTAGGAAGCGACGCTATGGTCTTGATGTTCGGTGGTTGATTTGAGTGGTAAGACTTCGTTTCTGATACATCTCTAGCAGGTGGTGGGTTCGACTTCTCGTGGCCTGCGCCTATACCTGTGGGCGCTGGAACTTCTCCCCTCACGATCGCTACCTACAATTTAATATTAGCACAGATACGAAGAAAAAGACGCAAGGTCGTAACTGTGACCTTGGATTTGAGGGCTCTGCAGTCCTCCAATATCATATCCGCGTTTCTTAGTTTTGCTGTTGATTCCCTGGCTTTATGCGACTGAATTTCGCGCTGAAGTCTGTAGAGGACCATCAGTAAAGAGAAATAACTTGATATGAAAGACATGCCTCTCATATTCATTCCTGAACTCGGTCTTGTCGGTCTCCACCAGGTATGATGGGTATTTGGAGAAAAGGTCCATGACTTCAGCGAGTTCCTTCTCTGCATCTTCATGACTGCGAGGCTTAGTGGGGAATCTAAGGAGTGACCGAAACATGTTGAACCGAACCATCTGGAACCGTTGGTATCATTTTGCATAGCATATTTATCCCAGAATGTAGCCAAAGGAGTACAACACAACTCCGAGTCGAACCTCTGGAACAGGAACGCTAGTACCGTTTGGCCTCGAGTGTCCCTCGCAACGATGTCGCAGGATATCGATATCTGAACAATAACTCGGCGGCTGTGTGGAACAAGAACCTCACGTTTGATGCCATGCGGTCCTGGGTATTTGCGACACCTACAAACGCCAATTTAATGACAAATCGAAGCCTTGTGTACACGTTATCGGTGCATGGCAGGGTTACAACTGGTAGTGCTAAGCGAATGAGAATAATGATGCTTTTCAAATATGGGATTATAATCATGAGTGACAAGGCTTCAAGCCCTCACTGGCCCTCGAGCTTGAAGCCGGGCGGGCCCTACCGATATTCAATATTCAATACTCAGTGTGAAGCAAAGTTTACTGCTCTCGCGGAGTTACAACTGCTTACTTGCGGAGATTGAAACAGATTAAATGCTTGGCAAGTCGGAAGGCAGTGACTCTTATACCGCAAAATAAAAACAACGATACATAGCTATGATATGTCTCACGTCAGGTTACACCGCGACCCGTTCCTGCAGAGTGTCGCTGTCGCTGAGATCATTAGTCAGAGGTCTGCAAAACAATAAAAACGATAGTTAAAATTAAAATATCAATATATCAATATCCTTGTCATGATGACTGTAAGTGCTACATAAATGCCGAATAATGCGAATCCCGTAAGGGGATGTGGGTCCATGGGAGGTAATGCATTCTACATAACTACCATATTACCGATGGTGACCTGGATATGTCACCCTAAGGGACCGCATACTAGTCGTAATTGAATCACTGTCCTGCACTTCCAAAGATATAGTTGAAATACTAGGCCGCACGGAACTGGCATCGATAGCACTGTCATACTGTGATTCATCGTCGCTTATGTCGTCGATATCATCTGCACCATTCCCTTCGACTTCTGTGGAGGATGGACTTGTATTTACGGCTGGTAGTTGAAGATGAGCAGTGGGTGACTATGAAAAAAATCGGTGTACTCGCCTGATCCTCTATTATTTCTCCCTCCGAAATTCACCGTGGGTGCAGCCCTTCTGCCGGCTCCAACGATACATCCATAATATTGGGTGACATTTTGCGGTATCCCACCCAGTCTACCACAAAGTAACAATTCAACTACCTTTGTGGTGCTCAATTCAACGATAAGTTGTATTGTCTCCTTCGGGAGCCTATTGATAATCATACTGTTTTGACTCGAGCTTTGTGCGACTGTTTCAGCATTGGGAGGTGTAGAACTTCATCGGAGTATCACCATGTTGATTGTGTTGCTGGGCGAGGTTGACTTCAGCTTGGTCTACTGATCCGCCTGAGAGATCTGCGTCGTCGAATAGACTCTACAAACAGTGTTGGAACCCGAGGAGAGAAGAAATTCGACATCATGATTTACCTCTGGGAACCGTCTCTTTTGGTTTGCCCGCATGTTCATGGACGGTACAAGATGTTTGCTAGCAATAGTAATATCAGTGTTGAGTGGGTACCAAAAGAAAGCCCATACATTAGCGAGATTCCAAACTCTCTGGCAATGTGTCTTGAATTGAGCTTCACTGCCCTCCCAATCCCTCATGTTCCGAATTCTCTTCCACCATTTTTGCCGTCGTAAATGTTTTCCTTGCGTAACGGCACTAGAGAGACTATGAGAACTACTGACAAGCAAATAAGTATTGAATAATAACTCACTTAGTATACATTCGAATCAATCTGGGCAATTCAGGAAGATATATTTGATCTTTTGTCGCAATTCCTTTGACTTCCAGCAAGATGTCGAGAGCTGAATTCAGAGACTCATACGCCTCCCTGCTTCCACGAACCAAAGGTATGTCGTTTCTGAGCATTGTAAGATTTGATTCGTCAATCGTTCCCCAATCCTGGACCGGGGCAACCATCGCAGATACGCAATAAGTAGTTGAATGGGATAGGGAAAGGTAAGTTCTCAGGTCAGCTCATCAGTTCCATTCTTATATATTCTTATATATACTTGGTAGGCATTGCTTGGGTAGATACAGTTTACGAAGCTACTAGTGACAACTTAGGTAGTATTAATAGAAACAACGTGTCGTTGAGGACTCCGGTCACTCCGATTTGGCTCGGATGTATTAGATTTTTGTCGGTGGGTTTACAACTGTTACAATTATATGGAGCGAACAGCATACAGTGCGCATCGACTTCGTGGTCCTTCATCCTAATGGTTTTCTTTACTCTTTTCGATAGCAGACTTCGAGCTCAGAGGAAGGCAGAAGCAGCTGAGAACTCCAGACTCGAATATGAGCGAACTTGTCAATTGCTCGGTGTAGAAGCCACCTTCCCCGGTGACCTTGATCCTGATGAGACGTGGTGGAGGGATCACTTTCTATGGCTAAAGGATATTGGATATCAACTACGTCCACGCCATGCTCCAGACTGGGTTCCTTCATGGCAAGGCACAGATAAATATTGGGGTTTGTGTGAGGATAGTTGGCAGATGCCTGTAAGGTTCTCCAACTGCCCAACTTTATACACTCACAAAATGCCAGGCCACGCAAGTTGCCAGTGCAACGCGAACGTCTGACGGGGCCCATGTCATTTTGAAACGGATTCAGCCATCGATTCATCCACATGAGATTGAAGTGGGTAAGTTTCTTGCATCCGAACCTCTCAAGCGGCAGCGCGAAAATCATTGCGTGGAGATGCTCGATGTATTACAAGTACCAAATGAAGCGGACGAAACTATCTTGGTATTTCCCCTGCTTCGCCCCTTCGATGATCCTCCATTCGAAACAATCGGTGAAATCATCGACTTTGCTCTTCAAGTTTTTGAGGTGAAGGGTTATTATTGTTCCTTTGACTGAGATCTCAAGAGTGTTTAGGGCTTACAATTCATGCATAAGCACCACGTAGCTCATCGGTATGCAACTTTATTCTTGCGTTCGCTGTTGGTTCACGGTCTTCTAGTGACTGCATGAATTTGAACATCATGATGGATCCCAGGGCAGATGTATCCACATCCAATTCACCCATGCAGGCCCCTTCAGACGTTTGGATTCAAAAGGACGGGTGCAAGCATCGTCCACGCACAGAATGCCCTCCGCGATATCTTTTTATTGACTTTGGAATCTCTCGACGCTACCAAGCTTCGCAGGTCGCTCCTTTAGAACTCCCGATTTGGGGAGGGTACAAAGGCGTTCCGGAGTTTCAGACGTCTAACGAACCCCGTAACCCGTTTCCGACGGATGTGTGGTATCTGGGCTTCGCTCTACAGCAACAGCTTCTCAACGTGCGAATTCCATTCAGTCTTTTTTTGGCTTATTTATGACGAGTAATAGGTCTATCGTGGCCTGGGTTTCATGGAACCGTTGGTGTCGGATATGCTGCAAACCGATCCTACGAAGCGGCCAACCATGGATGAGGTTATGTCTCGCTTCGTACCGACATACAGCGCATTGAGCCCGTGGAAATTACGCTCCAGGGCAGTCCTGAAGGAGGAATGGATCATCATGCGACCTTTCCGTGATTTCTTTCATTGGCTGCGCTGTCTTAAGTTTTTATGGCGACGTCTCCCTGCTATACCATCACTCGCTGTGTAAATTCAGTCGTACATATTCATACTTTCGCTTCTCTGCAAACGTACCACAGTACTTACAATGGTCGCTTACTACTAGTGTATCTATCTACTGCTGGAATTCATGTGGCCAGGCTTGCCAGTGATCAGAAATGGTTCATTTTGTTGCGTGATTTGGTCAACGTCGAGCTCTTGTACAGACACCACGTGGGGCGAATAGAAGCCTTTTCGAACGCATTCCTCGGATGCCACAATATGTACTATTCATGCAATGTAGACCTACAAGTTGCTGATTACAAAGAACAACTTACTCCTCATTCTATTATAGTCCGACTACAGGAGATATACCACACAACACGGGTTGTTAACGTATCCACAGCAACTAAATATATTGGTATAATACTCACCATGCTCATATTATCAAGCGCAAGGCCTGTGAGCATTATAAACGACTTGTTCACCTGAATGATTCGGTCAACATTTCTGACCGTTGAGAAACAACTTGTTCGACTGAAGATAAATTTAGTCAACACCAAGCTCATATCGTTCGATCTCAACGAGTGAACTCACTGGTGCCAGAACCACGCGGAGACCGGATGTTGAAGGTTGGGCTACCCACTGTCGTGCCAGGGGCGAAATACATGACACGCTCGCGCGTCATGGTCTGAACTGTCTGCGGCTGGTAAGCGCCGGTGGATGGCAGTCTCTGTGCTGAGAGCCCGAGAGATGAACCGTCAGCAGGGACTGAATGTGCTAACAGACTGATCAGGATCCTGATTTAGTATGCTCGAAAACATGTAGCTTACTCGCTCCAGTTGCATCCTGGGAGTCAATGTTAAATGTGGGTGACACAACAGACGACTCTGGGCCAAATATCATGCAGTCTACGTCGGTAGGCGGTGCGCATGGACCTGTCTCTGTGGGTACTAAAATTTTATAGCGTCAGTATTGAACGTGAAGGCCAATATGTGATGCACGTACCTGTGGAAGTGCTGGAGGTCGTTTCATTGATTACACGAGTACCGGTAGAGGCTACAAGAGTACTAGTGCTTGTACCTGTCGGAAGGCTGGAAAGGCTAGGGTACGAGCTATTCCCGCCTGTCGTGGCGACATTGGACTGAACTGAAATGGAAGGTTCAGATGATGGGGTCCTATAAGATAGATCGGGATCGATCAGTACAGTAGATGATCTGCTAGATTCGTGGGTAGCTGATTTATGCACTCAGTCCTGAGCGACAGTAACGGTAGATAACGCCTACCTATAGCTGGAGATACTGGCCCTCTTCTGATTTCATCTTCCCGGTGTTTCGAGCATGCCCTCTGCAAACTGATATTAAAATAGTTTCTTGCTCGGATTAGAAAGAACGAACCTCTATCTTCAACTTCAACTTCTCGCACTCGTCGAGTGTCGCAGTCAACGTGCTGATAGGTGTGCCCTTGTTAAGCCGAAGCCGAGCATCTGCAAGACTATCAAGGCATTAAAATATAGCATACAATACGACATAATGCATGTATGGTACCTGGAGTATTCATCCATAAAAGACGATCGCTCCTGCTGGGTTAGCAGGTTTAAGTTGGCAGTGCAGAGCTCAAGGATAGCTTCCAAGACGCTCCTAATATTTACGGAGACCAGCTCGCGTGAAGTGGAAAAGCTCTTCCAAAAGGAAACCATGATGCAGCTCTGATAGAATCTAGTGATGTGGTAAATCTGTGGAGTATGTTGATGGGGATCTAGCACATACCTCCCATTCGTCTGGTATTTCTACCTCTGTAAGACCTGGCACAAACCAGGAAGGCCAGTGTTCGGCCTCGAGTCTCCCTCGCAACGTTAACAACAATACAACATGGACAGAACAAGGAAACTGAAAAAGATCGCGATCTGTCGTGGTGCTTAGACTGGTATGACTCAAGCCAGTGGGAAAAACATGCGCCCACAAATTACAATGCCCAACACCGTCACATAATATGGACTGTCACTGTCAAGAGTTGCGGGTTCGCAGTTAACCTCCTCCGCCGCAACTCAGAATATTGAGGTTTACTTCCTGAACTAGTTTGGGACAAATACTTATTTGAAATACATACCATGAAGCATAAATCGCGGAGTTTTAAACCTGGGGGGTTGCACTGGACTCCCTTGACGAGCTGATCACAAGGCTACAAATTGCCATCAGTGAAGACCCACGTTGCTTGAGGGTATCATAAAAGTCGATGGATTGATTGATGGGGTTGATTTCTTCCATTTATGAAATGATATAGTATTATTATATATATATATTTATCCCACAACTCCCAAGAATCTCCAAGGTGTCTGATCGATTGTTCCATGAGGCCGTGCACAGGCTGAAGGTATGGATTTGGTGCTGATTATTGGTACCCTTAGCTACCACTTATTTGTTTTTGAAGCGAAAGTCAAAGCGCTGCGCAGTCAAAGCGTGTACAAAGTCAGCACCGCCACTCAGCCTTATCTCACACTACCACACACTTACAAGATACTTCCGCTGCACATGCAATGTGTGAATGAATTAGAGTCACGGTGCGCATATCAGCCAAATGATAGAAAGGTTGAAGTTTCTCACTAATAATATGTTACTTTTTCAGTCCTTGGGTAATCACCGGCACGTACAAACCAGCTATAGACATTTCAAGAAAACTTGTTTGACTTACTGTCACGGTTTATGCAATTATAGTTATTAAGGGTATCAGCCTTTGCGTCCTGAAAAGTCTTGGAGACCGATCGTTTCTGTAGTGGTAGACCAGCATCAACGCTATGAAGTGAACTTAGGATGCGATGGACAGAACCCAAACCTCAGGGAACGTTTTATGATGTATGTTATCTTTTTACCATTTCGTTTTCCTTTTGCTCACGGATACGTTTGACCAGGCACGGTGCACACGGCCGTTCTCGAGTGGATATCGATGTGCATTACCAAGCGGCGAACAAGAAGAAGCGCAAGAAACGGTATCTGGTCGCAAAGACTTCCTTGTCGCTAGAGGCTCTATCGAAGTTAAAGGGTACTGCAAACTGTAAGTGTTACGAATCGCCATTATGCTGTGCTTGATGCATTCCAGCTTTCAAAATACCGTTGAGTCCTGTGACACAGCCCTCTATGCGCGGGTTGGCTCGAGGAAGAACAGTTTCAGTTTTCCTTATTGCTAAGCTTGAAGTCCCCAAGACTCAGGCGGGCCCCCGCGCATTACAAGATTTATTAATATCAGAAGACCAATCAGATGATGATGTTAAATGTAAGAACGGTCTTGTCAATCTTGTTCATTGGCTAACAACTGTAATTTCAGCACTTGGACGCTCTTCACCGACATTTGAATCAGAATCAGATACCATAAGTAACTTTTCTTCTCCGAGTCGTGCTGTAACTCCTCCAGTTCCACTTGAATTCTCCGACATACACATCCACCGAGGATACACCTCGGACACAGATGATGACCGCCCGCTCGATGAGCACGTCAAACGCATCAACGACAGCTACGACAGTTTTGCATTTACCGACAATGCCGACTCGAGTACTTTGGTCGATGTTGTCCCCTTTGCGCCTTCCCTTTTACCTAGTTACACAGAGCAGATATCCGTAGACGATTCATTGTCATTGATCGATGCCCTTGTGGACTCTTTCTCGGTTTATTCTGAACTTCGAGAGGCTTGCAGTGACTCCGAGTACGAGCGTATCTTGGAAAAACTCAGGTCTGAATGGTATTATGTGGGTGCATCGGTGTGTAATAACATCACTGTTCTACTTGCTTTCATTTAGCCTTCATTATCTCTAGCTGGTCGCTCTTGCGGGGTATGTGTATTATGAAAAGACGACCTTTTCGGCAAATATTGATTTGCTTTCCTAGGCTTGATGCGGCTGTGTTCGGTTTTTCGACCAGCTCATTATTCTCCGTCAACACTTTCGCTCAAGGTTCAATAGCCCTGGGAAGTGTCGCTTCAGGCATCGGTCTCGCAATCGATGGCTGGTTCCTATTGCTGTACAGTGGAGCAAATGCCAAAAAATTTCAGGTAATTCTCCATTTTGCGTGTCAGAACATATGCTCAGAGCCGCCTAGAAATTTGCTCGTGACGTATACGGCAAATATCTGTTCTTTTGCATATCATCGCGTCTTCCTGCCGTATGCATGTTTATGTCAGCATGCGCCTTAATGGCCTTTTTGCTTTCAGTTGCATGGTCCGCTCGGCCCACTATCGTGCTGGTCATGTGTTTTATCGCTGGTGTCATGATTAGTCTCCAGTTCATCATATACGGGTTACACTGTGCAGTAATTTGTATGAGTGAGCTTATTAGGAGAGCGTGCAGGGTATCGATGTGGTGTGTAAGGCGGCCGTCAAATTAATGTCTTGGAGCATAATGTTTTCAAAAAAAAATAATGTATCTTGGACAATTATCTTGTAGCTAGCATCTTGTAACACAATGATCTATTGTTATTTTTACGATCGAGAGATATTTTTCGAGTCAATAGCAATATCCGGGGAGGTCCGTTAACATATTCAATTATTTTGACCTGTTAAGTGCCCATGATCATCTTGAAGCTGGGCGGGTAAGCCACCTGCAACGAGGCCCTAGAAGTCAAGGTACCACATTCCTATACACCTTTAAGGCATCGAGTCCCGGGGTAGTGGGCCATTCACGGGAATCAACAAACCGTCCAATGAAACTCGCGACCGCAGCAATGTCTTTCCCCGAGAGTATGTACCACAATGAGCAAGCATCCCTCGATTGTTCGAGGGACTAGATTTTCAGGCAGACGCGTCGGACGCAAAAAGACATCGTGGGATGGAAGAAGCGCCATGCCATCTATCCGATCATATCGACACATAGCCTCGAGTCAATGCAGTGAGTACCGCTAAATTTACATGTTAAGTCCACCCAGCGGCTGATCTCGTTATTTTCGAAAACAGAATTGAAACAGAATTAATAGGTTGCCCGGCTTGCACGTATCAGTTGGAGAATTTTCCTTGGACCCACAAAACCAAGATTTGTATTGGTTGCCTTCCGAAGGCATATATTGTCGCGTGTATTTCGGATTGTTGATGGCTACCGGACTGGGGCTATTGTGCTGAGTACGCTTTGACAACAACGTAACGTCATATCTGTACGTATGCTTAGCTCCCCGTGGGTCGGCGGACCCACATAAAACGGTGATTTTGCTTGATTTTGCACCGCAATACTTCACCCAATCAACGATCTTGAAACAGAATCAAGTATCCATCACCAATAATGTTGATTTGGCGACAGAAACGCTGATAAGAAGGGTGATATATCTATCACGAACGCTATCGTTATACACCACCAACATTTCCCGGTCGTTCACACTCATCCATCGAATATGACCGTAGTCGTAGATGATCCCAGTTTGTGGCCGCTAATCAATTCGAATATTTTTCTCAGCTATTGGACGGGTTCGTCGTATCAGTCAGTGATGCTTCTCGATCTGACATTGACTTGCGGGTCTCGTAGTTGCCGCCGGCGTCGTGGTGGTATACGATTGGGGTGAGCAAGACAGTATTCGAGAACCATCGATATTCTCATGATATCTCTAGTACTAACCCTTGGACAAGAGGTAGGTCGAGTTATCGCCAGAGTAGCCAACTCGCTAAGACGAGTGTCATAGATTGAACTGATTTGGGTGAGTGGCAAGCATCTCGTATCAGAAGAAAAATAGGGGAATGCAAATGAATTCGCGACAGAGGCAACGATGGTCTCTGATGACTGTGCTATACTTGGTTGTTCGTACCTCACGTTGCGCTATAGCGTGGTTGGCGGTTATGCTGACTCCAAAATGTTCTAGATACGCTATATTGGATTACCGTATTCTGTGTATGTGTCAAGGTCAACAACTTTACACCGTGCTGATAGCTCATCTCTAACAATCAGTGCCAATGTTCTAGGTATGTCTCATATGCGCTGTGTCCGATTCATCTGACCGGCGGCATACAGAATTTGTGCCATTTGTCTCGTTGACAGATGCAGTGAGTATTCCGCCACTATCTTATTCCTATTTAATGAACACAATCTAATTTGCAGGGGTGAGTGAGATTCTGACCACTGAACTTGGCTCAAACAGAATAACTCAATAGGTGTAAGTCGGAGTGTTCGATACAAGTACGAGGTTGTTCGCTAATTAGATGTTTCAGGCATTAATACGTACTATGCGGGAAGTGGGACAAATCTGGTCATAGCTGCCATGTTGGGCGGTGAGTCCAGCTGGCAGACCTCAGGCATATTGACTCGACTGAAACACGATGCAAGTCATTATGATTTCTCGGTTGTATGCCATGTATCAGAGATCTAGAATGACGCTTATCTTCCTTGTTATTATCTTCCTGGCTGTCAACATCGCCTGCGGATCAATTACGGCAATAGGACTCAAGGGTGCTGTAGCGGGTAAGCTTTCCTTGTTGACTTGAAGAGCACAGCTTATTGGACAAACACCAGAGGAATTGATACTCTCTGGCACGTATATGTGCAATTATGAATATGAGGGGAATGCCCAGCTTCCGCCCTCCATGGTTTGGACTATCAACACTGCTTGGGAGGTCCTCGCACTGTGTCTTTCAGTCTGGATTGTTGTGAAACACCTCCGCGACTTGCGACGACTCGACGCATCGACAGGTTCGATCATGGGAGATTGTTTCAGAGTTCTGATACAATCTCACGTGCTTTATTTTGCAAGGTGAGCTTGTGATGTGAATGTGAATTATTTTCCTCAAGTTCCATACGCACTAGCTTTGTTTGTGTCTCTTGCCTCCAGCTTGCTTATACCTCTCCAAAAATCATGGTGCGCCGACCTGTCGCTGACCTCTGCATCTAATCACTCATCATTTTTCTGTAGAGTTCAAATTCTATTGGAGCTCTGGTACTCGAAGGTCTTCTTCAAATTTTCATGAGCGTGCAATTGTTTGTGCTGGGACCACGCCTCATCCTTAGCCTTCGAGAGTATCACGCCAAGCTTGTGGTAGACTCTGACGCAGAAATTAGCCTAACTTCGATTGTCTTCCACCAGGATGTACATGTATCAACTAGCAGTACTGTGTAGGGACATACCTACCAAGCGGTCTGCAGGGAGGAAAAGAGTCCGTCGTGATATTTATTTGCATAATATATAGGGTTTCGAAGAATATTTGAAAGGTCCAGGCCAACCTATTTCTTGTTGTATCACTGGAATGAAGGAGCGCTTAGAAGATCGTGTAAAGCGGCCGTCGGACAATGTCTTGGAGTATAATGTTTCCAAGAAATATGGTGAAACTTGTACAACTTCTCTCGCTAAACCTGTGATACACATTGATCAGAATATTTTATTTTTAGGATTCACCCGATTCAATTAAAATAGCGTTCTACATTGAACGACTGAAAAATATATTCCTTGAGCCGATAGCAATATCCGGGAGTTGGGGGGAGGTCAGTTACAATGCCACACATTTGGATATTGCGCACGATGCAAGATTATTCTGACCTGTTAAGTGTTACCCGGTGCCCATGATCATAGATCCCCAAAGGAGAGGCAAGAGGTGCCCTAGAAGTCAAGGGACTTAACGCCGCCACATTCCTGTACACCTTTAAGCTATCGAGTGCCGGGGGAGTGGGCCATTCGCGGGAATTAACAACCAAAAAAAAAAATCGCGACCGCAGCAATGTCTTTCCCCGGGAGCGTGTACCACGGTGCACAAGCATCCCTCGATTGTTCAAGGGACAAAATTTTTAAGCAAACGTGGATACAAAAAGACATCGTGGGATGGAAGAAGCGCCATCTATCCGATCGTCAACACGTAGCCTGGAGTCAATGAGTACCGCTGTCACAAGTTAACTCCGCCCAGCTGACTTCGTTATTTTTGAAAACAGAATGTAGGCTGCCCGAGTTGTACGTATCAGTCAAAGAATTTCCCTTGGACCCACAAAACAAGATTTGTATTGATGGCTTTTTGAGGGCATTGTCGCATGTACTGATGCACCGGATTGGGGCCGTTGTGCTGGGCACGCTTTGGCAGTGCAACACCATATCTGTACGTGTGCTCAGCTCCTTGTGGGTCGGTGGACCCACATAGAACGGTGTTTTCAGATCTGGGGTCTGACCGTCTTTTTGTCAATTACTTTTGTGCGCAGATAGCGTATTGCGCCACTTACCTGAGTTTTCCAAGAAAATGATATCTAAAACAAAGATGAGACCCCTTCACTTTGAACTCCGCGAAGGCAAGTGACATTCACTGCCTAGGCCTGTTATTTACCTCCACGTGCCATATCTACAAGCTTACATCCTAGAGACTGAGTCTCAACAAGCAAATTATGCATTCAGAAATTACAGAATACATGAAGGTTCCAGCAGGCACCTGGTCAACCATCATTCGCCGTCAGAGCTAGCGACATCGCTATGTGAATCGTCCTGCTCCCTACGGTCCTCCATTTGTACATCGGCATTCTGAGCAGATTCAGGCGCACTGGAGGTCGCAGAAGTGAAACCAGAAAGAATACCAGGACCTCCAGATTTCTTGACCTGTGCCTGTTTCCAGGCATGAGCCATCTGCAAGAATTTGAAAGATCTTGGATTGGCTTCTCGTTCGTCGTCGGCGAATACAAGTTCCCAATCTGTGTAAAGAAACAATCAGGAAAGCTGGCTATATACGGGGTAGATCGCCGACCTTCTACTACCTGGCCCGTCTCCTTGTCGACGTGTTGCTTCCTGCCGATAATAGGCATCATCGCTTCTACCTTTGCTATATCGCTCTCGCTGCCGTGTTCTTGTTCGAATGCTTTCCACGACTCAAGTAAAGCAGCCCTCTGTGATGAAAGTGGTTCAGCTTTGACTCGGTTATGAGGCTGCTGCTCATACCTCGGCTTTTAGGCCCTTGACCTTCAAGTCTTTGTAACCGCGTTCAAAGACTTGTCGTGCTAGTTCGGGATCACCAGCAACAACACGAGGTTCAGCATCCTCGTCTTCCTCTTCTTCTCGCATAGCTCTGGGCAATGGAATACTAGACCCCTCGAACTCGGCATAGGATATCCACACCTTGTGGTGTCCGCTGAGAACCACCAGGCGCTCGTAAAGTGACCTAGTCTTCTCCCGATCACCCTGCTCATCGACTTCGAAGTCGATATATGCCTTCCAAAGGATTTCGGGCATCGATAGTGATGCTTGAGACACTCCGAGTTCAAAGATCGCCTCCGCACGGGTGAAGTCTTCAAGAGCCGTCTCAAGCTCGGCGTATTTAATCCACGCTGCTGAGTTGGTCGGATCGTACTGCAGGAGATGTTGCATCACTACAGAGAAAATAATGAGACCTTCACAGCATACCTCTAGATACTTTTCATACAATGTCCGCACGCGGTCAAATTCTCGCAGCTAAATATGATATCAGTATATCACAAAGCCGAGAAAGTGAAGATCATACATCCATCTCGAGTTGAATATAGCCCTTGAATAAGGACTCCTTCGGGCACATGCCAATGGCGGTCCCGAGCATTTTGCGCGCTGCGATCAAATTCAACTGTCTGATCTCAAACCTTGCAGCCATGATCCACAGTTTTGCGAAAGTAAACTGCTTGTGCGGTACAAGATTCAGAACGGTACGATATACTTGGCGTGCACGGTCGTAGTCCTGTAGAATGATGTCAGAGTAAACAAGTGATGTACATGGAAATGAAAAGACCTTGGTTTCGATCTCCTCGAACAAAGCATACTCGAGCCAAAGGAAGATATACCGTCTCCAATGACGCTTTTCTTGTCCAGGTGGTACATATGCAACAGCACGCTCGTAAACGTCTCGCACGCGCTCCGTGGCCGCATCCTCCTCTTCCTTGGTGCTCCCTTCTTCTCGCAAAGTTCGTAGTGCACCTTCTTCCAACCGAACGTAGTCGAACCAGACGTCATAATTTCGTCCGTCCTGCGAAACCTCGTCTTCGTATTGGATTCTTCGCTTACCAAGTACAGTAGATTCTACAATGGACCGTGTGCCGTGCTGTTTCTCAAATTTGGTATAAGCTGCATACAAATTCGCTGATTTTGATCGCGGAAGACGTGATAATGCGAACTATTCTAGACTGTCAAGCGGGCCTAACAGAGTACGCGTGTGATGACGTACCTTGTATATCACTCGAGCACGCTCATACTCTTTCAACCGAGTTTCCATTTTAGCAAAAGCATTGAAAACTGCTTGAGCCTTTTCTACCTGCTCTTCCTCGTCCCCAAAGAACTGAAGAGCAGTCTGGAATACCTCTCTTGCCTTATCCAACTTCCCCCGCTCTTCTTCGAACTTTGCCCACTTCACCCATACCCTCGGATCCGGCCTGACAGCTATCCATCGCTCGTATATAACACTGGCCCTATCCGATTCGTCATACCGTTCCTCCATCTTTATGTATGCTTGCCAAGCCTTGTCATCCGGTTCCCATTGCATCCACCGCTCAAAGACTTGTCGGGCACCGGGGACGTTTTGCAGAAGCTCCTCCAAGTAAACGTACTTGTACCAGAGCTGATCTACTCGAGGCAATAGAGTCACGGCGCGATCGAATAGATTGCGCGCGTGTTGGACATTTCGGGACTTGAGTTCCATTTCAGTATAACTGAGCCATAGCTGAACGCTTCGAGGGTCCACGTCCAAAGCGCGTTCGAAGATAGAACGAGATCGATCAAATTCATTTTGGCTAGCCTGATACGAATGTGCATCAGACCGCGACATCAACTAAAGGGCGTGCAACGTACCTCCCAGTTTGCATACTGAGTCCATTCTTTGCTGATGCAATATTCAGCAGGAATATCACTGAGGTCGAATATCATACTCACATGCTACCTCTTGTCCTCCTGACTCGCTCTTCAAACTCCTTGCGCTTGCGGCCGCGGTACTCGTGGAGTTCTTCAAAATCCTCAACGCGTTGTTTGGGAGCACGGAAGGTTGACTCTTGACGCTCTTGAGCCTAAAGGACACAAAATTATAGATACTGCAAGGCGGAAATTCGAACAACGCACCTCTCGTAGAAGCTGTTCTGCGGTGATCTATGGATGTAATTATGGAAGGTCAATGAATGCAGACACATATGTCAACGAAACAAACCTGGACAGCGGCAGGCGCCCGATTCCTGATCCTAGAGGTTGCAGCTAGTTAGTCTCTGCATGTTATAAAAAGTTGATAAGGCAAACCTTGGTGCTCTGCCGTCTTGCATAATTGCGACAGCAATGAATTTCTCGAGACAGTGAGCAAAGAATACTATAGGACGAGCTGCTGCCGGGCAAGCAAAGACAAACAAGCCTGTCTGTTACGTAAGTAGCGAAGAAGCCGTTACGCGAGCTTGGAAAGTGCAACAACATGCCTGTTGAGCTCCTAGCGCTGCTACCAGCGTCTGTATGTCATCTCGGTTTGTGGGCATCTTTGATAGATACAATGAATCAATTTACACTACAAGGTAAAAGTCTGCGTGCATCCCGAGCTCTTCCTTCCCTGCACCCGAAATCCCATTTTTTCTTTCCGCCCTTGTCTTATCAGAATCCCTCCACATCGTCACGGTAGCGAGCCGCTGTTCCACCACACACGAATTCGTGTGCTCGATAACTTTCTTCATCGTGTTTGCAGGGGTGTACGGAGCTTACCTGGGGGAAGATATCAATGGCGACGATGTTCCGAGCATAGTCTGCTGAGACATCTTGGAAGATTTAGGATAGTGTTGGAATATTCATCGTGTGGTCATCATCTCGTACGTTCGTTTCTAATTACGCATTGTACTTGCAGGAAATTGCAATTAGCTTCCCCCCAGGAGCATCATTAACGAGTTCTTCCAACGACTCGCACAACCCATCTCATTCATGATCAGGTGCACTCCAGAGCAATATCCCTATGACGCCCATGCCTCTCTATCTCGATATCCACTATATATTCGCCTTCTGGTCTTCGTTCTACTACGTCGACTTCTCCTCGAGCATGACCACCAAACAAGCTCTCCATTGAGCTTATACATTCGCTGTATGTGCCAGAGCCCTACTATACAAGTATTACATGACACTATGTCCGGTGAACGAACTGATGACATGATGATACAAAGCTACAGATGGAGAATCGAAAACTATAACTAGGCTCCATGGAAGTTGTTTTAAGTATCATTAATGAGTGCGTTCAACGACTCGCACAACCCATCGCATTCAAGTGCACTCCAGTGCCATTTGTGCAGTTGCTTAACGCGCCCTGGGCGGGTGGTCACTACACATGCACATTTGCCACCCACAAATTCCACCACAATATCGCTCCCAGGCCAACCTGGCTTTCGGCATCATGCCTGTCAGCTCCGATCGCGAGAGAGAGACCAGAGCAGACATGAACCAATCATTGCCGTTCCAATTAGGGACATTGTGCATGATATCGACTGTTGTGAGGATTCTCTCCATTTCGTCAATCTCCTCCAAGGTGACTGTTCCCATGATAATCCTTTTGCTCCAGTCATTTTCGAGAGGCCGGTTGCGTCTGATATCGATGGCATAGTTGTCGGAGGTCCCCATGATCTGATAGGTGTTACCTATACCAGGGCTGGTTTCGACGTAGAGAGCCCAATGAAGGGAATAAGGCCGTTGGGGCTCTTTCCCGAGTCGCCAAATTTGGACAGTCTCGACGTTGCAGAGTCTAGATGTGTTAGACATAATAGAAGATGACTATGGGAGTGGGTAAATCGCAGTTCGGTGGATTTTATGATTGTGTGCTCATGAAGAGTTTGGACGACAAGGGTTGGAGAGTAGAGGTTCGAGTCCATCCGCGTTCTGTATTTATACCCAAACCCTGGTGGACTTTTGTTTCGAGGGCAGCTGTGAAGTGTGGATGAAACATGACGTGTTAATTGTGTTCAATGGCCTGAGCATTGTGGATGAACTACTGATTGCCTTCCCGATCGAGCGGCCGTACAATACCCTATTCGAAGGCATGTGGTCTTAGCCTCACTGGACTCAGCCCTGCTGGGTAGAAATTCCACGCCCCTCGGCTGGTGCACCATCGGGGACTCACACAAGCTCGAAGACTAAGCAGCAAAAGTATGAAAGTAGGGAAGGAAAGCAGGGGACATGCACGCAGAGAGAGAACTACAGTACAGCTATGGTTGAAAGTTGAAAGTATGTATATAATACCAGTCATGGTGAAACGTAAGTCAAACGTCTGTAATATCCAACATCTCTGGACGACACACAGGAAGTCATTCGGATTGGTCAAGCAATCACTATGCTCGAGGAAACTGGCCCGGTTCCAAAGATATCCTGCGACTCGTATGTTGCGTGTAGATTGAACATGATGCGTGAGGCAAAAACGCTGTACACGACTACCTGCGGGCTTGACTAACTCAGGATTGAAGATAGGGTCAACTACGATAAGATTTACCTATAGAAAAGGTTGGAATATGGTGACTGGGCAGCCTGATCAGAAACTTGTCATACAACCAATGCAAGCCACTCACAGGAAGCTCGATGATGCCCACACAGCTCACTAAAGAGGCCACTACAAAAATTAAGGCCGTGATTTTGAAGATAATCTATAAGACTCACGGGCAATGCACAGCATGTAAATCATGCCATCCCGATATACAGTAAAAACCAATGGAGTATTTTCCTTTTGGTAAAATTTGAAATGTTTGTGCACCATAAGGGCCATCAATACTAGAGGAGGTTAGTGGCTGCTGGAAAAACAATTGAAATGATACGTGCCAAGCTGATGGGTCATGGGCAAAACATAGAGAACGCCTAAAATTTGTTTTTCCTCGCGTACGTCACAAGTAGATTCTGAATCATAGGTGAGCAGAAGAAATGTGGAGGGAGAGATACACACTTCCACATTTACTTGCAACGACGTGCAGAAGTATTAGTGTAGCTGCAATCATGACCTAAAATAATGTGTGACATTGAGCAACAAGAAAATTGCCAATTGGAAGGACTAAGTTCACTGTGCTGAAGAATGACATCGCAACCAATATCCTCTTTTCACGCCCACAAAAAGCGTACACCCTTGCTGTGACCATGACTGAAATTCAAAAGACGTTACGGGTAGAAAGTGATTTGACTTGGAGCGGTTACTTACCGTCAGCAGCAGCAACACCTAAAGCATTCATGGCTAGCAAAAGAATTGAGCATTCAGAGTGATTTAAGTGACACCATATACTCAACTGCCGATTACGACAATGTATGTCCCAGAATATGGCTGAGATATCGTCAGATATACTTGAATTATCTAAAGAGTCCATACTTACAGTTACCCTGTCACTTGACTGGACGCCATCTATCCAAGGGAATTATTAGCGAAGGCGAGTGATAAAATAACATGACCATTCACAATATAGGTACATAGCAACAGTTGCAATTGGCAGATAGCGAGAAATAGCAAAAGCTATCCTCAATATGCCCCACTTTCTCCCCCATGTCCAACGAACCTAGCAATATCTCAGTTTTCCATATGACCACCGGAAATATACCGTGACTGACCTCTGAGCCAAAAGTGATGCATAAGTCAAAAAGCTGGGGAAATTTTGGTTATGATTGAAATAGGATTGCATTATATTCATCCCTCACCAAGATTGCTGTGGACGCAGCTGTCCAAGGAATTCAGTCATGCAGAGTAGAATCAGTATCCGAGAATAGACTACCTTCAACATACTGAATTCGAGTGAGCAATTAAAGGCTGACTAATGAAGCGGGGTACGCACTGCGACAGTTTGCCAATATTGTCCTATAGGATCAGCAGAGATGCCCATCCTAAGCTTAATTGAAGAAGCGAATGCCTTCCCTCTGGGTTAGAGATAAGTGAACTATTAGCAGCACAAATATTGAATTCCCTTGGCTGAAAGACACATACTTATATATCTCCCATAGCATATGATCGAGTACTTGGAATCGCATCAAGACCGTTCATTTCCGGGTCAAGGTACTTTCATGTGACTCCGCACTGCTCAAACCATTTGTACGTGGCGTTCTCGGCATCCACCAGCACTGCAGATAATAAGGCATGACATCAACTACAATCAGGAGGACGTATATCAGTGACGACTTTACAAATTCATGTGCAATAAACCTGCGATATAAGGTATAGTTCTGGCTGCATGATGTGAACATTACAAACTCAATAAAATCGTTGACTTACTGCGGATCCATAGCATCGGTTACACGAGCAAAAAAAAAACGCCGATGATGCTTCATGTCTGTAAACAGGCGGGGACATATGTTATCTTTTCAGATGCCGGAAACCAATTTGTCCCGGGAGGCCGGAGAATGCAGATCACGGCGATACAAAAGCTTACTGGAGTGAGAAATTCATGCGCTTTTCAGGAGAAATATGCCCCTCGTTGGTCTCGGGCTTAGGCTCTGTATCGCTGGGATACAGCGTAGGCATTCACTACACCTATCGAAGTACAGTCTTTGTTCCAGTAGTTTATCATGCGGCTAGAGTTGAAATTTTGAAATCTCACGAAGGGTCGTTCCCGGAAATCGCGGAGTACAACGGAGACTCACTACGTTCGAACTGCGCACATTACTTATAGCACTGACACTAGTAACATGATTTTGAGGAAAACATTGTCACGGAGCCCCGTAACTTGATTTAGGGAACCAGTGCATATTATGATGTAAAGAACGTTGGAGACTTCGAAGCGGTGCAGAGTTGGTGCAGAGCGTGGGCTGATGATATGAAATGCTGACTCAGCTCCATGAGCCATCACATCGAGTCCGAAACTTCAAGCTTTCAAGTTCTACTTCGCGCCTCACAGCCATGGAACGTCGTCTGGAAGTTATTCTTGATATCTGCATAGCATCAGCAACAAGTGTGATTCTGGATGAACGAATACTTCAGGTATTTAGCGTGCCTTCTCGAGATACGAGTCTACATCACTTGCTGGTGGTCTGGTATTCAGCTCAAAGGAGCGTGAATGGATTTCTTTCCCCCTGCCCTCTGAATACTCACCCACTTCCTCTTCTTTCACGATCGCGCAGCAGGCCGTGCCGCTATCGGGGCCGGGTCGCTTCCACCCCAAAACTTCCTGCTTCAATAAAGCAACATTTATCTCATTCTCGTTAAGAGACTACTGCACGACGGCAAACACAAGGTCAAGTTATTGAGCACGACTGCAGCTCAACAAAATTTTTCGAGGGGTCGACTTCCTAGAAGATGCTTTTCCATGACGGTCATCCGAGTCTCCTTTCTCTACTTGTCACAAAGTCCCTGGATCTTTCGCTGACGAAGTTCCTGCTCTTATTTGTGTCGACGGTGCGAGTCCTTATTCCACCGTGTCGTTGTCTTTTCTTCACAATTGCGACTTGAATATGCCTCATTTTTCCAATCATAATATGGAGTCGATTGTCTGGTCCGGCACGCATTCCTGGTACCAACAGACCTTTTTGTCCCTCTATATGAACCGGCGTGACATCGAGCTTAGTCGCGATTGGCTCTATTTGTGAATGCGAGATTTTGGGTCTCGGTTCCAAGGGCCTTCAAAGTTCAGAAATAGATGTCGCTCGGCTTTCTGGTAGTCATAGCTGGACTGTTCAGCCTGAAAGTATGTTCATTTTGCGGAGGTACTGACGACATGACGGAGGAAGATAAACCGCTTGTCGTAACAACAGGCCGAGGAGAGGATAGAATATCTACAGATGATAGTTCAGCCATATGAAAATGATTTGAATGAATACACGTGTTGAGGACAACTTTTTTGTTGGCTAGAAAGCTCATCCAGACCAGCTCCAAGTTGATTGGCAGTTGCCCATGGCCTTCGGGTAGATTCCAACAGCACAGATGCAGGTGAAAATTGGCAACACCAAACCCTAGAAATGAATCCGTAGAATATTGTTGCGATAGCGGCGTCAAGTTTGATAGTGATCGCAGGAAACGACCATAGCGGGCTCTGCCGCGAGCAACCCTTCCTGCTATACCTTGATCATTATTATTGGAAGTATCGAGAATGAGCATCGACTTCGTCGCTGCGCAGGGTCACTCAGGTTCAGATGATGGAGCGATAAGTGAGAGATCGGGATAAGAGATCGGGGGTCTGAATGACCGTTCTGTAGTGACGAATTCGAAAAAGATGATTGTCGATGCCTGCCGGCAGAATATGAAACGATAGTCCTAATCAATTGAACGCGCTCCTGCAGGTTCTACCGAAATTCCACCATCTGACTAGCAATAACGGTTCTGCCAAATTGATCAGAATCGCATCCATAAATATATCCAGGCAGGATATAAAAGCTGGTCGTCCTCCTATAATGTTCCCCATTCTCAGAAGACTTCATACTAGCTCCCACAGAAAATGTGTTTCTCCTTCCTTCCCCTTGTTTGTGCTTTGACAGCATCTATGTCTGTCAGTGCCCAGTGTGGTAGAAAGAATGACAATTGCAACCCTTCAAAGAAAGGCGACTGCTGCTCGGGCTTGGCTTGTGTAGCTGATGTGAGTCACTGAGCAAGCAGGATTCAACCACATGACTCACCTGTGCGCTTAGACATATGAATTCACATATTGCAGAGCGCTTGGTGGTGGTGGCAGTAATTAAACCGGAAGCCTGAGCAGAACATCACAACAGTGAGCTATGTTTCTGCTCTCGGTTTGATATCATGGTTGATGGTACATTAATGCCTAGTGTCGCGTCAATCAGTAGTTGTTTTTGGACAAATTTTGGTACTTCTCGAGCAATGTGAACGTTTTAACAGATCTGGAAATGATTGATCGTGCTTGGTCTTGTTCATGGTCCACTAAGCTTGAGTTAGAGGGCTTGCTGACTCGGTATGATGGCTGCACATTGCAATCCGATGCAGTCCACTTGCAATTGTGGTCGCTCAGCACTACTTGAGTTTCGCTCACCAGCCCAGTAATTGTAACGTGCTCCACTTTGGAAGCCATCGACTCTCGAGTCTTTGAAGTTCTAACCCCGGTGTCTCTGGCACCGGCAATTGCAAACAACGACGGCTTAAAGTCTTCTCGATAGTTTGTACCGTGAAACATCGTTGTCTCTTGCGTCCCTGTAATGGCTGTAACTTGATAAAGATGTAACGATGTAGATAACCGTTGTAGGAGACTTTGAAGTGGTGCAGAGCAAGAGGTGTGCAAATTTGCAATATAGGATACTGTAGAGATAAGGTAGAGGTCGTGCGGATTCTACCCACCTCACGTGATTGTGACTGACTGTGATGCTGTGCAGGATAAGTGTGTAAGCTTGTGCCGAGCGATGCCGAACATGCACGAGCAAGCATAATCCAGCTTTGTCTGGCTCGAGGAGAGTCTGAGGCATGACCTGTGTGTGTTGGGCTGGTCCGAGCGTTAGATCGGGGAGTAGTGGTGCCGAAGTCCGGTTCGGTTTGGTTCTGGGGCCTCTAAATGTGAATGCCGAACCAGACCATCGGTTGCGTTCAGGCAAGGAGGGCGAACACTGGACCGGACCCTTGTGAATGTGTTCAAATGCTCGAATGCTACATATAAATTGGCAAAAATTGCAAGAAATACATGAACAGTAAATGAGTAGCTAAATTTCATCCATGGCAAAGTGTTCATGAGCAGCGGCAAACTCAGCTTGAACCGTTGTGGATATATGGCCTTGACGGTATCCACTCTTCAATAGCTGAAGGGCCTCGAATGTTGTTGGCAACAAACAATTACGGCGCGTGGTCCCAGTGATGCCACAACTTGAAAAGGCTCGTTCAGATGCAACGGCTGAGCCTTGAATAGCGAGGTAATCCTTCGCAATGCGAGAGATGGTGGGATATTGAATGGAATGGTGCTAAAGGCATTTTAAGTCAACTTGCAAGGAAACACAATGCAAAAAAACTCACCCCCCACCATGCCACTATATTCTCAACATCCTCTAATGGGGCAGCAAGGTAGTCGTCGAGCTCCTGGCAAGGTCTTCGGTTTGCGGCATCATTTGTGACACGAGTTTTGACAGCATCGCACATCCAGCTATGGCCGTATGACCCATTGTGAGCAAGTGAGGAAGGGGCCATGACAGCTGGCTCTGCATCAGCGGGCAAGGAATTGTGATGATAGTACTTGTCGAAAACCTTCCGCAAGCTTCTCATGCCCTCGTCGAAGTTGTGAGGCTCCCATTTACCCTTCACATATGCCACCTTGTAGTTAGGATTGAGTGCTGTATCATACATTAGATAGGGCATCATAGTAAATAAAATACGTACTGAGGCAAACAAAATAAACATCGGTTTTGTTGATTTTGTGGTACCATTTGTGAATGTTGTCGAGGCCAGAGTTAATCACATCTGAAAAGTAGTTGAACTTCAAAGAACTGGCCATGTTCTGCCAAGTTTGCTGGAGATACTCGAGGACTGGAATCGCGCGCCATACGGTAGGTTCGCAAGTTGCTGCCCTGCTCATGCATCTTGATACCTCGTTGGTTGCAGCGGTTGCAGTAAATCGGAAAGTGACACTTCGCATTGTGAGCGATATGGGTGTGGTGAGTCGAAACACTGCCTTTGAAAAAGCATTGATTTGTGGGTACATCATTGGCTCTTGAATTGACGTTAGTTCAGTGATGTTCAAAGTAAAAGTAAAAACATACCTGCATATCTTGCACCACCAGCCGTCTTTGCGTTCTTGGGTGTGTGGATTGATGCGTCCCTTCTCCTGAGTAAACACTACCTTCAAGTCCCCACTGCGCTCCTCTTTCTTCTCATGCTTGCGATCCTCACGATCCTCGTCTCCAAATGCCTTGGTCCTTTCGTAAGCTTCCTCTTTGTTGTTGTCCTTGGCCTCTTCTTCATTGTCTGAACAATCCTCTAGCGCAGGGGGTTCGTTGTTGTTGTTGTTGTTGTTGTTGTTGTTGTTGTCATCACGGTGATGGACCAGACGGGACCCACATTGCACTTGCTTGGGTGCGGGCTGTCCTTGGGGGGCTGCTGGAGCCACTCATTTGGCTGGAGCTGTGTTGGCAGCATGGCAGATTTTTTCTGTTGGTTTGACGGCTCGGCCTGAGCAACAAGACACGAAGTTAGTTAGCTTGCCATTGGATGCAGGAGGCAGAGGTGGAGGAAACATGGGGGTGTCGTCGTTGGGATCATTGTACCAATCGATGGCACTAGCATCTTTGAGTTGGCCATCAGATCCAAGTGCGCATGACATTTGTGCAGCAAGGAGGGTGGAGATTGAACCTGTAGTTAGTAGCTCATTTATACTAAAACTTGTGATAAGAGATAAAAAAAAAGACGCACCTTGAACATACTGTTACGACTTGGATGGTATCTGTTGGCGACACTCAAACAGAGCATGTGTCGTCAACGGTCGAGGACGTCCTTGGGCTAGCCCAAGGTTAGGGGTCTTACTTGGCGAGGCTTCGGCAAGTAAGATTTGACTGCCTATGTCCAAATCGGGTAGCTTACGTCAAGCGGGTGCTAGATGATGAGCTGTATCTGCCAAGGCTTACAACACCCGAAGGTTAATCGTAAGATCATCATTAATTAGAAGGACAGAAGTCCTACTAGTTAACAGGGGCTTTGCTCGTCAACGAAGTCGATGAGTAAAGATCGAGACTATAGGCTTATCTGCGGTGAGCAGATAAGAAGATAGAATATAGACTGCTGGCAAGGCAGAAAGGATTACTCTGGTAAGAGTAGGAGGTCAAGAACCAAGTAGATTAAAGTTAGGGAATATGGTACATGGTAGCGAGTTTATATAGAGGACAGGAGGTGTATTAGTGGGTGATAACTTGTACTACCAAGTGAAGTAAACAGTAAAGGGCATAACCATAAAAGGAAGGCACGTTCGGGGGTGAGGCACGGGTGAACCAGAACGTGCTTGATAAGAAAGTGAGTCAAAGGTCAAAATAAGAAGTGAAACGCGCAGGGGCACGATCGTGCAGCTGCGGAGCTAAGTATAAGTAACATGTGCGACTGCGCACTGAGTCAAAGATCGAAAAAGGGAAAAGGGCAAAGGGGATGCATCGTGCATCATATCATAGGTTACCGTCCGGATGGTAGGGGCAAGGGGACTGTCCACAGGATCAGTCAGGTGGTGGAACAGAGCATGAGTATGCTTCATCAGCGAAAGGATCCGGCCAGATGTACTGGCTCTGCTGAAGCGACAGGTAGAGGGCGAACGGGAATGCGAGGATGACAAGAATGACAAGGGTGAGGTCGGGGTAAGGGTATGATGCGAGGGCTGATACGAGAGGGATGAGGAGAAAAATGGTAGGGGCCCAAGCGTCTAGATGTTCTTGTAACACATACTGTTGCCATGCAGTCGCTTGATGTTGAAGCTTGAGGTACCGGAATGAGAAACCTGTGGATATGTTCTGAACATAAAAGACATTATAGTCTGCATAAAGATTAACATTTGATTAACATTGGGCTTACCAGAACATTGAGTGGATTACCAAGGAAGTCAGATGTCGCCAATGGAAATGTGTTGGGTGTTTTGGCTGCAAAGTCAGACCCGCTGTTGATTGTCCCGAGATCAATTGACATGCCCGTTGCCAGAAGATCAGAGCAGATACTGGTGGATCATGCAAAGAATCTAAGAACACGTTCGGATGGGTTCAAACAGGTTCAAACAGGTCCACAGTATTCAGGCAGCAGCCGAACACTGAACCTAATAATCAGTTCGGTCCTTGTGCTATGTCGAACCTAGGACTGAACCTGCAGTCCGTTCCGGGAGCATTCAGGTCTGAACCAAAGTTCAGAACTGGACTGTGGCAACACTATCGGGGAGGTATGCAAGCAGGTGGAGCCGCTCATCCATCATGCCGGAACATCCACAGCTCTAGCTGCTCAGCCCAACTACATGTGGAGGCGGCCTTATCGAGAGGTTTCATTGGCGAGGTGCTGTGACGAGATTTGTTTGAATGCCCATATGTATGTTTCGTAGGCTAAGGATTTCCAGCACCCTGTGATACGAATGATTTCTGGGTCGATTGTCTTTGCTAAATAAAAGGATGCTCCCCCGATCTGGAAGGAATGACTGAAGGAAGTTCCCCATCCCCAAGCAACGAGGATTACATTGATTCATTCGAGTGCATGCACCTTTGCCATGGGCCGAACATTGCCCAGTTAGTGATGTTCTGGCCTGGCTTGGGCTCAAAGCCACGGCTTAGGCTTGGCTTGGAGCGGCTCAGGCTTAGGAAAATCAGAGCCTGAGCTGTGAGCCCAAGCCAGGCCCAAGCTGGGGGCTTGAGCCCAACAGGCCGTGGCTCAGTAGGCCGATGTCACATGGCAGTCAGTTGCAGAGGATTAGGCAGGTTGGGAGTGGGCAGCGCACCTTGTTTGTCTCCTCGATGACTTTCTTTCACTTATTCCTCTTCTGCTTTCTATTTTCCCCAGCACCTTCCTTTCTCCTTCACCAAAGTGTTGTCCGCATTCACCTTAGCCACACCAGAAAATGTTGGCGTGTGCTGGGCGCATGCGCTAGACGCTGGTTGTTGCTGGAGTAGGGTAGTGGCTGCGGCAGGTGGTGGACCATGGTGTTGATCAAATATGATCATACACTAGAAGATTGGATGTAAAAAGTTATGAAGTGTTGTATCACCATAGAGAATTAAATGTCATTAGAGACCAGATACTTACCAACAATGCAGAAGTTGAGCAAGTTTCGGCATTGGACGTCAGAGAGGACAGGTTGATTGGCCTGCTCAAAACCTAGGCAAGGTAAGCAGTGTCTATCACAACAAGTAGATACACTTACAATCTATTATGCGTGTCCTGATTGCCCGAGCATCTCGCACATCTTTGAGGAAATGTGCATGCTCCTTGATGCCAGGTACATTGAATGCTATCATTAATTTTGTCAGAATGATATGGATCATGGTACTACAGTCCACATACTTTGTGAGTAAGCACCAACAGCTATGACCAACTTGTCATAACGTAAGTTGAATGCATTACCAGGCATCTGAAATGTGTTGTTTAGTATATCATGATCATAGGCTTTTGAATGGGTACCTACACATTGCTTCTATGGCAGTGCCACTGAACATGCCAAAGCTGTGGCTCAGGCTTCTCAAAACCCAAGCCCAGGCCAAAGCCTTCCTCAGGCCATGACTTAGGCCTGGACTGGGCCCAGCTTGGGCCAGCCCAGGGCCTCAAGCTGGGCCATGCACATCACTAATTGCCCTTACCATTGTGCCATGAGAACAAAAGGTCGCTCAACAGTGCTGGCATGACTAGGGCCAGGTTATGAAGGGCGTCGAGAGGATAAAGGTCTCCTTGTTCATTGAGAAAGACTGACTGAATCTCTCCCGCATGAGCCATTTTGGCTGAAGGGAGATCTAAACATGCATATGGGCTACCCCGTAGGTCTGAGCCAAAGAAGGCATTTGCTCTTGTGAGATGTTTGGTGGGCGAAAAGGCTCCTCATGAAGCTACTGACACTTTGCCAAAGCGCATCATTCCGAAAAATGCACAGGACGCCATTGCCCAGATGCAGGTATCGAAAGGATCTGAGAGTGAGAGTGTGGCCTTAAGGGCTGTCAGCATTGGCAAAGTGATTGGTGGGTGGAGGGGCTTTTGGTGATTGCTCTGCAGGTTCTTGAGCCCTCGGAGAGACCAGTTAATGTGGCTGTGGTGGACGTCTGATAAGGGTGGGGGCCAACCTTGGGCCACGTGCCATGCTCACACTGCAGACAAATATTTTTGGGTGACGCCCACTGATACTGGTTCGAATGGGGTTTGGATGGCTGATGATAGGATTGGGTCACTGGGTTCTGGGTTCTGGGTCCATGACAGCCCATAAGGCAAATGAGTGAAGCAGTTCAAATGATGCTGGAAGCTGCTCAGTTTCGGGAACTGAGAAAATGTCACAAAATAAATGGAATTTTCGAAGAACGGCTCTGTAACTCGCTGTATCACAAAGGGATGCTCGATTTGCAAGGCTGGTGATGTGGCAAATGATTGGGTTATCAATAGTTGAAGGGGGTGGAGAGTTCACTCCACACCAGAGTAAAATTTGTTCAGGTGCTTTACAAGGTGGGCGAAGCGAGGAGGGTACCAACTCTAATGATGATGGTGGTGCAGGGCTTGGAAGGGAATGCATGGATGGCGAAGTTGGCAATGAGTTGTGGAGCATCATGATGACCATGGGATTAGCTTGTCCACGAGATGTGAAGGTAGTGGAATTGAGACTGGGTCTGAGGCTCCAGGGAAACCTTGCTTGGTGGCTGCAATATCTCCTTGAGAGAGGGCATCTGCTATGTTGCAGCGGTGTAACAATGGCCGCAGCGCTGGGCTCAAAACCAGGCAATCCAATACCTACGTTTATACCATTCCCCGACCTCCCTTGACCTTCCGAAGGCCGCACGCACTTGTCCAAACCTTCCGCAGGCAGTTTTTCATGTTCTGAGACCCATCCGAACCTCGCAAGTTACCATACCATGTCCTATCCTTGTCCTTTTGACTTCGCTGGTGCGTTTTCCTTTATTCTGACTATATGTTGACTATGTCTTAGTACTACATGGATAACAATCCCATCGGCATCCTGTCGGTGCTACAAGAACATCTAGACGCTTGGGCCCCTACCATTTTTCTCCTAATCCTCCTCGTATCAGCCCTCGCATCATACCCTTACCCCGACCTTACCCTTGTCATCCTTGTCATCCTTGCATTCCCCTTCGCTCTCTACCTGTCGCTTCAGCAGAGCCAGTACATCTGGCCGGATCCTTTTGCTGACGAAGCATACCCATGCTCCATTCCACCACCTGACTGATCCTGTGGACAGTCCCCTTGCCCTTACCGTCAGGACGGTAACCTATGATACGATGCACGATGCATCCCCTTTGCCCCATTTCCTTTCTTGATCTCTGACTCAGTGCGCAGTCGCACATGCGACTTATACTTAGCTCCGCAGTTGCACGATCGTGCCCCTGCGCGTTTCACTTCTCATTTTGATCTTTGACTCACTTTCTTATCTGCACGTTCAGGATTCACCCGTGTCTCACCTCGAACGTGCCTTCCTTTTATGGTCATACCCTTTACCGATTGCTTCTCTTGGTAGTACGAGTTATCACCCACTAATACGCTTCCTATCCTCTATATAAACTCGCTACCATGTAACATATTCCCTAACTTGAATCTACTTGGTTCTTGACCTCCTACTCTCACCAGAGTGATCCTTTCTGCCTCGCCAGCAGTCTATATTCTATCTTCTTATCTGCTCTTCGCGGATAAGCCTATAGTCTCGACCTTTACTCCTCGACTTCGTCGATGAGTAAAGCCCCTGTTAACTAGTCGGACTTCTGTCCTTCTAATTAATGACGATCTTACAATTAACCTTCGGGTGTTGTAAGCCTAGGCCGATATAGCTTATCGTCTCGCATCCGCGTGACATAAGCTACCCGATTTGGACATAGGCGTCAAATCTTACTTGCCGAAGCCTCGCCAAGTAAGACCCCTAACCTTGGGCTAGCCCAAGGACGTCCTTGACCTGTTGACAACACACGCTCTGTTTGAGTGTCGCCAACAGATACCATCCAAGTCGTAACAGTCGGGAGCCTTGGAATATGTATAAGCAGCACGCATTGCGGCTTATTACATGTATACTTGTATTCTTGCATGCCTCGTGGCTTATTACATAGGTTCAGACTTGCTTATCTCGCTACTAGTTTCGCCTATGGATTCTGGCCTCTCACGGAAGTAGGATATAATCTCGCTCGCTGGCTACTGATAGGGCACTTCACTTCCCATACTTCGAGTAGTAATTAGTAGAGTCACCTTGGTATAATCATAAACTGCGCAATTGATCCTAGTTCATTTGGAACAATTGTCTGGCTAAACCGCTGCCCAGTTCGCACTTCGTTTATCCTCAAGCCCCAATAGATTAGCATTGTTCTGGACTTCGGACGTTGCGCAAAAGTTTTATACTGTTATTCAACACACCGACATACCGACACATCGACACACCGACATATATATACCTTCGGACAGCTTTTGCAAGCCTTGGAAGGCATCACGCTACTTCGGACAACACTTTTGCAGCCTCGGACAACCTTCGGTCGCATCGGACAAGTTTCTCGGTACTTCGGAAGTAGTCTCGGAACTACGGATGAGCATTGAAGAGGTTTTCTTCCAATATATTGTCTACTCTCTAACTGTGTAAGACTTCCCTTGCATTATCAAGGTAGTTTTTAGGTTGTCTCTTGGGACAAAGCATACTCACATCCCTCAGGACTAGGGACTCACATTCAGTGGAGCCCAGACCAGATCTACTCTTTACAGTGGGATGCAACATAAACTGCTGATAGGCATATACAACTTTCTGCTTGCAGGCGATAAACGTGCTTCAACACTGTGTTTGTCTCTGCATTGCGGGAGCAGCCTTTGTTGGTTACTGCAACAATGCCGGCGTTGTCTGAATGGATGAGGTAGCAGAGATTTGACTGTGCTTCCTTTGAAATAATACCTTGCGAAATAATTAGGAACACGGGCAAAGGTGCACATGAATTGAGAAAGCTACCTAGATGGAGGGCTACTCAGAACCCTAACTCAACTGCTACTGCCTCAGCACAACCAATGTCGAATGTGCGTGATGGCCCAACCTTGAATCCCGGTGCCCAACACCAGACGGCCCAACAATCCTTGATAACAATGCCGATGCTGAACAAGGTACTGGTGTCACCCCACCAACCAATGTCTATTGGAGAGGACATGGTGATTGGAACACGGTTGGGAAGAATTGATAGCAATAGTTGGATCCATGGAAGGTTTGCAGCAACGGCAGATGATGGGTGAAGGTGTGCCCCAGTGGAGCAAAAACTGGCTGCAAACAGTGCAATAGACCTTAAGAAAGGGTGGATTTAGGGGAAAATACATGCAACATGCACTAGCTTGTCATGAAGGCCAGCTGCCTCTTTTGCCATAAAGGATGCACCAATGGCTCACCAGCTGATAATCAATTGTTGCACTTTTAGGAACTTCTCCTCTGGGAGTGAGACAAGTTTGCATTCAAGATCCCAGTCAAAACTGATGTATCTCTGAACTAATGCAAAACGGCGCAGCTTTTCAAGGCTCCAAGGAACACCACAGTAACTTGTTAGTGCTATAAATTCCTCTTTGGTTCATGACTGATGAGGAAGCCTTATCACTAAGAAGTCATCCACTCATTTTCGGATCAAATCAAAACCTGCTTTGTTGTACAAGGCTACGAGCATATCTGCCACAGAGCCGAAGACACCAGCACTGGAAGAGAGCCCAAACATTAGGGCATGGTCTACATAAACAATGCCTCTCCAAAATATGCAGAGAGAATTCTGCTGTGAGGGGGAGACCGGAACAATGTGATAAGCTGAGGATATGTTGAAGGTTGCAGCCACACAGCCAGAGGGTAAGGAGAGAATGAGAGACGTGGTGTCGTCAAAGGTGCCCCAAACCATGGGGAAATCATTAGGATTTATATCCACATTCACAGAACAAATATTGGGTAGGTTGCAGGGGTAATAAAGATCTTGAACTATTTGAAATTTGCTGGAGTTGGGCTTGGGCACCAAGCCCAGGGGTGACGTACGGAAAGGTCCAATTAAAAGTTCTAATTCCAAAGGGCTGAAACCAGTAGAGTAACGTCCAGCAATCTGTTTGGATGTAATGTATGAGTCGATAATAGAAGGATTGAGCAAGGAAGAAGTGTGATTGTCGAAATGTATAAGTTTTAGATGGGGGGGTGTTGACACCAACATTAAAGCCATTGCGTATACCATATACTATATGTTGCCAGTCATCGAATATACTATATTTACGAAGAAGTTCCTCCACTTGTAATGCGATAAGTGGAGTAACAACTATGCAGGGATCAGGAGTGAGCTTTGCAGCTGCTGGCACTGTGGGAGGCATCTCCGCACAGGCTGCAGGAGTGGGCATTCTTGCACCCATTACCGAATGAGCAGACAGAACTGCTGGCCCAATTGAAGCAGAAGTGCTTCCCATTGGATGTAGTGAGTGAGTGCATGCTTGCTTCATGTGCCTGTAGTGAGCGGGGCAACAGGTTTTCCTGCGACAGTTGTGTCAGCTGTGCAATCTGCTGGCAAGTGACCAGGAGCTCTGCAGCAAAAACAATGACTCGAATTAACTGTATGCGATTTCTTGCGGGGTGAAGTTACAAAATTGTTTGGCACAGAATACTTATTAGATAACCCAGGCTGTGAACTTTGCAGCATGGCTGAGGCAACTTTACTATTGGCTATTGTAAGTGTGGCTATATCTAAGCCAGCCAGGTTGTGCTTGTGGTTTGTGTGAGCTAGCTCTCGCTGCTGCACATCATAGTGCATTGCAACTGAACAACCATGAGTGTGTCCAATATCAAGGACAACTAAGTGATGCGACGCTAGGGCTGATTCCCTATCAGCACCCCAGTAATGAGCCGTATTTCACTTATTTTCTACATGTTTGTGACTTAATGTTAAGAACATGCTCAAGGGTCAAATCCGAAGGGCTTGGCTTCAGCTTGTGCGCTGCACCCCTTACCTGAGTACATGCCCCTAACTTCCAAAGGCTAATGGACAATGTCCAGAGTCCGATGTCCAATGCACGGGAGTTCTGGCGGATGTTCGGGAACAGGTGATAAAACTAATCCAGATGATGTCTGAACTAGAAGGGAAACAGCGGAGGACTACCAGAGGTAGAGGCGGAGGTGATAAGTCTATAGGGATCAACCCGAAGACTTTAGTGGAGGTCGACAAGAGAAGAACTCAAGACGGACAGAGGAGGGAATGAGCAGAGTCTAAGATAATATTTGAACTAAGGTAGTACAAAGATTCTACAGAGTTTATATACTACAGAGGACATAATGGAGAATCAGCCAGCACAGTCCAAAGCTGTGCAAGGCTGTGGACGGAGCATATATGTTATGGACTTGGATGGTGTCTGTTGGCGACGCTCAAACAGAGCGTGTGTTGTCAACGGTCGAGGACATCTCTGGGCTAGCCCAAAGTTAGGAGTCTTGCTTGGCAAGGCTTCAGCAAGCAAGGTTCAACACCTATGTCCAAATTGGGTAGCTTATGTCAAGTGGGGCCCGACGATAAGCGTATCTGCCAAGGCTTACGACACCTGAAGGTTAATTGTAAGATCTGCATTAATAGAAGGACAGAAGTCCAACTAGTAACAGGGGCTTTGCTCATTGATAAAGTCGATGAGTAAAGATCAAGACTAAAGACTTATCCGCAATGAGCAGATAAGAAAGTAGAATATAGACAGCTGGCTAGGCTGAAGGAATCACTCTTGTTAGAAGTAGGAGGTCAAGAACCAAGTAGATTCAAGTTAAGGAACTAGATACATGGTAGCAATTTTATATAGAGGAGAGGAAGTGTATTAGTGGATGATAACTTCTACTTCCGGAAGAGGAACTGGTCAAAGGGTGATACTAGAAAAGGAAGGCATGTTCGAGGTGAGTCATAGGTGAACCAGAATATGCAGATAAGAAATGAGTCAAAGAACAGAAACAGGAAGTGAAACAGGCAGGGGCACGATTGTGCAACTGTGGAGCTAAGTATAAGTACAATGTGCGACTGCGCACCAAGTCATAGATCAAGAAAGGAAATAGGGCAAAGGGAATGCGGTGTGCATTGTGTCATAGGTTACCAGTCCGGATGGTAAGGGTTAAGGGGACTGTCCACAAGATCAGTCATCAGGTGAAACGGAGCATGGGTATGCTTCGTCAGAGAAAGGGTCTGGCCAGATGTACTGGCTTTGCTGAAGCAACAAGTAGAGAGCAAAGGGGAATGCAAGGATGATGAGGATAACACGAGTAAGGTCAGGGTAAGGGTGTGATGCAAGGGCTGAGACGAGGAGGATAAGGAGAAAAATGGTAGGGGCCCAAGTGTCTAGATGTTCTTGTAACAATATAGAAAAGTCATACACTAGTCTATTGGAAAATAGTAAATGAAGATGGACATGAAGACATAGGAAAATAAAGGCAGAAATGAAACAAGATATGGAAAATGAGATGGTCTAACTTTAGAGGGAACATACAAAGGGATAAGGCATGGAAGTTAGACGCGGATCAGATCCAGATGATAGATAGAAGTCGGCTGGATTCAGAAACTCAGAAATGGTTTGTGTGATAGGTCTGGGTCTGGAACACGGGATATGACACTTAATCACACTTTTTGAGAGAAAAATGACTGCAAAACATTGCATTTCAAGTGAAAAGTAGATTACATATGAAAAAAAAATATTAAAAAAAAGTTTCAGAAGCAATAGCAGCAGCAAGTTAACAAAGCAGTGAAGAGTAGTAGTAGCAGTCCACAGGCTAGTAGTACTTAGTAAACTTGAAACACTAGTTAGTAGTGAAATATATGTGGGAAATGAGAAAGACAGTACCGACTACTAGTAGTACTACTGTATAATTTCAACCTTAGGTTCGTCACACCATTGCAAGCCTGATGAACCTAACCTATTTTTGTGACAGTCACATGCAAATTCAGCTGATGAACCTAAATGTGTGACACTTTGTATTCATGCGATTTCAAGACATATTACTATACTAGTATATGCTAATGCTCCTCAAATGCACCATATTGTTTGTTTGTGACACATATGTGCTTGCCCCTTCTTAATTGAATGGGTTCACCATTAGGAACACTGGTAGAAACTTCCTTAAAACAATCAGTGGCAGTATAAACAATCAGTGACCTATCTGCATCAATTCTGTACCAATCAGGTGCACACTTCTTTCCTGACACTAAAAACTGCAGAAGAAGCTCCAATGAAGCATCATCCCCTGGTTCCTCTTTGTCATTGACAGTATCCTCAGGCATAGAGACAGTAGCAGCAGCATCTTTGCCACTAGTAGTAACAGGTTGACTTAGACAATATGATTGAATGTGCTCCCACATGTCTGAAGCTGTTTGTGGCAAATCATGAAGCATGTGACATGCTTCAATACTTGTCAGGCTGTCAAATGAAAGGTTGAATGAGCTATCAATCCCAGTTGTGCAGAGTGAGAAAGCCTACCAGTGCACCTCATATCAGTGGCCAAGATCAAATAATGAAATTTGATCTTACTTGTTGTATAATGGCAGGCTTATTGATGAGCTTGAAGGCTTTGACAAACCACTGGACAAAACAGTTATGAAGTGTTGGTTTTGTTACATCAAGTTAAATGTTACCTGAGATTTTTCCAGCTGCGCTGAAGGTTCAACAATTTAGATGGTTAGTCTGAATAATGTTGGGTCTTGCTGCCTAGCTATGTTGTCTAGAAGACAGTATTTGACCCTAAAGGGTTTCTGTACTAAGCTCAAAGCTCAGAGAGAGATAAAAACTACTAAGACTCTGACTCAAGGTGGAAACTGGTGAAGAGGTAACTTGGTTATGTAAGCTACAAAATAGCAAACATAAGATAAAGACAGTATCTACAAGCCTAGTTAGGAATGAGTCTCTACAGCGCATTGAGATACTGTTTCCGAAACAATGTTGCTGCGCTGCAGCTCCTTGATAGTCAGCTTGAGTGGACATTGAATACTAACATCATAGGGCTGTACAACACCAGTTGTGCCTACAAGAACAAAACTGTAATGGATCCAATCATAGTTGGCATCCAGCCAGGTGTAAAATGCAATAGAGTGATGAATAATCCAGCAATCAAGCTGCAGGATACATGGTTGATCAAGTGGGATATCTCACTGATGTTTCTTCTCCATCCAGAATGGTACTAGGATCTCAATAATATAGGTACACCTGGTCTGGAATGTGGCCCAGTATGTGTCTGTGTTTGAGAACATGAATTGAAAGTTTATGTCGAGTGCTTCATCATAAGATGGTACATTGGATGATGGAAGGGACTGTTTTAATTTGCTGTTGTAAACAATATGGAAGGGGAGAAGATCACCACCTGCAGATATACCAGCAAGAAGTATACAGACATGTTTCTCTCCCTGACCAACAATAGCAACTTGTTTTGAGCCAATCAGCTCATATGTACTGCCACCTGCAGGCTGGTACATAATGTTGGTTTGGTTGATATTGATGAGAAACTCTGGATGTATAATAGTATCATTATGGATTGCAAAAGCAAGTCAAAGAAACTGCTCTAAGCAGACATTGTCAATGTTGGGAGGCAGCTTTTGTACTACATGAATTCCTTTGTGCATTGTATACTGCAGCCGATTGTACAGAAATGTCTGCACCTATAAGTCTGAATATTTAAACACAGAGTCATCTTTTGCTTTTATGGTGAAAATGGCTGGTAAGTCATGGCAAAGAACCAACACTGATACCTTGACAATGAGAAGTGCTAAGTGTGATGCCAACTTGGCAAAATGTGCATATTTGGTGGACAGTTTTCTTGAAGGTGTCAGGATAGGGTATAAGGATACTTGTTCATATGATGGCACCCAATGCTAGGTTGCCCCTCTTTGCATGTTCTACAACCCTGTCTTTCCACCTTTGATGTATTCCTGTACCATCAATCCAATAACCAACAACTTGGGGCATAAGAGACTGACAACATGAATCTAGTTGTAAATGATAACATATGGCATGAGATGACATCATGAGCCCAACACTGAGACTTGCTGCTTTAAGAACCATTGGCCAAAAGATAGGGCTCTGCCAGTTGATGCATTGAGCATCAACTGGGCTGCAAACTCATTTTCAACCAGCATGCAATGATTTTTTTACTCAGTAAAGCTCCTCCTTGACCAAACGATGGAGGTGTGAGAGCTCCACAAGAGGCTGACTTGATTGGAGAGCAGATATATCAGGATCTGACTCGGAGTGAACTTGGGATGTCATTTTCAGAGGCTGACTGTTTCAACTGTAAGTATATACATTAATATGTGTGTTCTGTTGATGACATTATCAAAAACAAACCTCTTTTGCATGAGCTCGGTGTGCATGCTGGTGGTCCCTGTCATTGATATGCTTCTGGTGTTTGCGCTCAGCATCCTTAAGTGCTCTCGAAAATTTGATGTCATGTTGCTTGTCTTTGTGCTTGAGGTCATGCTGATGGATATCTGCAAGATAATCCTCATACAGGACAATGCTGAAATGCTTGAGGAGTCCTGTCTTAGGCTCAGAAGGTGAGACATGATAATTAAGTATCATTTTTGGACACAACTTGAGAGACTTGAGAGCTGTGGCCTGAGACTGCAGAGGGGGCAAAGAAGGTGTTGGAGATGGAGAGCATGAGCAGGAAGTTATGAGAGACAAACAGGGTAATGAAGAAAAGTAGTCTGATGTATATACATTACCGTCCTTATAAAAGTGACTACAAAGGAGGAATATGAGCTCTTGCATGTGAAGTAGGTCCTTTTTATTGTCTGTAAACAGAGGGGTGTCAAAGAGCTGGTGATGTATGATATTTATGATGGCAATTGCATATGAGTATGCATCTTCTGGGTGGCCATGAGGAAGTTCCACACCTTTCCAAAATGATGTAAAGCCATGCTCATGCAGCCACCTTTGAATTAAATCAACATCATCTCTCAGTCATGTCCAACCCAAAGAATCACCATTGAAGATGAGGAATCTAAACTGCAATGAAAGTTGGTGCTAAGGTAAGCAAACATAGATAGACCCAGGCACGAGTGAAACATTGACCCAAGGGCAGCTGTCTGGGTAAAGGGAAACCTCTCTTATAAAAAGAGGAACACCAAACTAATACTAGAGTAATAGGACTATAAGATGCACAAAGTGCGAGGCAAGAATGATGCAAGATGTGATATGCAGATGTGTGAATGTGAAGGGCAAAAGGCAAGATGCATGACACAAAAGTAGCACACATGAGCGAGAGTGAAGTACAAAAGAGTGAGCAAGGCTAGAAAGAGATGAGGCGAGATGACTGTTAACACCCCAACTAAGGTTGGCTGGTGCTAAGGTGAAGGACTGACAACAAATGTGCGAGACTTAGATAGTCACTGCAGTCAACAAGTAAAATTCTCTTGTATCTAAGGATACAGAGAAAGTGAGCAGAAAATCGACCCAGAACATAAGTGATAGAGGGGTATAAGTAAAATAGCTAAGCACCGCTAGGTGAGCAGGTCCAATGTAGTGAGCTGGACAGGATATAAATAGTATGCAAAGTATGTAACAGGGTCTCAGCTGGCTGCACATGAAGCCAAGCATTAGCAATAGAAAACAATTGAACGAAATGGAAATATAATGGGAAAATGCACCAATGGACTTCTGAGGACATGGGAAGGATGGATGGACAGACAGGTGTGTGGTCAATGTGAGTGTGGATGCACGAAGTGCGCAAGGCCATGCACGAAACCTGCAAAAATAAAATATGTGTGCTAATGCGCTAAATGTATCCTGTGGATTAGAGCTGGAGTTTGTAAGGAATGTGGGAGAATTTGGAGGGAAGTGCATGTAGGAACGCGAGTCTCTACATTGCCATAGATTGTCTGTTCCAGCATCTATTGACAAACAAAAAATAAGCCAAAGGATGTACCAGATTGCATTCAAGATGTTGGTTTAGACAAATTTAGAGTTTGACCATTAGTAGTAGTAGTAGTAGTAGTAGATTGGTAATGATATGTTGCTTGCAGCGCTTGTTTTGGCTTTGGTATCTTCTGCTGCTTTTTGCCACTTGAATACCATGTGAATAAATATAGATAAGTCAAAAATAAGTTTTAATTTTTAAAACAAGTTTGCCTATGGTGTGGTTCACTTAGAGGCTGCTACTTTTGTCCAAGTGCCAAATTGGAGGACAGCTGTAACCCTAACCCTAATATGAGATGCACTAGCCAACCAGCTTCAATGAGTATGAACTGGATGTCATTGCTTGCCTGGATAATGTTCAAAAGTGCCACTCCAAACCATCCAGTGGTGGGAACATTGAATGTACAGGTCGATGAATACAGGATGGGACTCAGGATGGATGACACACAGCTGCAGGTCAAGAAATTTAGTTCAAGACAGTATAAATCTCACAGACATATTCCAGACACACACATTTTTGACCAGTAAGTAGTACACGTGCCAATTTGGAGTGCCCAGAAATAAAAAATCTTGCTTAATTTGATGCAATAAAAAATTGCTCTTGGGGTTTTATTCAATGCATCAAAAGGAACATTTTCCGAATAGGGATTAAAAAACTAACAAAATTTGAGTGTAGAAAAAGTTTGGACAAAAGTAGCGGCCTCTAAGTGAACCACACCATAAGGAATGTGTGAATTTATTGATGTGGTGAACAGCTTCAATTCATAGTGGCATGTGACATGTGACAAAGACTTTAGTGTCGTAAGGTAGAGGTCATGTGGATTCTACCCACCTCACATGACAAACATGATGAAAAAGTGACTGAAGACAAAAATTGTAATATCAATTGATCAGGAGCCTTATACAACAAATGGCTACACAGTTACATTGATAATAATACTGTGGACATTTTCTGTGAACCAGAATTAAGAGAAATGGAGTAGGATGTTTGTTATTTGAAATATTAGAAACTACTGTTAGCAGTGTAGAAAGCTGATTTCCGCTGGGCTCAGCAGAAATCGTACTACCTAGACAACAAATATTTAGGTAGATCTTAGCATGACCTATGCTGTTATACTTGCAGAGCAAGTGCGTTCGATCCTAAAGGGATTGCTAATTGGTATTAGTAGTAAAAATGTGTCAGTAATGAAAAGAACTGAATGTCCGATAGTGCGAAATGATGTCCAAGGGTACTTATCCAATGTCCAAAGCCAAAGTGCAATGTCCGAGATTTTGGACTTTTGGACTTCACGATAATAGGTTGGGAACTTTATAACGAGTGTCAGATTGTGAGTGGTATGTGCAAGTATAACGAGTGATGGTGTATGACGGTGAATGAATGGTAATATTTCACAATACAACTAAGAACTTGAGAATATTCTGGGTGATCCGCAGAGTCGTGAAAGTGTTCCTAACTATCAGATGATAATTGCTACGGGTCACTACAGAGTATTTAAGTAAGTACATAGAAATCTGGAATACTACAGGCGAAGATAGTAGCGATATATTTCGGGTCCGATGTCCTATGTAATAAGACACGAGGTGCTGCGGACATGTAATAACGCGGTCTGAATGTCAGAAGACATGCACGGGAATAGCTATGCACCTAGTGAGGCTAGTTCAGATGGACAGGACATGGGGTGGACAAGTGCATGTGAAGTGCAATTGGCCGATGCGATGTCCGAAGGTCCGATGTGGAGTGGCTCGGACATGTGCGAAAGTGCGTCAGACATGTGCACATATGTTTCGGGTGTTCACGTATGTTTCGGGTGTTCCCATGAGTATGAAAAACCGTGGTTCCGAGCCCAGCACTGAGACCATCGCTACAGCAGAGTGTAACATTAACATATATACATGATACTCCAACGTGCCGTGCCATGTTGCCGATACTATCCTTGCACCATGGGCAACAAAACATGGGGGCAGAAACACTCGAGAGATAACCTGGTATTAGCACAAGCATCTAAAAAAAGGCAAAAGACTTCAGTTCTGTGTTCTGTGTCAGAGAAAGATAAGAATGTGAGTGATGCATCTTGTAAATAGACTAGACAATCTCAATATACTGGTATGATCAGGCCTCTGACTCTGCCGCTGTGATGTCGACCAGTATTGATCTCAATGATGTCATGATACCATACCCTGGGCCCTGCATTCAACATCCCCCATCCGGTAATCTCAAGCATGTGACCTCAGCACACTTCAAGCAGACAGTCCAATGCTGAGGAAGTGGAAGATGAGGATGACCTGATTGCCATTTGCGGAGTGCATTGGCAACAAAATGACTATCCTCAGACTGGTATAGTTGAGGAAATTACAGACTTACAAGAAGTCATCTCTCATGACTGTTATGGTGCCCACAAGATAGTTGATGATTTTGTCAATGATGATGAAATGGATGCTGCTAGTGAAGATGGCGAGAAGCGCAATTACTGTTTTGAGTTGAGAAAGCTGCCTACCATTGAGGAAGCTTGCAAAGCTTTTGACAGCTTGCAACAACTGCTCAAGCCACCACAGAAAGATAAAACCAGATACAAAGACCTCAAATTCCCCCCTGTACTGAAAGAGAGGCTGGTGCACATGAAAAACTTTCTATGGTTATATGTAGATGTTGGCAAGGATAGGAGAACTCACACAGCAAATCCTGTTGGGAGACACTAGCAACTTGCCGCTGATAGAGCCATACAAGATGCATGAGGAGGAAAGAGTACCAAGGGAGACTATAGGTCTTGCCGTCTTTAGCACCGGTCAAAGGTGTATATTAGCAACCGAGAAGCATTACCAATCCGTGACACACCTTGTAAACTCTTGCAGATTGATGATGAGGGTTTAGCATCAGATATGAAGGATTATCTTCAAAGCTATGACAAATATGTTTGTGCCCAGGACATTGTTAATTATTCTAATGTTGCAGAGAATCAGGCTTTACATGGCTTCAAGAAAGGAATCTCACTCACAACAGCTCAGTGGTGGATGAAGAAATTTGGGTACCACTGGACAAAGGATCTGAAAGGGCAATATGTTGATGGCCACGAACATCAAGATATTGTTCATTACTGCCAAAATATTTTCCTCCTGGCATGGATTTATTATCAGCCACAAATACAGAAGTGGAGGGAGGATGATGTTACTGTTGAGGAGGTTGAGGAGGTTAGTACAGCAGCGGCAGCTTCTGGTCGCTGAGTGGTGGTATGATTTCATGACGAGTCAACATTCTATGCAAACAACAGAAGGAAGCAGCACTGGGTTCATGATTCCGAGGGTGCAGTGCCACAGCCAAAAGGGGAGGGCACTTCCTTGATGGTGGCAGACTTTATTTCTGCAGATTACAGATTTCTGTGTTCAAAAGATGGAAGTGAGAGTGCACGGGTACTATTTAGGGCAGGGAAGGCTTGTAATGGCTACTTTACAAACCAGGATATAACTGCCCATGTTGCAAAGCCAATGAGTATCCTGGAGAAAGATTATTCTAAAGAGGATCATGTTCTTATTTTAAACAATGCATGCACACACCTGAAGAGAGCAGATGATGCCTTGTCTGCTCGTACAATGCCCAAATAGCCATCATCTACATGGGGAGATCTCCATCTCAACAAACGGTCCTGATGGGAAGCCCCTCAAGGAAAAAATTTGCATGGGAGATGGATGACTTTCAAACAGGGATCCACAGTCCCTTTATTTCCCTGAGGGTCCAAACAATAAAGCTAGGTGGTTCAAAGAGATGTCACAGATTCTCATGGAGCGCAGGTATATGAACACCCTAATTTCAAAGCCCAATGCAAGGACTTTAAATATCCAGGAGATGGAAAAAATGACTGTTGCTGCTGTCGGCTAATGTATGATCAGCCTGATTTTGCCAATGTGGAGTCAGTACTTGAAGCCTCATGCCATGCACAAGGCTTCAATGTGATATTCTTACTGAAATTCCATTGTGAGCTCAATTTCATTGAGCAGTGCTGGGGTTTTGCAAAGCGGATATACTGCATGAAGGATATTTCATCATCAGCTGCCACCCTTGAAAAGAATGTCATTGACTCACTAGATGCAGTACTGATATTGGCAATATGATGGTATGACTCATATTGATGACTTATCAATCAGACTTCTGATGGAAATTGTAGATTTTCCATCAGATCAGCCAGATTTATCAATGCTTACTGAAAAGGCCTTGACAGAACACAAGCAGCATGGGCAGCAAAGAAGTATTGTGGACACTGCATATATCCCACTGCTGTAATTGAATCGTTCACCACCTTCCATATTTTTCTTTTCAAAAAAATCCAATTTATTGTCCTTTGGGGTTGTAGACCCTATGTTGGACATAGCCCTTTTCATGGGGGGCTTACTCCTGCTTATCTATCTTATGTATGTAATGTATACTGTGCTTGTGATGAGTGGATATATGCGTACTCTGTCAGGCATATTGTCGGGCAAAGGCTGATGCCGATTTCATACAGAGGGATATAGTGTAGTAGTAAGGTTGCTTGGGAGTGTTGGTTGGCATTATGTGCATGGTTGGGTTTGTCACAGTTTTAAGTCTCGGGTCCATAGCCAATCTGGTTCTCCTTGTGCCTCTCCTCTTCTACATTGATTCTGCATCCTGCACTAATCTTTCCCTCCAGTCTCAGAGTTGATGTGGTGTAGTTTACATATGTTTGTGTATGTTCTGTTCATGTGCGTTCTTAAGTTGTTTACATTTTTACAAGTCCAAAATCTCACTGAATGTTGTTTTGAATCTTCCTGTGCCATTGATGAATCATATTAGTGGACTAATTGCCTTTTCTGACATTAGTAGGTAGGTAAGGGTGTTTGCTTTGCAGCGTAAAGTATTGGTCAGTATGTGATGTTCTCTTGTGTATTGACGGCAGTCAAATAGGAAGTAGGGCACCATTTCTATGATTTCCGGACAAAATGGGCAGTGAGGCATTTCGCTTTTTCCTATATGATGGAGGTGCTGATTGAGGGGGGAGTGACGGGTTCGTAGTTGGGTGATTATGCTGGCTTGTCTTCTTGGGAGGTTGGCGATGAGTTTGATGAACTTGTTGGATGGTATGCTGGAGTCAATGGCTGATGCACGGGTATAGTGGGGTGAGTTCTTCCATTTTTCATTCAGGTCTGATTAGTGCCATTGTTTTAGGGCTGAGACACTGTCCGGTAGCTTGTTGACTCAAAGGAATGATGGTAGGCAGTTCTTCCGGCTTGAGTTTCTTGTTCCTTCTGCTGCCTTCTTTGCTTCTTTGTCTGCTAGCTCGTTACCTTCCACCCCTTCATGTCCTGGGATCCACCTCAGCATAAGGTCAAAGTTGAGTCCTTTGTCATCTCTTTGCTTGACTATCTGCGCTGTAAGTTTGCAAAAGTGCTCTACTAAGTATCCACCTGGTTTCATATACTGACTCTCACCAGATTGTATTGCTGCCTGGTTATCTATGAATATTGATGCTGGATATTTCATGTTCCTCTCAGTAGCTATAAGTTTTGCTGCAAGTGTTAGACCTACGATTTCTGCTTCATATACTGTGTGGTTTCGATCTGATCCTAGGTGGTACCTTAATATGTGTGGTGCTTGCCCTCTTTGCATTAGAACTGCTGCTGCTCCAATTTTCTCATTATGGCCTGATTCATCCATAAATACCTGGACTTCATCTGTCAGTTTCTTCTGCTCCTTTATGGCTTCTTTCTTTTTCGTAGCTATGTGGGTATGATAGACATTTGGTCATTGCTTGTCTGACCTGCTGATAGGGTCAAGCATTTCGATGTCTTTGGAGAGTAGCTGGTATGTGGCTATGAGTTTGTGGATGGACAATTGATGACAGTGTAACAATGGTCGCGGCGCTGGGCTCAAAACCAGGCAATCCAATACTTATGTTCATACCATTCCCCGACCTCCCTTGACCTTCCGAAGGCCGCGCGCACTTGTCCAAACCTTCCGCAGGCAGTTCTCATGTTCTGAGACCCATCCGAACCTCGCAAGTTACCATACCATGTCCTATCCTCATCCTTTTGACTTCGCTGGTGCATTTTCCTTCATTCTAACTATATGTTGACTACGTCTTAGTGCTACATGGATAACAATCTCATCGGCATCCTGTCGGGAGCCTCGGAATATGTATAAGCAGTACGCATTTTGGCTTATTACATGTATACTTGTATTCTTGCATGCCTCGCGGCTTATTACATAGGTTCGGACTTGCTTATCTTGCTACTAGTTTCGCCTACGGATTCCGGCCTCTCACAGAAGTAGGATATAATCTTGCTCACTGGCTACTGATAGGACACTTCACTTCCCGTACTTTGAGTAGTAATTAGTAGAGTCACCTCGGTATAATCGTAAACTGCGCAATCGATCCTTGTTCATTCGGAACAATTGTCTGGCTAGACTGCTGCCAATTCCGCACTTCGTTTATTCTTGAGTCCCGATAGATTAGCGTTGTTCCGACCTTCGGACATTGCGCAAAGTCTTATACTGTTATTTGATGCACCGACATACCGACACATCGACACACCGACATATATAGACCTTCGGACAGCCTTCACAAGCCTCAGAAGGCATCGCACTACTCTGGACAACACTTTTGCAGCCTTGGATGACCTTCTGTCACATCGGACAAGCTTCTCGGTACTTCAGAAGTAGTCTCGGAACTACGGATGAGCATTAAAGAGGTTTTCTTCCAATATCTTGTCTACTCTCTAACTGTATAAGACTTCCCTTGCATTATCAAGGTAGTTCTTAGGTTGTCTCTTGGGACGAAGCATGCTCGCATCTCTCAGGACTAGGGACTCACATTCAGTAGAGCCCAGCCCAGATCTACTCTTTACAACAGGGTTGTGTTTTGGTATTTGGTGATGTGCTGCAGGTGGGGATATAATGGGTGCCATTGTGGGAGGGTGGCTAAGTGGAGGGCGGCTCAATGACATATTTTCTGGAGGAGTAGGAGGACTGGTAGAAGGTTGGCGTGGTCATCTAGGAGGTTTGTGGCCATTGTTCTCATGGCTCCAGTTATACTTAGTGCTGCTATTCTCTGGACTCTAGCTAGTTGCTTGGCTATTCCTATTGATCCTCATTGTTTCTTCATTGAATCATTGTGGTAGACGGGTCTGAACCATAGGTTAGCTTCATAGGTAAATTTTGGTATGGCCACAGTGAGGTATAATTGACGCATTAGTTTCACTGATATTCCATTGGCTGGTCTTGATAGTCTTCACAGCTGAAGTACGTACTCCATTCCTTTGGCTATGGTGTGTCCTGTATGATATTTCCATATCAGTTCTTGATCAACTAATAAACCAAGAAAACGATGGTGCTCAGTGGGATGTATGGTAGTACTCTGGATGATAAGGGGGGGTCGAGTTCGTGTTCTGCTGTGGGTGAAGTCAATTAGCGCGAATTTATTTACTTCAAACCTTGAATTGTGGTCTTTTGACCATTGGAGTGCTCCGTCTTGTTGTTCCATCATGTCCTTGAGCGTTTCATGAGTGTCTTCAAAGGTTGGTCCTATTGCTATGTATGCAGTGTCATCTACAAATGCCAGTGCTGTTTTCTTGTTGCGGGGATTGGTTATGTCAATAAGGTCAGCATTATATATTAAATAAGTGATCATAGATAATGGGTCTCCCTGTCCTATTCCCTTGTGTATGTGTATCCAGTTTGATGTTGAGTCATTGAATTCCAGTTGAGTCCTGTGTCCTGTTAGCATTTGCACTGTGAATTGGACAATTTCTGGGGGTAGGTGTTGTTTCTTCATGTTGTGGGCTAGACAGTCTGTGACTGCATTGGGGAATGCTTTTTTGATATCTAGAAATAATACCAATGCTACTTTCCTAGTTTGCCATGCATTCTTGATCGTTAGTTCCAGCAGGTGCAATGAGTCTGTGGTTGTGCAGCCTGGTCACCCTTCAAAATGAGTGCTGGGAAGGAGGTTGTGACGTTCCATAAGATCTGAAATTTGGTCAGCTATGATTGCTGTTAGGAACTTACATGTGGTATTGATGAGGGCAATGGGTCGGTAGGCCTTGAGTGTGGTGTAGTCAGCCTTTCCTGGTTTCTTGAGTACCACTGTGGTGAATTCGCGCCATGGGTCAAAGTAGGTATTGAGGGTGAAGACAACATTGAATAAGTGGCTAAGGTAGGGGGTCAGTATGTCTGAAGCTTGCTTGAATACTATATTGCAGATTCCGTCCAGTCCTGGTGCTTTGTAGGGGCTGGTATTAGCTATCGTTTTAACTACTTGTTCTTTTGTGATCTTGATGAACGGGGCGATTGGGTCAGGGATAGGTGTAGCCAGGTGGGACAGAGCTGCTGGTTGGAGGCAGAGGGAAGAAGGTATTGGCTAGTGCTCTGCTTTTCTCTTCATTAGTAATGGCTTCAACTAGGTTACCTTCCCCACCTTCCATACTTAGTAATGTGGTCCTTTCCTTACTCAGTAGCATGGTCTGTGCACTCTCACATACAGTATATATAGTAGGTACCAAGTGCATGTATTCCTTACCCACTTTGTTGGATAACACTGTCTTATTTCTATGGTCTGACTGAGACCCGACTTTCTATCACCCACCTCAATCATCAAGGAGTTTGATGAGCACTGACAGCTGCCCACCCCTTGGCCAGCATCAGTCTGACTACTTATACATTGATCAATACATTCTGTTGCTTACTACTGATATACTACTTATACATTTGACTAAATAAGCAGTACATATTTTATCTCTGAGCTTGATAAGGTATGGCTCACACACTTTCCGCTAATGAAACATGACAAAGTGTTACTTTTGTTTGAAATGTTAATGGCAATTGTAAAACATTTATTTTGCAAAAAAAAATTACACAGGGTTCTTTGTATTTACACTGCACACAATGCTGCATGGCTGCATTTTTGAAAAAATTGAAATTGAAAGTGCCATTAAGAAAACGAATGTTATGAGCCCTTTGAACCTTGTTGTTGCGTGACAAACTAAGGAGGAACACATAATTGGTATAACATTCTCAAACCACCACAACACAATGCCCAAATGTGCACTGAAACACCTGAAGAACCTTGGTGGACATGCTATTTTGCTTCTACATCATTTGAGCGTGTTCTGGTCCATGATGGTTGTGAGACAATCCTCTACTAGTGTTCGGGTCACAGCTAGTCACATCATGTCACATACCATCACATGTTAGTGGAAAGTGCATGAGCCATACCTTACATACAGTACCTTTCTTTGTCAAGGTGCCAAGATGTAGCTTGTGGAGTTTCCCAGCACCACACTTCCAGCTGAGCATTAGCATAATTTTCTTTCATTCATTTTTCGACCTACCTATGACACGGAGACACATATCTCTCAAACTCTCGCTTGTTGTCCTCCTTGTTCCTTGCTTGTCCTTTATATTTTCTATCTACCATGTTTGATCACCTCAGCCTTGACATTTGCAACTCATCGGGCACTCCACCAACATCTCCAGCAACACAGAACCCATCCTCTTTGGGAGCAAGCCCTCATCTCATCCACCTTCCACAAGGCAACCAGTAGCCCCACCTAGTAGTGCTGCCGTGGTCTGGTTCGGTCTGGTTCAGGGGGTCCAGGATGAGAACCGAGAACCAAACTATGGTCTGGTTCTGCAAAATCTTCGAACCCAGAACCGGACCATTGAGAACCATTCTTTGCGGTCCGGTCCGGTTTTTTTCTGGTCTGAACTCAAACCGAACCGAAATTTTTTCTATAGTGAGTGCAAAAAAAATGTTCACAAAATGCTAGTCTACACATTGAGTAGCTAGTCTAACATAGCCGCAAACTCTTCTGCCTCTGTAGCTGCTGAAACATGACCATTGCGGTAACCTGCCTTCAATAATTGGAGTGTGGAGAATGTAGCTGGAGCCAGTGCATTGTGGCAAAGTGTTGATGTGATCCCCCCGCTAGAGAAAGCACGTTCTGAGGGAACCGCACTGCCCTGAATTGGTAGATAATCGCGCGCAATACAAGATAGTGTTGGATACTGAAGTGAGTGTAGCTAATGAATAGAGTGAGCTCAGAATGTGATAATACAAAGAAAAACATACCCCCCACCACACCACAATATTATCTGTCTCTTCCAATGGCGAAGTGAGATATGATGAGAGTTCTTGAAGCGGGTCATGCGTGCAATTGTCTGCTGCTTGATGTGCTGTGACAGCATCACACATCCAGGATTGGCCGTACCGAACACCCTGCAACACTTTCATTGGCACAGCAGTGTGTTCCGTGGTGCGCGACATTGGAGGCACTTCATAATATTTATTAAACTACACAACAATCAGCCGACGGAATATTAAGTGAAGTAAAACTTACCAGGGCTTGAAGGTGAACCCTCCTGCTCGTGACCTTTGCAGTGCTCCAACAACTTTCAACATATGCCAACTTGTAGTTGGGGTCAAGAACTGTAATTACATTAGAAATACACTACAGGAGAAAAAGAAAAAAGTACTCACCCAGACAGACGAAGTATATATCTGAGTCATTAGTTCTCTCATAGTACTTCCCCATGTTCTTGAGGCCTTTCTGAATTGCATCAGCGATCAGCGAATATTCTGCGCTGTTGGCCGTTGTCTGCCATGTATCGGTGAGACACTCGAGGGTAGGTATAGTTTGGGAGGCTGTTGGGTGTGCAGCTGAAGAGAATGATTGTTGCGCAGTTGCAGGCTCCTATTAAACATAAGTAAGTAAACAAGTAGACAAACAAAAAAGAATAGCTACCTTGAGGACATTACACACAAGCTGAATTTTCTTCCAGTCAGTCCGATCAAGCTTGAAGTCACTGTAAGATTTGTTGTGCAATGTCGGGACTTCGGGACTCTCATCAGCAAGCAGGGTGAAGCGATTGATGGCCAGATGAAGAGACATGAAATGTTCCAGGCATTTGAAAGGAGACGCCCAGCATGTTCTCACCCAGGCCAAGATCTCACAAACGGGGATGCCCTCTTCCTCACAGGACTTCTTCAAGAAAGTGCGGGCTTGTGGGGATTTGCGAATCTAAATTTCGCATCAGAAAACAATTCAAAGATGAAAACTAAGAATTCACCTGTTCAACGAGAGCAAGTGCCTTTCCAATGGCATCCCCAACATCAAACCCATCCTTGGTTATAGCCTTGGGATCATCCTCCTAGTGTAGTGAGCTGTTCGGTCAAGCTGTCAATGTCAGTCTCATCACCACTATCAATAGCGCCTGCAGATCTTTTTGAGTAATGTTCCTTGAGGGGTGGGTGTGGCTGCGTCAACAAAGTGATGTGCAGCGAGATTGAGGATGTGTTCTTGACATCTGATGCGGCGAGAACCCGGAAAGCCAATGAGTGCCGCCCTCGTAGATGACCTTCGCCACTCCTTTCATGGCGGTGTCGTTGTTCGAGGTGTTATCTGATGTCATCCATCTAACCTGTACATACAAGTAAAGTTAGTCTAATGTCCATGCAAAACATTAAAAAAAACTCACCTTCTTGCGAATACTGAACCTATCTATGGTCTCAACAAGTATGCGACCAATGTTATGGCCACTGTGGTTGCCTTCGACGCGGCTGAAATCAAGCTGCTCATTTTTCAACTCCCACTGCAGCAGCTTGTCAGGAGGGTTCCAAATGTAATGCCCAGTGATGGAAAAAAACAGTTCACCAATAATTGAAGTCCACGAGTCAAATGTCATGGAAACTGCACTGTCAACATGCTACCAAAATGTTTTAAAGAATTAGTCACAATATAATTAGAAAAGAACATACCGCCAGACGGTCCTTGATAGTTTGAACAATAGAGATTGCTCAAGCCTTGATGGTATTTGTTAACTTCGTGTGATGCATGATATCTTTTTCAGTAAGAGATGGACGTGCATACTGCAACAAATGTCGAAATGCTGGCTTGTCTATTAGCTGGATGGCCTCATCTTCGGTCATGATGAGCTCCATAATGTATTCCAGTAGGCCGTCCTTGGTACATGCAGGTGGCCTCAAGACAAGGCTGGTGTCGAGAGTTGTTTGCATCTCTGTGAGATCTTCACCGGGTGGGATTGCACGAGGGTGCATTATAATGCCCCCTGCCTCACACCGTTGTTTGTATACCTGGAAATGAGTTTTCTTGTTGTGAACAACATGTGTCTGCAATGTTGAGGTGCCACCACAGAATGTGTGCTTTTGGCTAGGTTCACCAGCGGCCCTTACACCAAGTGAGAAACAAATGAAAAATAGATCAAAAACTTGAAACTTACTTGCACAAGTTGCAGACCCACCCATCAGAGGTGCAAGTGAATATGGTACGGAGATCTGCCGTACATTCACTTTTGGAGACCTAAACATGAGCGTCAGTTAATAAACAATGAATGTAGATAGAGATACATACCGTCATCTGAGAGGCATCATCTCCATTCCCAGATTGGGCTTTGTTGTTGTCATTGTCGTCTAGGTGCGGAACATATTCTTCATAAAATGAACCTTCTTGGGTAGGGGGGGGAAGAAGGGTTATTGCCCTCATCCTCGTCCTCTTCATCAGTGTCCAGAGGCAACAAAAAACACAAGGCGGTGGCTTTCTTCGGTGCTGGAGGATCAGTGGCACTGGATAACGCACGCTTCCTTGTGCTTGAGGACACATTGTCAGCATCCTGAACACAAGCAGAGGGCCTTGATGTGCGAGTAGAACATTGGGAACCAGCTGCAGTTAGTGCTGGTGTGCGCCCAGATTGGAGCAGAGCAGTGAAGGTGTTTTTCAGTGGGACCTGCAGCAATGGTGCGTGATTGTCGGGATCATTGTAAAATACAATATCTGAGGCATCCTTGAGGGAGCCATCAGAATTCAGTGCGCACGAGTCATGAGACATGTTGAGGGAGATAACTCACAGATTCATTGTAGGGACCCCATTTTGTACATGGAACAGGAAGATAACACCCGCGCACCCAAGAACAATGATATTCCAGGAGATCAGGCAATGTGGAAAGCTGGTGGAGAATCATAGTAACCATCGAGGAAGATGTATGTATAGACAGAGATAGCTGCAACATAGTAAAACATATGTCAGTGGGTGGGAAATGCAGTCTGAATAGTTGGTACTTACATTCAAAAAGGCTAAAAGGCAGCCTGACCAACCAATTGAGCACAAATCCCAAAGGTCAGCTTGATGTTGAGGCAAATGATGTCGAAGCCATGGTTTGGAACGGTTCAGGAATGCCGAACCAAAACGGAACAGTTCTGGATGACCAAGAACCAAGAACCATCTTCCGGTCTGGTTCTGGCTGATGCAAGAACCATGGACTGGACCAAGGAGAACCAGGACCAAAAGTCCAGTTCAAACCGTGGTTCTGGACCGGACCATGGCAGCACTACCACCTAGTGCATCAGCTGCAGGCTCTTCCACTCTTTTCAATTCTGGGGAGCCTCAAGCGCCGTCCTCGCAATCAGCTCAGCACAGAGGGCATCAGCAACAACAGCAACACAACGCGCAGCAGCAACCTCAACAGCATTTGGCAGCTCCAAATCAATCTGTACCAGCGCCCCCTGCCCATCAACCGCAAGCACTGTCCTGCTCTAGCTCCTGCTGATGAACTAGCTGCCTTAAGGGCAAGAATCATCAAGCTCAAGCAAGGGAACACTCACAGCAACCAACCTTTGGCCAGAGTGGTCCCTCCTCAACAAGGCATGGTAGTTGATCCAGCAGAGGTAGAGTGCATTCATGCAAACCTCACGGGTGCCAAAGATGATTCTAAGAAATGGACATTACCTGCCCTCTGCCCTGGGCACAAAGTCAGCGCCCTGAGCTTATGTGAGTCTATCGCTATTTCTTCTTTCGGTTAGATGTGTTTGAGTGCATTGTTTTTTTTGTCGCCTCACACAAGTTCACAGCAGCCTACCTGTTTTTACCGAGGGGCCATGAATTACCATTGACATTAGTCATGCACCATACCGATTTCAGGTGCTACCATTCGTCTGCTATTTCTGCATATATTGTCTTTCTGACTCATCATTCTTCAGCTAACGCGTTGTGTTTCAACCATTCCCCAGAATGTCGAAGAAGCTTTTAGAGCATACTGTTACTGACTTGGATAGTATCTGTTGGTGACACTCAAACAGAGCGTGTGTCGTCAATGGTCGAGGACATCCTTGAGCTAGCTCAAGGTTAGGGGTCTTACTTGGTGAGGCTTCGGCAAGTAAGATTTAACGCCTATGTCCAAATCGGGTTAGCTTATGTCAAGCGGAGGCTCGACGATAAGCTGTATCTGCCAAGGCTTATGACACCCGAAGGTTAATCGTAAGATCGTCGTTAATTAGAAGGACAGAAGTCTGACTAGTTAACAGGGGCTTTGCTCGTCGACTGAAGTCAATGAGTAAAGATCGAGACTAAGGACTTATCTGCGAATAAGCAGATAAGAAGATAGAATATAGACTGCTGGCTAGGCAGAAAGGATCACTCTTGTGAGGAGTAGGAGGTCAAGAGCCAAGTAGATTCAAGTTAAGGAATAAGATACATGGTAGCGAGTTTATATAGAGGAAGGGACGCGTATTAGTGGGTGATAACTTGTACTACCAGAAAGGGAACTGGTCAAAGGGTGATACTGGAAAAGGAAGGCACGTTCGAGGTGAGTCATAGGCAAACCAGAACATGCAGATAAGAAATGAGTCAAATAACAGAACCAGAAGTGAAACGTGCAGGGGCACGATCATGCAACTGCGGAACTAAGTATAAGTACACATGTGCGACTGCGCACCGAGTCATAGACCAAGAAAGGGAACAGGGCAAAGGGGATGCAGCATGCATCATATCATAGGTTACCTGTCCAGACGGTAAGGGCAAAGGGGACTGTCCACAGGATCAGTCAGGGGGTGGAACGGAGCATGGGTATGCTTTGTCAGAGAAAGGATCCGGCCAGATGTACTGGCTCTGCTGCAGCGACAAGGTAGAGAGTGAAAGGGAATGCGAGGATGACGAGGATAACAAGAGTAAGGTCGGGGTAAGGGTATGATGCGAGGGCTGGATACGAGGAGGATTAGGAGAAAAATAGTAGGGGCCCAAGCGTCTAGATGTTCTTGTAACACAAGGCTTCAGCAATTTCTGCAGCATTTAGCAGTGACTTGAGAGGTATTTTGTTGCTGGTTATATAGCCAGCTATACCCGGTGAAGGTGAATCAACTCAGCTGTTGGTCAAATGGTAAATGCAAGGGAGGGACACAAGAAGCTGATATAGTGATCAGTGCAATGCCTAGTCTGCTATGCTTGCAGGGACAAGCAGCGTTCAATCCAAGGGGAAGCAAGGGAGACAAATCCACAGTTACACAGCAGCTGTGCGAGGCAAGCGATGGGTGAGTGAAGCGTGGGAAACTCGTGCGAGATTAGCGCGAAGGCACAGGAACACAAAATGCGAAAGTAGCGAAAATGCGAAATAAAACTAGCAATGAATGAGGGCTCAATGAGTGACAACAAAAAGACTGCTAATATCTTCTAACTCTAGCTATGGACATGATGGGGAACTCCACTAAGGTAAGGAGTGGTGTAGTAAAGGGTGAAAAATGTGGTCCTATATATGTATCTCGCTAAGTGAGCTGAGTAGGAGATAATGTATGTAATAAGGTATGTAAACCAGGGTCCATGCTCTAATATGGTGCCATTTTGATAAAAATGTGGAAATATGTACCAGTGAGACTTGCTGGACAGTGGATGGATGCTCCTGGATGATAGGGCAATGAAAGCGCGGGAAAGCGAGTGATGCAAGGGCATCAAGAGGCGTGGGAAAGTCGCGCGATGCGGGAAAGCATCGCCTGATAAGGAAATAGCTTGGGAAAGGTCAGGGAGTGATGCTGTGAGTTGGTGCTGCAAACCCGGGTGGTATGGACTTAAGTATTACGCGTTACAAGCCTGTAATTATGCAAATCCCTACACCAGTGTGTAGCCGGGTGAATATTATTAAGGTTATGTGCTAATCAGCAACCGCCAATTCCCAGCAGTTCTCCACACCGTCTCCCATGACCTACCAACATGCGAGCCCATCATCATTGACAATGAGCTCACTTATATGGCTCATATTTGTGCTTTTTTCAAGCACTTTTTCTGTCTCTTTGCATTGGGGCCTGTATGCCTTATCTCCGCCAGCGTCATCCAACTTTAATCTGCAATTTTAACAGTCTATGTAATGTACTAAGGTATGTTTATGTTCTGGGGCAAGCTTACTAAGTTTTTTCCTAGTCATCTCACCCCACCATCGATGATGGGGAAGCAGCCCACTCTCCATTTGACATCATGCTGTGCGACTATGTCAGTCCTCCGTAGCTCTGGTCTCCATATGTATTCAGCTGGACTCTCTCGTATTCGCCATGATCGCATGGAAGCTGAACGCTTGAAAGAACAACAAGCCCATGGTAAATGTACTCTTCTTGCATTCACTTTCTTCCCCTCACCTGTCTCCAGATCAGCGCCCTTTTGCTTTCTCCTGGTCTTCTCCACACCACCCTCTATTCAACATTGTGTTGCATGCCCAACCTACTCTCCACTCAATATTGTGCCGCAGGCCTCTGGCAGTCTTCCATAGCTCTAGCACCCAGCTTTGTTCACAGTACTGCCCTCTGAGAAGGTAAGGAAACTACTACCTCGTTGGATGGCCTCATCAAACATGAATCAGGTCACCGCCGTCAACCACCCAAAATTGGCTAATTACTTCGATGTCATCATGTTGCCTGTGAATGGATCAGGTCGCCATCAAGGTCACCACCGTCAACCACCCAAAATTGGTTAATTACTTTGATGACATCTAAACAATGTAATTTGGTGCATGTGCTATTGGTTAAAATTTTCAGAATAAAGTTTAGGGCTACTACTCGTCTTCTGAGTCAGAGGATGAACTGGATGAGTCACTATCAATAATGACTGCACTCTTTGCAGTGGTCTTAGCAGTGCACTTCTTCCTTGGCTTGTACACAGCCTCGCCTTTGGCATGACGTGCTCAATTATCTGTCATCCTTTCGTGGAGCTCGTCCTCTGTGAGTGGTGCCCAGGCAAAAGTCTTATTGTTGAGTGCATCAAGCAGTGTTTGCACCTGCTCCTGTCCACCTATATGTGAGGGATTTTGAACAGGTAAAAGAGCTGAGGGCCAACCCTGTAATGTAACACCATAGTGCTCGACAATAGAACACTCATAGTAGCATAGTTCATTGTAATCTTGCGGTCAGTAATCTTTTTCTCTTGTAAGATATAGTCTGATAATATAATGGTTCTTAGTTAATAATTAATAAACAAAAAGAAAAGATAAAAATAGCCCACCTAATTCATCTTGAATATATGTCTAACATTCGCTAATCAACTTGTTGAGAGAACAAGATTGGGTTGTTGAAATATTGGCATCTATTGGATATAATGTTGGAAAGAGGGCTCAAATAAATTGAAATAAAAACTTACCAAGCCCTGACAGAACAAAAGCTGCAAGCTTTAAAGCTAAGCGCTGTGGCTCTAAGTCAAGAACAGTGCATGCCATCGACTCGAAAATTGGTGGACAAGGAGGTTTGAAATTTTCCAACTTAAATACTTGAGGTGGAGCAGAGGCGAGCACCGGACGCTAATTGAATTTTTTTCTATCAACAAAGTGGTGTGTGATATAACCTAGTTACAAACAGATGCTAGACTATACAATGTTATTACAGGGCCAATTACACATGATTCAGAACTTAAAACTCACCAGTAATGCTTGCCAAAAGGTTGTGCATGAGTTTTGAGATAGTGGAAATCAAAGGTTCGAACACCATGTTCTCCATAAGTACATCCTGCCATTGAGATTTTTCGAATCCAGCATCTTTGTCAATGCAGCTGTGTATTTTGCGCAAAACACCTCATGGAAGATGGTGAATAGCAAGCACAGCCTTGACCATCTCGAAACTAACAGCCCCCAAAGCTAATGGAAAAGTTGAAGTGCTGGTGGTTGATTGGATAGCAGTCTCACAAGAATTTGTTGCAACTGAAGAAATGGGTGCCGAGAGTGTTGATGTTTGCATGTCATTTGGATGTGTGATCGAAGTTATGGCATGAGTGATGGCACCAAGAGTAGGTGTTTGCATGTCATTTGGATGTGTGATCAAAGTTGGGGCATGGGCGATGGCGCTGTAGAAAGCTGATTTCTGCTGGGCTCAGCAGATATCGTACTACCTAGACAACAAATATTTAGGTAGATCTTTAGCACGACCTATGCTGCTATACTTGCAGAGCAAGTGCGTTCGATCCTAAAGGGATTGCTAATTGGTATTAGTAGTAAAAATGTGTCAGTAATGCAAATAACAAAATGTCTGATGGTGCGAAACAATGTCCGAAGGACTTATCCAATGTCCAAAGCCAAAGTGCGATGTCCAAGATTTCGGACTTTTGGACTTCATGATAATAGGTCGGAAACTTTGTAACGAGTGTCAGATTGCGAGCGGTATGCGCGAGTATAATGAGTGACGGAGTACGACGGTGAATGAATGGTAATATTTCGCAATGCAACTAAGAACTACGAGAATATTCTGGGTGATCTGCAGAGTCGGGAAACAGCTCCTAACTACTGGATGATGATTGCTACAGGTTACCACAGAGTATTTAAGTAAGTACGTAGAAATTCGGAAAACTACAGGCAAAGATAGTAGTGATATATTTCGGGTCCGATGTCCTATGTAATAAGACATGAGGTGCTGCGGACATGTAATAACGCGGTCCAAATGTCAGAAAACATGCACGGGAATGACTACGCACCTAGTGAGGCTAGTTCGGATGGACAGGACATGGGATGGACAAGTGCGCACAAAGTGCGATCGGCCGATGCGATGTCCGAAGGTCTGATGCGCCAGATCCGATATGGAGTGGCTTGGGCATGTGCGAAAGTGCGTCGGACATGTGCGCATATGTTTCGGGTGTTGACGTGAGTATGGAAATACATGGTTTTTGAGCCCAACGCTGCGACCATCACTACAGCACCAAGAGTAGACTCAGGTGCTGGTATCAAAGTGAGAAATCAGATTCAGTTAAAGATCCAGTGTGGATCACTTACTATTTTGCTGAAGATGAGTGTCACAACCCAATAACAAATTAACGCTGGGCAGAGACTAGGACTCGGACTAAGGTTATCACAACACGAGGAATGACGAGCAAGTACGTCTTGGATTGCTACAGTGTAGATACAAGAGGTTTGAACTAAAGAACTATTGACCAAGACATGCTACCTATATACCACTATTGAGATGGAGATTGAAACTGAGTTATAACTACTAGCCAATCATAAAATAGAAAAGGGAATCGTACCATAGAACGTCGTAGAATATTAAAGAAGTATCATGTGACCATATCTTATCTTATCGTATCTAATCTAATCTATTAACAATCAAAGAACTCATCTTCTTCATCAGTCACATCGAAGACACATGTCGTGGGCGCTAAGGGAATCTCTGAACTGGTAGGCGCTTTCAGAGTAGGGTTAGGGTTTGACTTAGGCGCTGTGTATTGACGTTTAGGAAGATTTAAGAAAGAATAGTGATTTGTTAAAGGTACTCATGACAATGAGGCAGTATCTTCACAGCTGTCCAATAACCATTGAAAAGCTCATCGCAAATCCCAGGTAAGACTCGATCTTGGAGTATCCTGGAGATTCCAGTGATAGCATCTACAATAGCAGGAACAGGTGGGTGGGATGAAGTAGCAAGCAGTGTGATATCCAGTGATCGAACAGCAAAAAATTCTTGTGGTTTGCCTCCCTTTCCTTGATGAATATGAATTCTGTGAGGTGGTGAGTATGCAAAGTCAAATGTTGCATGAAAGTGGATAGCAAGGTAGTTGTGCTAGCTTTGCATAAGAATTGTGATGATTATGTAGAAAAAAATGACTTACCAATAAGCTTGTGTCATCGTTAGGAAAAGCAAGATCTAAGTATTGTAGCCGATGAATTGGTCAAGGCAGACAACCCTCTTGGACATGAGTATGAGTTTCAAGCATTTAGAAGGTAGCTACAATGTGAGAACCTGAATGTAGTAAAGTCAAATGCTCGAGCTTTATTGTAAATACATTAGTACACATTACGAACTATGCACAATCTGTTGAGCTCTATACTATATAGAATATTATCTATCTACCATTGAACTCCAGTATATAGAACATTATGTATCTACTGTTGAGCTCTATATCTAACATATGTAAGGACAAAATCTATATAGAGCACTATGTCTCTACCATCGAGCTTATTATATCTAAAAACCATATGCCAAGCGTCACACCTTCAGAAACCATTCAACTTGTACATTATCAATGCAACATCATACTACAACTAGACATCACTGTGAAATATACTGAATACAGGGCGCGAACTGTGCCAACACCTCGCCTTCTAACATTGGATCATATTCCTCCTCATTCTCGCTGCTAGTGTCCACTGTGTCCACTTGTAAGGGGATAGAACCAGTGTAACCTGGTAAGCTATATATGTGTGCAAGGCAGTTGTGATGCACATCGTTAATACAGCATTGGTGATTGTACAGTAACCACAGCTCCACAGCAAGTGGCGTATCCGTTGAATCAAGTTCTGTAGCCATCCGTTTGATACCAGAATCCTCCATGTCAACCCATGCCTGCAGGCATTGTATTTTGACATTCAGTCGAGTTATTTCTTCCTGTGCACAAATGATTTTGAAATACTTATTGGTCATCTCGCAATGGATGCCATTGCTCCATGGCTTCGCAAGTATGTCATGGCGTGAGCACTTGAGAATCTTGAACTTGCTGAGAGCTGCATAAGACATAACCTCACTGTATTGAAGTGTAGGCCATTGGGGATTTTGAGAGACAGCGAGCTTGTTGTATTTGTCAAGTGCTGATCGGATTGCGCCAGAACGTTTCACAATGGCTTTCGAGATCTGTTTCCGAAGTTTGTAGCCTAGATTCACATGAGCAGCAAAATATAGATGACAACTGATAAATACCTGTGGATGCGAGATTTGCCTTAGATAGCTCAAACATGTGTTGCACAATGAGACCTTCAAGATCTTTTACAGCATGAATAAATTGATGCTTTCAGCTGTATTCCAGCATTTTGATATACTCCTGAGACTGAGGGGACCATTGCATGATTACACTCATTCAATCTTCAATATCCTTGACAACACTTATCTGGACTTGCAGGCATTGCTCGGCAGCACATTGAGCTGCATGTCCTTGTTTTGTCGCATGCAAAGCATCTTGACTAAGGCCCGAGTCTGGCATAAATGAAGAGGGTGTGTATAATACGAATTGATTGTTATGGGAAGCTTCAAAAGCAGCCCTGAAACACGTCCATGATTTATTATGCAAACTTGAAAAAATGACTCACTGGCACTTCTCAAGCTTCTTGAGCGCTTCAACATACTTGTTACAATAACATTTACTCCTATTTTATTTTTCCTTCTTGTAACCATGCCGCCGACTCTAGACTCATCTAGACTCGGCTATTCTCTTATCAAGCGGGCTGTCCGCACTTCTCTTCTTCTTGATTGTAACATAGATACTATCTTGCGCCGCATGGCGGTTTCACCTATCTTTACTATCTTGATAGGTTGTATTCTTCTTTCTATCTTTGTTACCATTCTTGTCGCGGCTACGCCGCTTCCTTTTACCTATATAAACCCCATGTACCATAGTTGTATTCCTTAACTTAATCTACTGGGTTTTCCCCTTGAAACCTGATCTACAAGGTCTCCACCCTTGTAGCCTGAACTCTGATTCTAAGACAGTCACTCACTGTCTTAGCCTGAACTCTTGATTGCGGTAGAAGTGCTAAAACCACTCGCCGCTGATCCTGCATAGAAGCCGTGGCTCGTGCAGTGAGAACCCCTTGAACCAAGACACCTTCCTTGTACTAGGAAGGCCGACGAACTGTCGATTGAGCGATCTATCTTTGATCCTCGACAGCAGAACTATCCCAGTCGTAACAATACTCAACTGCAGTAGCATCCTGCGCAGGCTCTATGGCCACAGCCTCCAGATAAGTGAATTCTTCCGCAATCCAAATTTCAAAATCAAGTTCCTTCCCAGGGAATGTTGCACAATAAGCTTTGAGTTCCTTAGTGTAGTTGGAAATCATAGTTAGCGCTTGCTTGTAATTATTCAGAATAAACCGGCCTAAATCAAATAATTGAATGACCTGAGATATACTAAGTGGCATGCTTACTGAGTTCAAGGTACTTATCAATATCCCACTGGTCAAAATGAAGCTCCAGGAACTGAACGTAATGGAAATGTGAAGCATGATGTATAAGTGGTGCTGCAGCGTTAGAGGTTGCAAAGACATGCTCACATGTTTCCAAGTCCTTGAGCCCAAATCCACGAAGGTAAAGAGGGTGATGTTGCAGCTGGCACTTGTGATTGTGCGCATGGCCATGAAATGTGTTGATGGCAAGGATAAGATGATAATTAGCAGCTTTCTTTCAAATTGAGCTTGCAGCAACCATTTTCCTGAGACTACATCTGATGTTGCTACCAATGCCAAGGTGGTCGCCAAACACATCAATTAGTTTATTAATTGTTGCCAGTGTGTACTTTGCCCTATGTAGAAGCGATGAAGACTTGATAACGTAAATTGAAAAAAAAAAGCATACAGCTCTCCACTGCACCTCATTTCTGTAAGAGTTTGAATAATTCCATGGCGACATGCAGATAAAAATATTCCTGTCTGCTCAAATACGTGGACGGTGTTCTCACTTCCAGATGCAGAATTTTCTGCTTGCCAATTGTCCGTGCACGTAAGCGGTTGATCAGGCTGATTGCCAGTGCTCCATTCACCAGGACATAAGTGCACGTCATCTTTAAATCTGTCCACATCAGAAGACGCAATCATGTACCTACTTGGATAAATTTAGTGGTCAGTGGAGCCTACATTATCCATTTGTTTCGCTGAATTGTTGCCGTCCATAGCGCTGAGAGATGCAGGAAATAAGGCAACTTCATCAGGTTGCTGTCAAATGAATTCAGATTTGAAAAAGAGGGTGCTCATACTATTCACCTTGAAGGTACATGCAGGTCAGCTGTTCTGAAGCCACCAGTCAGGGTCAGATTAGCCGAGCACCACATCAATGCATGATCAAACCTCACAAATGATAGCAAGATAGACATCAAAAGCAGTCGCAAATTGTTCACAGAATGATTTCATATATGTGACCTAAACTAAACAGTGAGCCGATATAGTATCATAATCATGAGTGGTGTGACATATGTTATGTAATGCACATAATGCTTTGGTGAAGGCCTGGATACTGAAGGATGACTGACGATGTCGAAGCTGATGGTAAAGTTCAAGGCATTGTAGAATGATCACAACTGTTGGAGTGGTAGGAGAGCACCTGAGGATGCCAACTCACAATAGTGCTATGTTGGCCGTTTCCTCGTGATTTTGCGCAATCTCACAAACTGGATGATAATCTATACTGTGTAAGACCTATTGATCATAATGAAATAACTTGGAGTACATACTGAACACATCAATCTTGCTGACGTGGAAGTGGTGTACCAGTTGACAGCTCTCTGCATTTGTGTTGTTGGGAGGGCCATGTTTCCAATGAAGATAGGCATATGTGAGTGCTTGTATCTGAGCACTCCAAGCTGCATGCATATTTGCATTACATGCCTCCTGTGTGCACTGGTCATTACAGCATCGATTACAGCTGTAAGAAAACAAGTGCGATGATCTGAAATCAACTATAAAATATTACTTACCTGGCGTTCAATCGCAGGAGTCCATATGAAGAGAAGAGATTCTCTTCAGTTGATCAGGGTGGTCTGGCCCCACTGCTATCACTCCTGGTACTGGTATCACTGTCATAGTCTTCAAAATTGTGCACTGTTGAATCGAAATTGTCCTGTAAGGTGTCATGGAATTTGTCAGCATCAAACACAGTTCCTTTTTCAATAGCAGCCTCAGGGGTGTAGAAAGCTGATTCCCGCTGGGCTCAGCAGAAATCGTACTACCTAGACAACAAATATTTAGGTAGACCTTAGCACGACCTAGTCTGCTATACTTGCAGAGCAAGTGCGTTCGATCCTATAGGGGTAGCTGTTTGGTATTAGTTTAGATAGTTAGTTATCAATAATAGGAAGATAATCCGAAGCTAAGAACTACTTGTCTGAACGGAAATTGTCAGGTCCGAAAATATCGGAGTCGGGTCGGGCGTCGGACTATGTGTCAGACTGTCGGGAATGCATCGGACGGTGAAGGAATGTGTCGGAAGTGTGTCGGATTGTCGGTCAAATGAATGTCGGATGTGTCGGAATGTTTCGGAGGAAAAGAGCGGATAGATATTTCGCAATACAATAAAGTACTACTAATATCCAATGACTTCCATCCTACTACTGAGTAGGGAAAAGTAAGTAATGCAATAGGTAGGAAGTACTAGATATTAAATAGTGACTATGTAGAAATTCGGACTGCTATAGGCAAGAGTAGTAGCGATATTTCGGGTCCGAAATCCTATGTAATAGGACATGTGGTACTGCGGACCATGAGAAAACATGTAATAACACTGTATACAATGCTTAGCAAGTCAAGAGGAGTAAATGCGCACCTAGTGGGGATAGATGCGACTGGACAGGACATAGGGAGGACTGGTCCAATGTGCGGGAATGTCGGGTCAGGATCGGACATGCGTCAGACTGTCGGAAAGTGCGTCGGGTCAGGATTGGACTGTCGGACTCGGGTCGGGGTTGTTACGACTTGGATGGTATCTGTTGGCGACGCTCAAACAGAGTGTGTGTCGTCAACGGTCGAGGACGTCCTTGGGCTGGCCCAAGGTTAGGGGTCTTACTTGGCGAGGCTTCGGCAAGTAAGATTTGACGCCTATGTCCAAATCGGGTAGCTTACGTCAAGCTGGTGCTAGACGATAAGCTATATCGGCCAATGGCTTACGATACCCGAAGGTTAATCGTAAGATCGTCGTTAATTAGAAGGACAGAAGTCTGACTAGTTAACAGGGGCTTTGCTCGTCGACGAAGTCGCTGAGTAAAGATCGAGACTATAGGCTTATCCACGATGAGCAGATAAGAAGATAGAATATAGACTGCTGGCTAGGCAGAAAGGATCACTCTGGTGAGAGTAGGAGGTCAAGAACCAAGTAGATTCAAGTTAGGGAATATGGTACATGGTAGCGAGTTTATATAGGAGACAGGAGGCGTATTAGTGGGTGATAACTCGTACTACCAAGTGAAGTAAACGATAAAGGGTATAACCATAAAAGGAAGGCACGTTCGGGGTGAGACACGGGCGAACCAGAACGTGCTTGATAAGAAGGTGAGTCAAAGGTCAAAACAGGAAGTGAAACGCGCAGGGGCACGATCGTGCAGCTGCGGAACTAAGTATAAGTAACATGTGCGACTGCGCACCGAGTCAGAGATCAAGAAAGGGAAAAGGGCAAAGGGGATGCGTCATGCATCATATCATAGGTTACCGTCCGGACGGTAAGGGCAAGGGGACTGTCCATAGGATCAGTCAGGTGGTGGAACGGAGCATGGGTATGCTTTGTCAGCGAAAGCATCCGGCCAGATGTACTGGCTCTGCTGAAGCGACAGGTAGAGGGCGAACGGGAATGCGAGGATGACAAGGATAACAAGGGTGAGGTCGGGGTAAAGGTATGATGCGAGGGCTGATACGAGAAGGATGAGGAGAAAAATGGTAGGGGCCCAAGCATCTAGATGTTCTTGTAACAGGGGTAGTCGGAAGTGCATTGGACAAATACTGTTTGACATCAGTATCAAAATAGCTGGTTCTGAGCCCAGCGCTGCGACCATCATTACAGCGGCAAGCAAAAGGCATTGATCTGGAGACAGGTGAGGGGAAGAAAGTGAATGCAAGAAGAGTACACTTACCATGGGCTTGTTGTTCTCTCAAGCGTTCAGCTTCCATGCGATCATGGTGAATACGAGAGAGTCCAGCTGAAGACATATGTCTATGCTAGAACAGAGCTAGCCTCAGCGGGAGTGTGCAAACGCTATGACATTGTAAGTACCTAGAACAGAGCTAGCCTCAGCGGGAGTGTGCAAACGCTGAGGTATTCTAACTACAAGATGCGTGCAATAAGTATCGTAAGGTTACATAACTGATGCGGCTGATGTGGAATGTGACGATGGTGATATAACAACGGTACGTATGGAGAGTCGCGCAGAAGGCGTATGACGCACGTGAAAGAAGATCAAGAAGTCCAATGCGCATGGGCGCAAGAAGACGATACATGTGGGGCAGGTAGCATGTGCCAATACACCCCCTCACCGAGGCACAAGCTGCAGCCCAATGACGTGCTTGAGGAATAGCGGGCGCGCGAGCGGCTTCGTCAGAATGTCGGCAGTGTTACAGTGGGACGGGAGCCAACGAGGTAAGAACATGCCGCGCTCGATGTGCCCGCGAATAAAGTGATACCGGACATCTATATGCTTAGACCGAATATGATTCTTGGCCTCTTTCGAAAGAGAGATGGCGCCAGTGTTATCAATGTGAATCACGATTGGCGTGGGGAGGGAGATGTGAAGCTCGCTGAACATGGAGCGAAGCCAGAGCCCGTCCTGGATGGTGTGAGTAATGGCCATGTACTCAGCCTCAGTTGACGACAAGGCCTGCGTTGACTGTTTCTTAGATGCGTGAGCGATTATACTACCCGCGTAGAACCATGCATAGCCAGTGATGGACAACCGGTTGCTGGGGTTACTCGCCCAGTCCGCATCACAATAGGCGTGCAGGTCCTCGTCCACACGATCACCCCCATAGGACATCCGAAGGTTCACCAGTTCCAGCAAGGTAGCGTAGGAGTCGTTTGGCGGCAGCAAAGTGAGCAGGGGACGGGTTGGAATTGTGCTGCGCGAGGGAGTTAACAGCGAAGGAGATGTCCGGCCGTGTGCAGACTGCAAGGTAGAGAAGTTCCCCTACCAGCTTGCGATAACGCGAGGGCAAGTTGAGGACGACGTCATAGGTGTTGCCAGGCCTGCTGAATGGGTGAGTAGCATCGAGGGGAAGGGTGACTGGGTTGCAATCGAGCATCCCGTACTCGTCGAGGAGGTACGTGATATACTCTCCCTGGTGCAGCCAGAGGCGATGTGCCTTGCGGTGTCGTTCGAACTGAATGCCAAGGAACTTGGTGACAGCACCAAGATCCTTGATGCCAAATCGCTCGTCGATTTTGCCTTTGACCCACTTGAGGAAGCGGGAGGAGTTGGAGGTGCCGAGGCCATCATCGACATGAAAGCCAATGATGCAGATGATGCGGAGGGAGGTGAGACTGTCCACGCGATCATATGTGAAAACTGCATGATCAACAGCGCACCTCTGAAAGCCGAGTTCCTCCATAACGGCCCTAACCTGCTCGTACCACTCCATTGCTGACTGCTTGAGGCCATAGATGGTCCTCAGCATCAGCCAGACAAGAACCTTCCAATCCCCACTCTCAAACCCCTTTGGCTGCCTCATGAAGATCTCCTCCTTCAGTACCCCCCACAGAAACGCCCGCTTCGCGTCGAAACTGTCGAGTTCCCAGTCGTGTTTGCACGCCAGTGCAGATATGAGACGGACGGAGGCCGTTTTGAGGACTGGGGCAAATGTTGTGCCATAGTCGATGCCGGGGATCTGCGAGAAGCCCTGGGCGACGAGACAGGCCTTCTGAGTAGGACCACCTTTATTATCCTCTTTAAACTCCAGCACCCAGCGATTGCTGATGGCCTTGCGTCCTGCAGGTAAGGTTGTCAGTTTGTAGACTGACATTTCCTTCATTACGTCCAGCTCCTTCTTCATGGCTGCGAGCCAGAGATCTCGGTCAGGACGCAGAATGGCCTCGTCGTAGGTCGCAGGAGGGATTTTCATATCATAGTCAGCGCTAGAGGGATTACGCCGTCGGTCAGAGCGAATGGATATATTAGCCTGCTCCTCAATGACAACGTTGGCGAACACTTCGGGTACGTCCACGTTTGGCTCAATGCATGACAAGTCCTCTTCTACATCCTCATGTAGCTCGACCAGAGGCTGGAGCACCCCCTCACTCGACGCTGCTGGCACCCCCTCAATACCTTGTTCGGCAGTACGAAGGGCGCGAGCATTGCGACGCGCCCGTGAAGCTGCCATCTCGTCAGCAAATGATTGGCCAGCCTCGGTTAGGACACGTGAGCGACCAGAGCGACGTGGAAGAACAGGAGACGGGGCAGACGGGGTAGACGATGTGCGCAGAGGCACTTCAGTAGGGTCAAGGTCGAAGGAGGGATGGTCGTCATCATCCGAGTCAGAGTCGTGACCACGAGTGAGTTCAGGCATGTTCTCGTCGAATATAATGTCACGGGCGACGAAGAACGTGCCCGTTTTGTCCCGTAGACGATACCCTTTGGTGCCCTCCGGGTACCCGACAAAGATCGCATGGCGTGAATGAGGGCCTAGCTTGACCTGTAGCTCAGTAGGAATGCGCGCGAAGCAGCGTGAGCCGAACACCCGTAGGTGAGACAAGTCTGGCTGCTTGCCATTGACGAGCTCGTATGGAGTGGTGGCTGGGGGCAGAACGCTGGACTCACTGCGGTTCCATAGGTAGCACGCTGTAAGTGCTGCTTCTCCCCAGAGACTGGGAGGGAGCGCTGCCATCTCCAGCATCGCGAGCATCCGACCCTCAATGGTGCGTATGGCCCTTTCAGCCTTGCCATTTTGCTGGTGAGCATATGGCGCCGAGAGCTGCCTCTCCACCCCTGCACGTAGCAGCGCCTGAGTGAAGGCTGCATTCACAAACTCACCCCCATTGTCCGAACGAAACACCTTCACGGTGCGTTCGGAATGATTCTCCCACCGGGCCTTAATGATTTCCCAAGCCGCCAGCGCCTGATCCTTCGTAGCGAGCAACTGAAGGTTGAGAAGGTTCGTGTGGTCATCGAGGAACACTACAAAATAGTGCTTCCCGTGAGGTGTGACGGTTGGAAAAGGGCCGCAGAGGTCTGAGTGAATCAGATCGAGCATGTGAGCAGCTCGCGGTTCGGAAGAGGGTGGATAAGGCTTTCGCGGGTGCTTGGCCATGATGCAGGCCTCGCATTTGCTCAAAGGCGCTTGTGTGGTGAGTTTCACCCCCTTAGCAAAGAGGGGAAGACGTCTTACAGCCTCACCTCCAACGTGACCGAGGCGTGCATGCCATAAGTCAAAGGACATTGGGACACGTGCGAATGCGCACATCTCGTTGAGTGGTGATGGGGCTGGGCCGTGGCTGCTCGGTAAGATGAACTTCAACTCGAGGAAGAAAAGGTTGCCTGTCATGGGGATTTCGCCAAGTGCTGAACCATCGTATACGAGCTGCACAGCGTGGAGGAGATGGTGAGAAGTTGCATGCCCAACCTTTCTTAAGCATGCGACCGACGGACAACAAATTGACGAGGGCGCCTGGAGCATGTAAGCAATCAGTGAGCCGAAGACGGAACACTTTGCCATCAATAGTGAGGTCGGCAACGCAATCTCCCCGTCCCATGGTAGGTAGTTTACCATGGTTCGCAGTTTTGACAGTGACGCGCGAGTCATGTGAGTAGGTCCAGAAGTACTGACAATCAGTGATGAGGGTGGACGTTGTGCCGGAGTCAAGGATGGTGGAGAGGGACTGCTGTGCAATGCATGCTATGTCCTCGACACTTGGGTAAGCGTCGTCGTTCAGTTCCTCGATGACTGCGCAGCTGAGCTCTCGTTTGGGCTCAGAGGCTGTACTGTATGATGTGGTGTCAGATGTGGTGCTGGACGTACCATCCGCGGCTGCAGCCACCTCCTTCTTGGGAGATTTCTTGGAGTTGTTGCGACCCCAAGGAGCCTTATTCTCCATGCCGCCGCCCTTCTGAAGGCAGTGCTCCAGGTCGTGGGTCAGGGACCGAGGAAGACCAGCGCAAGCGGCGTTCTCGCAGGACACCCCCTTGGAGTTCTGCCTGTGAATGCGAACACCGGTCTTGGGGTTCACCTTCATCTCGACTGAGTACGAGGATGACGTGGTCGCGTTGGCATACTCTGATCCTGGACCAGATGATTTCTTCTCCACTCGAATGCGATTTGCCTTCTCAGACAGCGCCGAGGTGACTTGAACGAAGGTGCGAGTTGGAGGTGGTGCAGGAGAGGAGGTGGTTGCAGCTGGAGAGAAATTTGGTGTGTTGAACTGCCCATAAGTTAGCCGTCTGAACACCAGCCATTCTGTGGTCTTTGGAAGCCCGTGGAGCAGTAGGTAGATGGTCTCATCCTCAGTGACGACAACACCCATTTCAGCGAAGCGCCTGCGACCGTTTTCGAAGACACCAATGTATCTTGATGCGTCGTCAGCGTCTTTCAACTTTTCGTTGAAGAGTTGGTCCCGTAGTTCGAATTGTGAGGTCATATCGAGGCGACCGAAGTGTTTAGATAAGGTGTCCCATTGCTGACGAGCTGTGAGGGATTCACCTAGGAGGGATTGAACGACGGGGGAGATTCGACGACAGATGATGCCTTTGGCCTGTGCGTCTTCTTTGATCCATTCGATCATGGCCTTCTTTTCTGCGTCCGTGGGTGTCGCGGCTACTGCGGCCTTTGGCATATCAGAGGCAAAGTCAGCAAAGTCGTTCGGGTCTGTGCCAGTGCTGCAATGATTCCAGAGTCCTTCACCTTGTAAGGCAAGGGTGACAGTACGACGCCAGCTGGCATAGTCGTCCGAACCAGTGAGTTCAGTGATGTGATCGTATTTTCCCATTGTGCGATTAACGGTTCGTTATTTCAAATTCGAAGAATGTCGAGGGAAATTGAATGATCACCCGTTGAGTGAAATTGAGCGTTCAGAACTGATATCGCCTGGCTGAATCTAACTCCGTTAGTGTATCTGGTTGCGCCCTAGAGCGCAGGGCTCATAACCTCTACGCTAGAACAGAGCTAGCCTCAGCGGGAGTGTGCAAACGCTATGACATTGTAAGTACCTAGAACAGAGCTAGCCTCAGCGGGAGTGTGCAAACGCTGAGGTATTCTAACTACAAGATGCGTGCAATAAGTATCGTAAGGTTACATAACTGATGCGGCTGATGTGGAATGTGACGATGGTGATATAACAACGGTACGTATGGAGAGTCGCGCAGAAGGCGTATGACGCACGTGAAAGAAGATCAAGAAGTCCAATGTGCATGGGCGCAAGAAGACGATACATGTGGGGCAGGTAGCATGCGCCAATAATATGGTGACCAGAGCTACAGAGGACTGACATAGTCACACAGCAGGATGTCAAATGGAGAGTGGGCTGCTTCCCCATCATCGACAGTTGGGTGAGATGACTAGGAAAAAACTTAGTAAGCTTGCCCCAGAACATAAACATACCTTAGTACATTACATAGACTGTTAAAATTGCAGATTAAAGTTGGATGACGCTGGCGGAGATAAGGCATACAGGCCCCAATGCAAAGAGACAGAAAAAGTGCTTGAAAAAGGCACAAATATGAGCCATATAAGTGAGCTCATTGTCATTGACAATGAGCTCGCATGTCGGTAGGTCGTGGGAGACAGTGCAGAGAACTGCTGGGAATTGGCGGCTGCTGATTAGCACATAACCTTAATAATATTCACCCGGCTACACACCAGGTATAGCTGGCTATATAGCCAGCAACAAAATACCTCTCAAGTCACTGCTAAATGCTGCGGAAATCGCTGAAGCCTTGTGTGGTAGACTTTCCCCTCTAATTAGTAATGTCGTAGTAAGCGGTGACGGTCAGGTGCAAAAGGAAGTTCAAGAAATATGTGAATTTACTGATAGGCTCAAATAATAGTATTTTTGGCCACCTTATTTGCCTTGACGGAGTATTCTAAGGAGGAGTGCCTTATCTCCTTGGTTTAAGGGGATGGACCTCCTTTTTCTCCTTATTCTAAGTGTGAACGAACGGCCTTGAATTTGCCTTATTGAGTGAAATAAGGTCATTAAGGAATAAATTAAGTACGAAAAGGAACTCGGTGATTTCCTGATGCTCGGACGAGCATGACGGAGGAAGATAAACCCACTTGTCGTAGCAACAGGCGACAGAATTTGCACAGATGATAGTTCAGCCGTACGAAAATGATTTGGATGAATACACGTGTTGAGGACATCTTTTGTTGGCTAGAAAGCTCATCCAGACCAGCTCCAAGTTCATTGGCAGTTGCCCATGGCCTTCGGGTAGATTCTAACGGCACAGATGCAGAAGTGGAGAAGTCGATGCTCATTCTTATCGATACTTCCCATAATAATGATCAAGGTATAACAGGAAGGGCTGCTCGTGGCAGGGCCCGCTTCGGTCGTCTCCTGCGATCACTAAGCTGCTATCGCAATAATATTCTACGGATTCATTACTAAGGTTTGCCACGTTGCTGCGCAGGGCCACTCGGGTTCAAATGATTGAGTGACAAGTGAGAGATCGGGGTCTAAACGAACGTTCTGGGTGACGAATTCAAAAAAGATGATCGTCAATGCCTAGGTCTGCCAGCAGGATATGATACGATAGTCCTATAATCAATTGAATGCACTCCTACAGGTTCTACCGGAATTTTACCATCTGACAGCAATAACGGTCCTGCCAAATTGATCAGAATCGCGTCCATAAATATATCCAGGCAGGATATAAAAGCTGGTCGTCCTCCTATAGTGTTCCCCATTCTCAGAAGATTTCATACTAGCTCCCACAGAAAATGCGTTTCAACTCCTTCCTTGCCCTTGTTTGTGCTTTGACAGCATCTAATATGGCTGTCAGTACCCAGGCCGAAACAAATAACGATTGTAGTTTCCTGGATAGAGTTTGCGACCCTCCAGAGTTCGTCTGCTGCCCGACCTTAAGTTGCGCAAGAGCTGGACCTCGCGTGAGTCGCTGAGCAACCAGGATTCGACCACATGGCTCACCTGTGCGCTTAGGGTGGCAAAATTTGCGTTAACGGCTAAGCCACCAGAGACCACCACCGGGTGGTGGCCGTACTAATTAAGCCGGAAGCCTGAGCAGCACATCACGACAGTGAGCTATGTTTCTGCTCTCGGTTTGATATCATGGTTGATGGTACAATGCGGCATGCCTAGTGTCGAGTCAATCAGTACAGTTGATTTTGGACAAATTTTGGTACTGCTCGAGCAATGTGAATGTTTTAACATATCTGCAAATGATCGATCGTGCTTAGTCTTGTTCATGGTCCACTAAGCTTGAGTTCGAGGGCTTGCTGACTCGGTATGATGGCTGCACATTGCAATCCGATTCAGTCCACTTGCAATTGTGGCCGCTCAGCACCACTTGAGTTTCGCTCACCAGCCCAGTGATTGTAGCGTGCTCCACTTTGGAAGCCATCGACTCTCGAGTCTTTGAAGTTCTAACCCCGGTGTCTCTGGCACCGGCAATTGCAAACAACGACGGCTTAAAGTCTTCTCGATAGTTTGTACCGTGAAACATCGTTGTCTCTTGCGTCCCTGTAACTTGATAAAGATGTAATGATGTAGATAACCGTTGTTGGAGACTTTGAAGTGGTGCAGAGATCTCAGATGTTGACTCGGCTGTGTCGGAAATTTAAGCGATCCGCGCAAACGGACACAGTCCCAAGTTCCAACGGTCTCCAATTGCTTCCGACGTGAGCTCAATTTGGTGCATGTACTACGTTTTTGCCGCCATCCCATCTTCCCCGGCCTTCAAGCTTCAACTTCAATAACCTTTAGCTAGCCATGAGGTACTGCTGGTGGTGAATGCACTTAGCCCGTAGTGAGTTAACGGAAATCTTGTTTTCCATGAACAGTGAGGGCTCCAGTGAAAATTTCCTTGAATTCATTGTGCTTACAACTTTTCACACGATAAGTAGTCGTACATTTTACATGTCGTCCAGCCCCGATCAGATATCAGTAAATCCTCGAAACATCATCAAATAACTACATCCGCCTTATTCAAAATACCTTCTTCTATTGCTTTGATTTCTACATTTTGAATCATCAGCAACGCTCCGTATACCGCAAGGAAGGAACTCACGCATGGCCAAATGGAGACTGTGGAAGCGCGATAGACTCAAATTACCTGTTCATCAAGATGAATCGACATGCCCATGACAAGAACGACGCGAATACCATTTGCGAACCATAGACCATCTTGCCCGCAGTACCTCCACATCCCTGCAGTCTGCCCTTCTTCGTCTAGACCCCAGACCCTGGTGATTTTTGATGCAATTTCATCTCCACAAACATCGCTTATGAAGTCACGGTGATCGCCATAACTGTAGGCAAGTATGAGTCTTGCTCGTGAAAGTGAAATATTACCATACCCCGTAGCAAACACTATGATATCTGCCTGCAGCTCGGTGCCATCAGCAAATCGAAGGCCATTTTCGGTGAAGGACTCGATTGCGGAACCGCTCTTGATTTTGATATTCCCGTCAATGATAGATTGACTCGCTCCGGTGTCTGGAAGCTGTTGAGATATTTTCGTTGTGCATCAGAGGTACACGCACCGATGTAGTAACCACCACCGCGCTCTAGGTAAAGGGAAAAAAGACCCGCTCCATATGAACCAAGATTGGTCTTGAAGCCAACCTTAGCCAATCCATCTAGAATTGCCCTGCGATCATGATTAATGTATCCGAAAGTGAGCCTTCAAATCATCCGACACACTTGTCTGTAGTCTCAGCGAACATGGGAACTATGCGTTGATTTAGCCGCCTAACAACAGCCCAAGGTAGTGAGGTATTATAAGTATCAGCCAGCTCGGTGGGGAAGTCGTCATTATAGACAGCTAGACAAGGAAAGTCAAGTCAAGCTATTAACGATCACGGACACGATTACCGCCTAGTAGTGCTTCCACTGACTTCGCTGACATCACGAATGTCGACGATCGTTGATACCTAGTATTCCGTGAGATATGAAAATGACACCGCCAAAGGACCAACATTGTGATGTCTACCCCGTGACTGAAGAAATCTTGAGCAATGTCGTGCGCTGGTAAAATATTTAAACCTTGCTCAATACAAAAGATATGACGAACCAACCAGAATTGCAACAACCGACTACGATTGCTTTTTTACCGATATGATTAGCTGCGGATTTGAACTCTGACGAATGCACAGTAGACCCTTTGAAGCTTGCCTAGGTTCATGAGTTACGTTTCGATGAGTTCGAACGTTTCATACTTTTCCAGGGACGTCGGGAACTTTTGGGTGACCGCCAGATCCAGTGGCAAAAACGAGGTGCTTAACGGTTAGAACCCTACTACCTTTACCACCCCGATTGACCTCGACAGACCAGGTTTTCGTGATATCGTTCCAGGATGTCTTGGTGATCGTTGAAGCAGTCCAAACATCAAGATCAAGGAAGCTTGCATATCCTTCCAACCAGTCTGCTAGCTGCAATCACTAAAATCAGTGAGCGTTCATTATGTGGGTAATATCGTACTTTTCTAGCTGGGGTGTAGACTGGCCATGTTGGTGGAAAGCTGTAAAAGGCATCACGAAAGAATCAACGGAGTTCTGAAAAACCACCCACTTCAGATAAGGCGTTTGGTTAGACCCTGCAAGGTTGTTAGTCAATCCCTTTCTGTAGAAGAAAAGCCACGAACAGATCGTGTCATGCAGACAAAGAGCCTTGTAACGGTCTCTCCACTATGAAACTGCCCTTTAGCTATAATTGAATACCAAAGTTGTAAGGGGACGAACGCTATCCCCGACCCGGGGCTTCTTTTCAATTACAAGCGTGGGTACACCAATGTACTTTAATCGTGCAGCGGTCTCAAGGCCAGTGTGCCCTGCACCTATGACGATCACCGTTGGGTCATTGTTTAAGAAGTCAGTCTCTTGGCGCCGCTTCTCTTCCCAAGTGCCATGATCGGCCTCTTTGTTTCTGAGGGGACCGATCTTCGTCCGAGTCAGCAAGTGCTCACGAAAGAATGTGAATACACACCTTCTGAGGGAAATCGGTCAATGAATCAAGAGAGGTCAACAAAGTGTAAGCCTTCCACTTTGAATCTGGAAGGGGAACGAGATAAACGACCGCAGTACCCTTGCCATGCTTGGTGGTAAAACTAAAGCAAAACCGCAACCAAACAAGATCATTGAAAACTTTTTGCAGCACAGGTTCAGTCAAAGGCTCCTGTAAGAGACATAGATCTTTAAGACCGGTAGCAGCGAGACGAGCATCCAAGAGTTTCTTGATGTCCTTCCTTCCTTCGAATGTCCTGAAATCCCAAGTGAGTGCGATTACGTCCTTCCAGAAACCATCCTCAAGAAAGAGGTCAACAACAGCTGCGGTATCACTTTGAGTTATTGCAGTCGAAAAGACGCTGAGCCACTCGGTCGCTACCTCAGATGAGGAGACATTGGAAGGATCAGCGACCCCCAGGCGATCGAGGGTGGGTAAGCGTTGAGGAAAGGGATCAGTCGCCATACTGAAAACTGAGATATGGGGATTGATAGTGATAGATTGTTCAAACCATCCTGGTTTTTAACTTCGACAGTTTTCCACCTATAACCCGCTTATTGATCAAGAAGGAGCACTGGTGCCAGCATATAAGACCTTCTCCAAACCTTCCTAATAAGGTTGTCGACCTCCGAAGACCCCTGTTACGATTTCGAAATAGATAGGACCCGGGACCTTTGAACAATTCACTATTCGCGTCACTTGAATTAATATTGCTGCGAGTTCATCGATCATCCCCAAACCTCTCTGCCCGCTTTCGCTTCTGCGTTCAGAACGTTCACTGAAGCGGACGGACGGACCTCGATTGGAGTCACCGCAAGGACACCTATGGTCGAGCGCACTTCCCCGTACACCACTTTTTGACTTTTTCAAGTTCATGCCCTCCCATACAGAACTTGGGTGTGCAGTGTAGCATCTCCTTGACAATGTCGACATGAAGAGGCACTTACAAACGTTACTCGACCCCTCACCGCTCTCTTAAACGTGTGGACTAGAAAGAGGCCTATCGTATTGAATTGAATGGAGATCGTCGTGGTGTCGCATATCATGCATGAAGAAAGCGTCGGTCAGGGCCACTTACTATGACCCGCTCATAGATCGATCGATCGCCCCACATGTGATCAGCGGTGACAAAAAGTACTGCTGAAACCAACATGGCCCACTCAACTTTCTTATGCCATGACGTTCCACCATAAGTATTACTACGGTCTAGACGCGGATCATTCAAATCACCGCCTCGAAACGAATACTAGATACTTTGTATCTTGCCTGTCACCGTCGATGGACATTTAACGTCATCATTTCTCATCAAGACATCGAATGACCATCAACATCGAACGGTGACTCCTCTGGAATCCAGAGTGCTCTCATTACACGATGCCGGTCCTTCGCATTCTTATCACAGCTTCGAGTTGGGCGCGTCTGCTATCAAGTAGCGAGTCGAGGACTACTATAGGGCACGGCCCCACCGGACAATAAACAAGAATACAAAAAAAACATAGCGAGTCTCCTCTGTATCGTCTTTAATTGCGATCTGGTTTTATCTAATACTTGTGATGTGTTATCGTACGGTCAAGCCTTGCGTAACTTCGGTTTTACCATACCGAGGTGACCATGCCACATCCAGGCTGAATCAACCATCGCTCATCTGCGACCCTACTCATCAGTAATTTACCCAGGTAAGCTGTCTCATCCACGCAGCTTTCACCTATACTATGCGGACCAGTCTCAACGACCTCAATTCCGACAGTGTTTCGAATCGGATACTTTTATGTAGCCTTGAAACCAGTAACGCGATCTCCTTCACTCCCTTTGTTCTCGATGTCGCGACAAACATGCAGATCAAACGCCTTCCTAGCATAACGCCTTGCTGAAGTACGGAACGAGCTTATTACAATGCGATCTTGACGAGTCGCTAGAACCTAATACATACAATATAAGTCTACACATAATCCACAGTCTATTGTCTATCGAGATGCCAGTTGAGGACACAATTTGAGAGGTGAGATGAAGTATGTGAAACAATGTGGTTGGCGTCATTATTTAACGATACTTTTGGTCCACAGAGATGCAATGAGAGAAAGAATGAGTTAAAGCCAAGGTGCCGGGTCAATGCAATGCGAGTGCGACGAGCACTCATAAATGTCATGACCCCTCGCTGCTCTCCCTCCTCCACCGAGGAATTGGCACCCTCAACCGTACTCCGTCGTGTACCTCGTGTGGACCAGAAGGATGCCTATCGTGTTGAATTGAATGGAGACCGTCGTGGGTGCTAGAACGTCGCCTATCATGTGGCTCGTCATGCAAGATATGATGCCGCCCATCATGAGGAGAACGTCCACCATCAGACGGAGAATGTCTCCCCTCCAGCGCACTCTCTTGTCTCCCATCGAAACTCAAACGCGACCCATCAAGTTGACCGGACCGTCGCCTCTCCTGCAGCACTCCAGATCCAGCAGCCTCCTCATAACTCGGCAAACCCACTAAACTCGATAGCGGGGGGACGCATCCCTGAAACGACACGCGATACTCGGGTGCTGCATTCGCGTTAACGTTTTCGCCATCAAGAACACCGCTTGCATTCCCTTCTTGAACCCCTCCCGCACTCACTTCAACCCCATCCAGACTATCCGACTCTTCCCCATGCGCCTCACCACCATTGCTCGAATTCATCTCCGCGAACCCCCTCCCCCAAATCGCGCTCTCCGCGATCTCAGCAGGAGGTGTATGAGGGCTATGTGGCGAAGAATGCGCACCGCTGAAATAAGGCGTCTGTGGTCCACTTTCACCAACACTAAACCCAGTGCGCGGACGTGAATTTGGGGCCAATCCTTGTGAATATTCGAGAGGTTGGAGTGGCGAAACCAGACTCGCAAATGATCGTGAATTGGGATGGGCTCCTCCACCCACAGTCATACCACCGGATCCAACAGAGATAGATAGACCTCCATGCCCAGACACACTGACGTTCGTCACCCCCGCAAGATTCGAATGACTCCCACTCCTCGAACCCCCATGAAGCCACCCAGAGGAAAGCGGCTTCATCGCGACCGTCAGCAACGTGCCTCGCGTACGAGATGCAGGCGGTGAGTGGGTATACGTTTCAGGGCCTGATAGCACTGGAGGTCTGTGCGTTTCTGAACCAGATACCGCAGTCTGAGCACGCCGCTCGGGACTAGGCGCTCGCGAAACAAGCCGACTTGGGACTTGGCTTGTAGGATCAGAATGCGGCGAGCGTGGATGACGTAAAAGTTCAGAATTGACCCAATCGAGTACGCTGTGTGGGAGTGTGTGTGCATGTGTGTGCGGGTGCGGTTGCGGGTGCGGGTGCGCGGGTGCGTGTGGATGTGGTGGCGAACTCGTTCCTGAACGTGGCGGAAAGGATGTGTTAGTGGCACTTCCTGGTGTGAGGGGTATGTGTGATGATGCGGAGACGTAGGGGTTGACAACTCGCATGGTGGATCCGGCGGGTAGGAAGGCATTGGCGACGCGGTCCCTAACGTGAGCGGTGTAACTGGGGAGCGTTTCACCTTCCTCGCCTTCTCCTTCTCCAAAAATGCCTGTGCCAGCGCTCTCGCCTTCACCTTGAACGTGATCACCCAAGACGACACGACGGACCCAACACCCAGCGGCGCGAGCTTCTGTGAGGAGACACCCATCGACTATGCTTACGGGAAGGCTGCAGCGGAGCTCAGAAGTATGCCCGTCGAGGTTTGACATAAGGATGGACCAGCGGATTCGGTGTGAGACGTGGATGGGGTCGAAAGAATGGGACGGGGTGAGATTTGGTGGGAGGGAGAGGGAGAGCAAGGAAATGAGGTCTGTTGAAGTGAATTCATCTAGAGCGGGGTCTGGAGGTTCATCATGGGAGAGATCGGAATCATGTGAAGGGGTGGACGAGGAACTTGCGATCGGCTGAGAGTGGGAGTGGGAGGAGGACGAAGATGGTATGCTGGGGACCTGATGGAGGGATAGATCGGATGGATGGAAACCATCCTCCTGAGCAGGGGATGCGACACCTGCAGCGCCAAGGTGATGGGATTTGGAACCTGTGCCGATGGGTCGGCTGATGCCGTTCCAACTTTCGCTGATAAGCTTAAGTTTGCCATGGACGACTTCATGTTTTGTAGCCACAACAGCTCTGGTATATTCGCTCCCCCTTGAAGGAATCTTCACGGTCTCGTTAAGGTTGGTGATGACGCTGATGACGCGGACACCTTTGGCGAGGGGGATAAATTTGCAGAGGGCAGTGAGAGTATCACCGGCAGCCCAAGCGCGATGGGGAAGGACGATAGTGTACATTAGTTTATCAGGCCATGTGTTCTCGATTTCAAGTGTCTGCTGATACTCGAGCGAGTCTGATGCGAAACTGCGTATTAGGGAAACGGGGTGGGATGCATGGAGGTTGTGCGCGAGGCCAGGACGGACGGCGGTTGCACGAAGTTTATATGAGATGAATGGTTGAGATATAGCGGAGGGGAGGTAGAGGGAAGAGGGAAGAGAACCGCCGAGGGCAAGTGAGAATGGGAAAAGGTGTTTGCCTGCTTTGAGGGTATGAGAGTGACGCTTCTCGCCTTCGAGGAAGGACCAGTCATATGTGCAAATGCTGTATGTCTGCCCAGATGAGTGAAGGGAGATTCTAGGTGAATCTTGAATCAGAGAAGGAGGTTTAGATGAAAGAAAGCACGTACGGATCATGAAGAGGCGGTGGCACGTGGGTTTTTCCACGAAATTGGAGATTGATTTCTTTGATAGATGTTGCTTCGGAGAGAGTGAGGACGACATGTCCTGAAAGCAAGGCAGGCTCGATGTCTACCGTTGTGCCTTTCAGTGTAAGGACATCGGAGTCGAGGACTATGTCTATACGAGACTTGTCAGGTGGTGGGTGATGTGATTTATCTTGGTGGACCATATCGTCATGTATGCGATTGAGGGCGGCGTGAAGAGCAGCACTGAGATGGTCATCTACGGGAGTAGAAATAGGAGAGGATGGGCGTGTTACACTGAATGCCATCTTGGCGGAGGGACCCTGGTTGGGATGAGTTGGAATTACCAATGCACTGCAAGCCAAAGTGACCTACTAGTAGACTTGTTCCTTGTCCTGGAAGTTGAGTGAGACCAGAACTTGGTAAGGATTGTGAGCGGCAAAGAAGACATGGAAGAGGATTCTTATAATAAAACTCACCTTTTCGTTCGTCCGAATGTTGCCCGCGGCAGCCGGGTGCTAAGTCTGATCCGGTATATAGATTGACGATCCTCACACGGCAGTCCCCGAGTCACGGCCACTACACCGCCAATACTTGGCCTGTTATCTTCCTGTCTGGAGCGAGGCGGTAAGATTTAACCAACCATTCGGTCAACTTCCATTACAAAGTCTTTCACCCTCTCGGGGTTGTTCACCACTGCAATCTAGCCACGTCCATCCAGCCACAAGCGCAAATCTGGCAATTGAACGCACTCCCGAAGTTTCTCCAGGTGTGCCAGCAACACCGTATACCCTATTTCACACGGTATGATACTATAATTGCATCCCTCTTTCTCCCTTTCATTCATTCATTCTTCGACTCCAATTCGTCGGCCACTGGTCATCTACTCACTGGATCACGTTTGTTATCTCGACTCTTGCGGCGTCTTTAGGTCATCTGCTCTCTCTTATCAGTCGTCCTCGCCATTCTTGCATCCAATATCGCTATTTGGGTGCACCACTACGAACAAGGTAACATCGCACGCCTGATATCCACCAATCTCACGATCGATATAAACTTCATATCCGTTGATTGAGCTTTAAAGTTTTGACATACCATCGGTTTCCGTGTTGCAGACACTAGCAATGGCTTATCATGCAGCAGCCGTGTTTCGGCTCTCTTGAATTGGTTCAGATGGGCTCTCAACGCCCAAGGGACCCTCCAGTTCTGGAAGAGCTTCTAGAAGCCCCTTGGCGAAGTTTCGCCAAAGTAGAACGCACAAGGTTCAAGATCGAAACTGACGAATCGTAAACTTGACAGAATCTATTGCGGGATATATGATTCGATCCTGCGCCATGCACATGACGCACCTCTCCAATTTACCTTGTTTAAACAAGGCTCTATCATTGCGGCCTGCGCCTATTCGGATTACTTCGGACCTCTTTTCATTCGGAGATCGCTCGGACATTGGAACGTCAATTTACTTACATCGGGAGGAATCGGCAAATGCTTTGCCCTCGTTTTCTTTTAGTGGCCGCCGAAGGGATCATGATACTCCGCTCAGTTCGACGTCGTGACCTTGTGGTCCTAGAGATCGGTGGCTATCGGGTCTTTTGTGTCCACCTCTTCAGCTATCCATGCTAGTGGCTGTGGAAGTGTGGATAACTGGAAGAGGTGCACATGAAGACTATTGACAAGTCCATGCGGAGAGGTTGATACGGCTGCGATAACACCATACGACTGCTATTTACGTCTAGAATTTTACCCTCAAGGTCTGGCCGTTCACTCTCACAGTCGGGGGGTGCAACGCTAAAAGCCTGTCAGAAGATGCGATCATCGCACGTTTATACTACAATTCGATTCTAGGAAACAATGTACAGATGTTCGTATCGTGTGTCTTTCCTACGTTCGCTGTCTCAAAGTTCAAAATATGAGGCTTGTGCGGGAGTACAGTCTCGGTTTTGTCTGTCAGACTACGGAATACTCATCGGTTGCGCCGGACAACCCGATGCGATGACCATGCGATAATTCCCTCTACAATGTTCACCGACGACCACGAGGGCTCTCTATTGCCCCTTTCATCATAGTCCGAATTTACCGCAATGTGTGGAAACGCTTGGCATTAACAAACGTGGCCTGTATTGCGGATCGGACGGGCAACAACGACCACACATTCGGGATACGTCCTGTGCAGTAGGTTCCAGCTTATCTGGGTCCGCATCGGCTCTTCTTTTGTTTCCCATTCTTCTTGGCTTGGTCATCCTGTTAATAGTATTGGGCGGCTCGGTTCCGATGGCAAAGTCGAGGATGACTTATCATCGTACCACAATTGTGGGCCCGAATGCCTCATTTCGCGATGCTGTGCCTTCCAAGCCGGATGCCAATATACGACGACTTATCTCAGAGTCCCCGGCAATCTAATCCAATTCTCCGGAAAACTGGTGATATTTTTGTCTATGCCACCATGCTGATGATGCTGCTTACCGTCCACGGAGAAAGTAGCACAGGAAGAGTACGACCGTTGGCCACTTTCACAGATTTAGAGACAGTTCGTCGATCAAAGATCCGAGATCTGCGAGAGGCGAACATTTTCATCACCGGCCATGCATACGAGGGCGCCAGCAACGTTTTCCAGAGATGATACGGATATAGGCCAATGTAGTAATTGACTGCTGGCCAAGCCGATGTATCCAATTCCAGATTGTTTGGTCCTGACAAGATGCACCCTGCATTGGAAGCCGTGTGCTATCGGGCGTACACACGAGACGTCGCTGGACGTCATGGTTGGCTGCGAAGTTTGCGATACGTTGTACCTGTAAGCATGAGACCCCTATTGGACATCTTAGCTTTGTCAGCAAAAACAAAACATACTATGGACAACGCCCTGCCAGTGCAACATTGTACCGCTCAGGTGAATGATGCTCTTTTCTACAGAATGATGCGAAGCAAACTACCGACTGGACTTGATGGGAGCATTCGATGGGCCGGTTCAGGCTTCAAGTCAAGGACTTGACGAAGATGTGAATGCTGTCTGATGGAACGTCTTATTTTGCACGGATGTTGCCCCATTTGTGTACTAGATCGGGAGACTCGTCTTATTTGTTGACAATTAGGCTATTGATGATATCAGTATTCAGATTCCTAATCGTGCTCGTAGAGGTCCCAAGGTACTGCAAACAAATCGTGATACGCGTCTATGACAGATCGATGGTGCTGCAGTCATGTCCTATGAAATACAGACGCAGCTGACCTGCATGACACAAATCAGAAGGCTACGATGAGAATGATATCATCCTGATGTCTGAGTGACACTTTACGTTGATACTGATCATTCATCCAAGTTGATTGCACGGCCAAACCTGGCATACAACGTAACTTTCAGCTCCTTCATCTCCTTTTCGCATTCTTCCGCGCCCGCTGATAGGTCCAAGATTTGAGCAGATAAAACCCCCTGGTCCTTTTCAAGTCGTTTCATCGCGCGGGGTTGGGGCAGGTGAAGGAAAGATTCGCCGATCTTGTATCTAGTTGGTTGGCCAAAAAATTTAGTCCTCCTTCTCGCGCGAGTACGATCTTCAGACGCACAACACACTTTCGTCCTCGTCAGTAAGTTCGAGCTCTGTAGAGAGGTCATCCAATGCTTCCTTCTCTTGCTGGAAGCCAACATAAGAATAGAACAAGTGTTCAGCTTGTCAACGCACCTTCAGTTCCTCGAGTCGTTCCCCTATGCTCTGGAGACGAGTATTCAGTTTGGAGAACGTGTTGATACGCTGCTGATCCTCTAAAAGCACTCAATCGACGGTACCGAGGGTGTCAAAGACTCAGAACGCACCCCATGTAACCTCAGTCCCATCGTCGTTCTCCTCCTCCTCCGCAAGCTTAAATGCATTTATTCAGTTCTCCGCGCATCGTGATTAGATTGTCATACCATCCGCATGTTGTTCATGTTAACAGTTTTGGTGGTTCGGAAGCACTTGACAAATTAATATCGTTCTGCCAACCGAGGGTGATATTAATATACGCAGTGTGAGGTAATTGGCACGTTGGCGGAACTCACACTCCTTTACACCTTTCCTACTTACTATTACCACGAAACGCCGATTTTAACCTCAAAATGTCTTGCGAGCTTTTTATGCAACACTCGGTGGTCGTTAGGGACTTCTTACGGACCAGGACGCCATTCGAGACAGCAAAGACAGCACTTTTCTTCTATTTCGTCATAACTCAATCCCTCAAGCTCTGCAGGCATGTTCAAGCCCGAGGCATAACTGACTCCCTGAGTGACTCCTGGACATGGACATACAGAGTGCGTAGCTTTCTTGGAATTTTACTGCTATGAAAGTTGACCGAAAGACAGCAAATATTACTACTAGCATTGAAAGTACCTACAGTGCAGAAGGAGGTTCAGCAACAGATGAACAAGGCAAGACTGGATATTGAGGGAAAACTCGTACCCCAAGGAGCCGATGTTTCGCGGCATCTCGTTCTACCAGACGAAGGGAAATCCGTGGAGTGGATAATAGCAGAGATGGAAAAAATGGATGGTGAATTGGGTCCGCATGCTGATTGGAAACATGGGAAATTATCGGGGGCAGTTTACCGTGCGTCAATTACCACAGTCATTTCATGTCTCACCCCTTTGAATAGACGGGGGAGAGGATTTGTCAAGAGTTATTGTCGCTGCTTTCGAGCGTTATACAGTTTCCAACCCGTTGCATCCGGATGTCTTCCCTGCTATTCGCAAGATGGAAGCTGAGATCGTCTCAATGTGCCTACGGATGTACAACAACCCGGATGGAGCTGGTACCATGACCTCAGGCGGTACTGAGTCAATTGTTATGGCTATCAAAACTTATAGAGACTGGGCACAAGAAGTCAAGGGCATCACGGAGCCTGAGATGTGAGTATTAAGGGGCTCATAAGATGTGAGTTCTTAATGTCGATATTACAGGATTGTTCCAGCAACCGCCCACGCCGCATTTGACAAAGGCGCGGCGTACATGAAAGTAAAAGTGCACTTGATTCCAGTAGACCCAGTAACTCGAAAGGTAAATATTAAACGCGTTCGTAGAGCCATGTGAGTGTCCCTTCCTACTATGCCAATGATATGTTGCTCAGATTATTTCCAATAGCAACCGGAACACAATCCTTGTAAGCATCTCCTCTATTATAATGGTAGTATTAAACGCTGTCGTGCAGCTTGTAGGGTCAGCTGTGAATTTCCCGGATGGAAATCAAGACGATATAGTTGTTTTGGGCGAATTAGCTGCAAAGCATAATATTGGTCTGCACGTTGACTGTTGCCTTGGATCCTTCATTGTGCCATTCCTTG